GGCCATGTTTTGAGTTGCTTCCTTCTGGTTGAGACATTGGCCTGCTGAGCGAGCTCGAAAGGTAGCAAGTTTGTCCAAATCCACATTGCGGGTGCGTAGTTGGGATACCAATTCGGCCACAAATACTGTAGTGCCTATGTTGTCAAAAGGAAGGACGAAGGTTTCTCTTCCGTATGCAACTCGACGAAGCCAAGTATTGTGTAAGCCCTGGTACAAGAACTTCCAGAGTGGGACTTGTAAAGGATCCATCCCTTCAATGTCTTTGTAGCTGGAGAATCTGCTCTGTCGGATTCTGGAAGGGAAGTCCAAACCATTGATTTTGTTGGAGTCGTGGAAGTCGACATCCGGTTTCCAGTTCTCCACTGGCGGGATTTCAATTGGTCTGCATGTATATCCGTCGTTGACAGAGGAACTTGCTCCTGGGGATGACATAGGTCTCGGTGATCTCGGTGTAAAAGGGTGACGTTGAGGTGCAAGGTTGGCGTGGTTGGGAAGTGTCTGTGAGCTCGGAGGCGGCGTGGGCGGGAAAGGTGCCGTAGGTGAAGTCCATGGTGGGCGTGTTGGGAACGATGGAGACGTAGGTGGCGGAGGCGGTATTCCGGAAGGGTTCCAAAAGGGTCGATGGGTCGTCATGGCATAGTGCATCGGGCCACGGAACGCCGGTACTGCTTGGTGCCATCCATGTTGATGACGAGGTGGTGTGCGCGAGCGATCCGGCTGGGAAGGAGGAATTCCATTCACATCCGCGCTGTATTGGGAGATCAGGTCCTGGGACGCCATGATGTAGCGAGGGTCACGAGATAATAGATCAAAATGCGCTCGAACTGCCGAAGGAAAGCTGCGGAAAATGTCGAGGTGAGACAAAGGTAATGTGAAATTGAAAAAGTGTGAGACATAATACGTGGTCCCAGTGTGTGAGACGTGAAGTGAAAACGAATCGGCGAAAGGATCAACAATATGAGCATGCAGCGATTCACAAACCTTTTGAGGAAGAAGTGGCGGCAATACCGAATGTCGGGAGAAGCATTGTTACTCCAAAATGATCGGGCGGGGCCACTAGGCTCACTGTATCGCTGACGTAGAATAGTCGATACTAGTTCCGGTGCTTCTCAAGGGTAAATAGTTCACCAACGAGATCGAGAGTAGTGGGTCGAATGTCGAGAACGAGGTCGGCCTTCATGGTGCTGGTCACGAGAGTGGTCTTCCTGGTATGAGGATCGGCGATCTCGGTGGCTGTAGGTTGAATTGTCCCAAGAAGCATTGTCGTGCCAAGATCGGCGAGCATAGTCCCGAGAGCCAGAGCCAGCGGTTTCGCGGTGGCTCGGTGTGTCGCGAGAGTCGTCCGGGGCCGGCTCCGAAGGTTCAGGGGCGTCGGCAGAAGGGTCAGGTCGTACTGGACGTGCAGAATCATCAGGAGGTTCCGAAGGTGCATTGGTCTCTGTAGTCTGGTGTGTGATCAAGCCCGGGAAAACCGTGTGAGTGGAGGCAACGTAGCATATAGATGCGGCGCTTGAGTTCATAGCCGTTGCATTGTCTTTGCCCTTGGCGATGCCCGCAAGGTTGCACAAGCGTTGGATTTGGTCATTTCCTCCAGCTAGGGCACGGATGCATTTGGGTGAGCGGCATATGGCCATTAGGCCTGATGGGTTTTGTCCTTTGCCTATTTTGTAGAGCTGAGAGGTACAGATCTTGACAGCATAGCCGGGTAGGTGGTCTATGTCTGCGATCTCCGAGGACATTCCGAAGAACCCGTAACATGGGTATTGAGTCGGCACGCCGGCTTCGTTTTTGGTCCAAGTTGCCGGGCGAATGCAGTCCTCCGCAAGAATTTTGGCAACTGATTCCCAACTCGTTTTGTGGTAGATCAGGTAGGTGCCCATGTGTTCGCCACGGTAGATTGGTTTCTTCTTCAATCCTGTGGGAACCGTGATGGTCAGCAAGTTCTCTGGCTCGATGTAGAAGGCTTGTGTTTGCTTTGCGAGTTCGATGTCCAGTAAGTCGGATTGTGCAAAGGCCCTGGCAATATTCCTGACGGTGGCTTGACTTGCTTTGATGTAAATACGATGGTTGTTGACGGTGCGGTATGGTTGAGCCAACCTTTCGAACATCGCGTCCACAAATTGGTTGAAGAGCTGCGAGATAGCCGGGGTCAATGATCGGCGTAGAGGAACAACATGATCGGGGTCAAGTTCAGTAAGGCAACGGACCCTATGGGGGTCATTGGCCGCCGCCACCATTTCATCGAGGTCGATGTCATTCGTGTCAAACTTGGTGAGCGAAATTGTATCTGTAAACTCAGAATTTTCACTGTCGCCGTCCGGAACTCGGAAGGACACCGCGCCGAGTGGTGCTGAAGTGTGGGTTGGTGGGTTGGTTGGTGGTTCCGTTGGTGGTGGATTGGCAGGAGAATTGGGTCGAGGATTGTGGTGATGGTCGTTGTCGGTGTAGTGACTGTCGTTCCATGTACCCCAGGTGTCATCAGCATCGGGAGTGGGGATGTAGTTCGGATTCGATGGGTTCGCAGCTGGTCGAAGTATGACTTCACGGCCTCTGGATCTGTGACGTGGTGTCGCGGAACGTGGACGTGGGCGAGATCGATGACGTCGAGGGACCACGGGAGAGCGGCGTCGTGGTGGGGAGCGTCGTCTGTATGGAGATGGGGTTCTGCGGCCCTTGTCAGGTTTTGTGGATGATCGATGACGAGGGAGAGGAGAACGAGGTCGCTCTGCTCGTGGAGGAGAATAGCGATGGCGATGAGAATGTACCGAAGGTCGATGGGAACGTGGTCGTGGAGTCCTAGATCTTGGTCGGCGTGTTGGGGATGATGGAACTGGTAGTGGGTGAGGAGGAGCAATGGCTGGGGCTTGAATAATGCGAAGGTCCGGAACGTCAGGTTCGGTAGGTCTGGCTTTCGGTGCGGGTGGAGGTGTGGCTGTCAGTGGTGGCACAGGCGTAGGTGGTGGTATGGGTGGAATAGGGTTCGGTGGAGGTCCATCTTGTTGGAGAAGTAGCTGACGTTGTTCTTGGGCCCGTTGAGTATCCATGATCACCTGTTGCTGAGCTTGGATAAGTCGAACCGATTCCGCAAGTTGTTGTGTAGTGGAACCCAATGCAACCAGTTCGGGTGGCACGGATGACGTCGGTGCTGCCGTGGGTGCTGGTGGTGTAGTCGAAGAAGGGGCTTTTGAAGCTGGCCTGCGCGGTCGATCCATTCTTTTGTCAGAGCGAGGTCTGGGAGCTGCCTTAACTGCAGGAGGCCGTGGAAGATGTTCATCAGGAGAAACCATCAATGCGTTCGTTTGTAATGGAGGTTGAATGTGATGGGATGGGTAAGGGGAACTTGGCAAAGGAGTCGGTGGCATAGTCGATGTAGGTGGTGGAGTCGACGTAGGAGATGAAGTCGGTGGAGAAGGCCAGGCAGGTGGAGCGGTGGGTGCCGAAGGAGATGGGAAAGTCGAAGGAGCGGTGTGCGCCATTGTAGGTTCGGAGGCCAAAGGTGCAGGCATGGTGGGTACGAGCTGTGGGCCTGGTACTGCATGAGGAGCCGGAGACAATGAGGTAAACGGCAACGATGTTGGGGATGATGTAGACGGCATGATCGAAGCTGAAGAAGACCATGTAGGATGCAAGGCTGAAGGATGTCCAAATAGATGTACGTTCTGTGATGATTGCGGCCACGTCGGAGGTGCGTTCGTAGGCTGCGGTGGAACAGGCCATGACGTTGGCGGAGGGTTCCACGGATGCATCGCTTCAGTAGATGAAAACAAAAGTGAACAATCACACATACAGGATTCAGTCCCTAACTGCCTAAGATGTCGTGCAATTATTCCCTGCACCGGGACCGTGGTCAAGTCGTGCCGCAATGGCATAAAACAGCTTCCAAATTCCAACGAATTAGATGCACAAAATGTTTCACCTCACCAAAAACCAAAGAGACCACACCTGCAGGAAAAGGACATGCCTGTTGCCTTTTGTCGTGAATGTCATGTTGAACTTCAAATGCGCAAGCTGCAGTGATAAAAAAGTTTCTGGCAATTCAGAACAGCTTCACAGTTGAAGAAACGCATCGGCGAGAAATCCCCGGGACCACAAGATCAGCGGGACAATCTCAAAAGGCTGGAAAACCGCAAGGCTGATTGTTGCCCTTTACTTAGACGAATTACTAAGTTAAAATGTGTGAATTCCGAATTCAAGTCTGTCAACACTCACCCTGAAGAGGGTTGCCTCCAATGGCTCCATGGCACCATGTCGGAGCCACCATGGAAATCACACTAGACAAGAATGGATCATTATATGATCCGGCAGGAACTGAATCCTGAAACATGCAAACCAGCCTAGATCGTTAGATTAGTAAAGGAGCCAAATGAGGTACTTCACGAAAACGATGTAGGGCATCCAATATTGTCAAACGAAGTCATAACCAGATTCCATAGAGTTTTAACCAGCATGTTGAGAATCCACAATAATGTTTCGGCGATTGTTTCCCAAAAGGACCCACAGTTCGTCGGCGACATGATCTCGGCGAAAATAGATCAAAAAACATAATACTGTCGGCGATGTGGTTTTCGGCGAAAATCTGAGGAAAGTTCTGATGCATGTAAATGTCAAAATTGATTCCAGATTGCGACAACAGTGCAGCAAATTGTATAATATTGTGGTTGGGGTTCTTAGCTTGGCCCCTTGCTATGTCCGAAAAAAGGCAGGTACGTGGAGTTGATCAGACTCCATATCCTAGTCAACTGCATGGAGCTTCGTTGGCGACAGCCATGCAGCGACCCTGTCGCCCCCTGCAAACTAGTGAAAACCAATAAGAAGTTTTACATCTGTTCAGATGGTACACACACACACACACATATATATATATACATGATAGTATATTCTAGTATATGCATGTAACAAGTATATATACATACTTTTTCGACACATATATGTACAAAACATATGTATGCCTAACATTGCCTAATATCATATAACACAGATGATGTGCAAATCACCCGCACCTCGCCGAGATCCGCATAGGAGGCCACCTGCTGATTGTTCTGCCCCGCCACGCCGGCGTTCTCCGTGTAGGAATTGATCACCTGGTGGGGCCCTGGTGGGGCCCTGGTGGGCCAGGGATCGATGTGTTTCAAGGTGCCACATCTATCGGTTTTTATTCAGGTGTTACCCCATATGACCTCTACAGAATCACCCAGAAATCCAAAAAATACCATATGATACCATCTCTTGGTTGTTTGAATCTATCCCAAAAAACATGTTTGCCATTGTTTGCCAACCATCTCAAAGTGTGGTTGTAAAATGTTGTAAAATACATATGCTTGAAACCACCAAGCAGAATGCAAAACCCCTGATGTTCTCATAGTAAAAACATGCAAAAACAATCCTAGTCCATTGGAAGCTGTATTTTTGTCATACACCAAAAATATCATGTGATAACATGAAACTGGACTCCAGTTGAAGATATTGATTTTATTTTATGTAGTCTGGGGTTGAAAGCGAAGGAAAGCAGCTTTTGGGTTCCAGGTAATGTACACGGCCATTGAATCATTGGGCTGCTGGGCAGGTGTCATTTACAGGCTGCGGCCTGCTTCGATCCCAATTTATGTGCCAACACCTTTATTCACAGTTTCCAATTTTTTCCAGGATTTGTCTGCCGTTGATTCTACTCGCACGAATGTTCCCAGCAGAGCTGGTTTTGAGCATATTCTGGAGGTTGCAGAGTGCCAGCCGATGCGAAACATATGCCAGCGATCCGCCTCCCATCACTTGCAACCCAGCGGCTGAATTCACCTTCTTGTAGGATCTGACCCTCAGTTGCTTTGGCCCTTTGCCATGATTTCCCCATGTGGCCAATCCTGGATAACCTGCAGAACCACATGCATTTTTCTTGTAGAAAAAAATTACCCATGAACTCATGAACCCCCCCAAAACCAGGGTCTACTCAGTTTCTGGCCCGACCTGACTGAATGATGTTTTGGCAAACAACAAGTTCGTCTCAGCTAATTTTCAAGTCGTATCGCCACGGATTTGTTCTTGGCATTAGTTTAGTTTGGGGGGCGCCTTGTTCTCTCTGACTCAGATGGTCAGATTGGTTCAAACATCAGGGTAAATTATCATGGCTCACTTAGTAAGGTTCCTTACAATTCGCCCAGAGCCTAGCCCGTGATGAGCACCCATTTCCAAACAAACCATTACACAGTGTAATATCACATGTATACTGTATGTATATATATATATATATATCAAGTTGTTGGCTATATTCCATTGTAAATCCCGTGGTGTATATCCCCATCATTGTTGGATTATACCACTATCCTCCCACTATATCCCCGTTATCTTCCCAGTACTGTTGGGAAATATCACCTGCAACGGATTCCAAATGGTTCCCATGTTTCCCACCGCCCAAGTTACGAAGAGCTTTCCTCCGCCCATGCCGCAGTCGATAGGAAAGGTGCTGCAGTGGCGGCCAACCACCAACGGCGGCCTGTCTGGAATCCAGGCCCTGTCTGGAATCGCCAGCCAAGCTGGAAGATACATCATGTTTAATAACATTTATCTAAATAGTCATAATGTATTTATCATAGATCACAAGCCATTACACATAATTATCCACGACATTTAAATATAATGAGGTATGTGTAATGTTGTCTAATTAATGATGTAATGTGTTCTAATGTCATGTGATGCATGACATTATGTAGTATGTTTGTGTGCCTGCTGTTTCCATGTACGCATATATAATCATCCTTAAGTAGGTAGAATATGGATTTTGAAAGATATTCAAATCATTTGTGTGATGTTGTTTTGAAATTGCCATTTCTATCTGACTATCTACTCCAGGATGATTATAATATATTTGAAGGATGTTTTGAAATATCTACCGCAGGATCTAGGATGCATCGGATGCTTATGTATGATTATACATATGTATATATATATATATATATCTGGTTGGTGGTTTCAACCCCTCTGACAAATATTAGTCAGTTGGGATTACTATTCCCAATATATGGAAAGTCATAAAAGCCATGTTCCAAACCACCAACCAGATACAGAACCTCCTCGCGTCGTCACGTCTTCTCACCTCCTCCGGGGAACATTGAAAATCCCACCTGCCCGGAACGTGGCGCACGTGAGACTAACGCCAGGGTCTCTGGTTCCTCCCGTCTTCATCACTAAGCTGCTGATCTGTACGCCAAGCATGGTATGATTTACCAAAAACAACATCACTAAGACACTAAGAGCTGCCAACTCCAAGCATGGCCAGTCTTACCCCGCTAAAAACGGCTGCTTGGCATAAATTCCCATTCATATATCTGGGTATATTTCACTAACCTGAATCTTGCGGCCATTGGGGATAAATTCCCTTACTAACCATGATTTCCAGTGGGGGAGAACAGTGAGGTCGTTATAATTTACCCAGATATATCCATTGATAGTGAGAAAAAATGAGTTCTAAAGTTCTAAAGTACGCCTGTCCAGTTGGTTTTCCCGCGCCTGCCATTGGAGCACCACTGCCACTGCCAGCACACAGCAACGTCGCAAAGCGAAACGACGACCACTTCGACCTGCGGCCTGGCGTTGATCAAGGAATTGGGGCTGGACTTGCTAGAAATCATCATTCTGGGTAAATTATGATATTTCACTAACCCGAATCTTGCGGTCATTTGGGGAAGATTTCCGGATAAAAACCATGATTTCCAGTGAGGGAGAACAATGAGGTCGTTATCATTTACCCAGATCATTGGTCGGTTCTTGTATATATAGCAATGATTAGGAATTATGAATATCCATGATAGTCATAACCAATGATTAAGCTATTGCTATCGACAATCATTGCCATTAATTGGTTATTATTGTAACAGTTGTTGATTATTAATGGCTAATGATTAAAGTGCTTTTATAAGGATTATTATGAATGAGTATTATTACTAATGATTATCATTATTAATGATTCTCATTACTAGTTATTATTGATGATTATTAATGTGAGTAAAGCAAAAATAAATAAACAACCCATCTCTTGATGGTTTATAGCGCCCATGTGTGGTGAATTTGGGGATGGTAAACACCATATTGTTTTACCAAGATTGCTCAAATATGTTTGCTTGCTATTTGGTTGTTTGAATAGAACATGTAAGTATTAGGTATGATTATTCAAAGTTTCAGCAGGGAAGAACTAGCGTGGTTAAACCCACCAACAAATGATTGTCATGGCTATTGATATGGCATTCCTCCCAACCCAAGAGCTTCTCAATCCGGAGGTGATAGTACAGCTACCAAACCTCCATAGGATCATAAGGGCCCCAAAAAAACCTTGGTGTTTTCGTTCATGATTGGTGTACCCCCACTTTGACCCCTCCGGGTGCTGAAGCACGACCTCAGAACACATTTTATACGACATAGAGGCAGCAAGCTGAGGTGAGACAAGAGCAATTTACATATTAAATATGGGGAGTTGATTACTTGCATTGGGCCCTGCATTGGTAATTGATTCAGACTTTTTGCAATTGGCATCCAACAAATTTCAAGTTTGAACTCTTTTATGGGACCCATAAGCTTTGAAGCATCACTTAAAATGTTTGAATGCATTTTTATAATTAAATGCATCGTTCTATGATTCTATGATTCTATGCAATCTCAACCAGTCAAAAGCCTTCATTTCTTCTCTGCCTGTTGAAGTGTCTTTCTCGCCCCTTCTGGTTTCTACACCGGAGCTTCGTTTCTACTCGAGCCCAAGTGGGCTGGCCGCTAAGCACATCACATCGTGGCAGCTTGCGAACCAGTCAAACCCTTTCAAACCCGCTGTATGAACACTTCAATTTCGAGCCTGTGAGTGACTCTTTGTTAGCTGAACCCGTGTTGAACCCCAAGGTGAGGATTTATCATTTTAGACCTTTGACCTATGTAGTTTCCATTCACTTTAGGTTTTCACAAAGCAACCAAAAAAGTGACTTCCAAGCCCCAACATGGATCCATTCGCAACAGCTTGATCCTGAGACCCTGACCCACATAGGTGCCAAGTTCCAAGCACGCCTCCAGCCATGGTGAACAGCCATGGGTTTAACATCCAGCCCGTACAATTCCTTATAATGGCCCATATACCCTCCAGTAAATTAACATAGACCCTGGCAGATAGGGGTTGGAAGACTAGTTTCCATTAAAAATAGGTGATTTTCAGGGTCTATGTTTATTTACCAGAGGGTAAATCTCTATTGATGGAGGGATGAGAATCCCTTCTGTTGCGAAAGAAAAGTCTCTGAACAAATTTGATGCTCAGTAGATAGGGTCGAGTGGGACAATTTCACCTGTTTGAAGACTTTGCCACCTAAGAAAAGCAGGATATACCAGGAGGGACTGCTTTAAGGTGTTTGAAGGCAAATGCAACTTGTCAAAGAAAAGGCCAAGAAACAAGGCAAAGGGGATCGAAAGTCACCGTCCTTACCTGAAAAGGTGACAACAAACATTCCCCGTTGTGTCAGGCACATATTGTTGTGTGGGAGGTTTAAATGATACACTGAGTGCTGCATGGACCATCTATATAATCAGTGCAACATTAGTGGTCACTTTCTGGACACAGTCACCATGTCCTTATCTCCTCAAAACATGGAAATCCATCCCAGCATACCCAAAACCATCAAAAGAAAGCAATTCCATCATTTAACAACAGGCCATATCTCGAAAAATCATGAAAATCACTATCACCCTTTTCTTCAACCATTTGGCAAACCACCAGGTTCCAAAATCATTCCCAGCTGCACCCCGTCGGGGGCGCACTGCAAGGCTCGCTCGACCTCACTCACTGCTGTGGAAACAGCTACCCTCCAGTCATCAAACATACCCTCTCTGGTAACCCAACAGTGTGCTACAGAAAACCATAATGTTTATTCATGTTTTATATGGGCAAATAATCTACAAACAGGCAAGTTTCAAAGGGTACCTGTAATTGCTGCAGAAAAAGCACCTTGGTGAAAGTAAGTGAATTCCATGCCAAACTGGATTCCAGGAGTGTAGCTTTGGAGATGATGATACGAGCTGTATGTAGGCCGACAATCAATGATCACATGAACTCCACTACATCCAAAAGGTTTGAAGAAACATTGGTTGCAACATGTTTGCACCCTATTCCGAACATCGCTGCAGTGAAACAAATCAAAATCAAAAAACACTGAATGATTTGGGACTCGCATCGCCATCATGCTTAGATACCCTCCAGCTTGATGATTCGCTTCAATTATATCTCATGAGCTCCATTGAGCTTGGGGGATTCATGTTGGTAAATAGTCAATCCACATACCTGTCATGAATGTGGGATCAGGCAGAATCACCCACCTCCAACTATCAACCATTTGTGGGCTATACCCAATAAGAAACAACTCTCTCTCTCTCTCTCTCTCCCCATCGCTGTCAGGTCTGTGCTAGGGACCCCTGCTGTTGTTTATTGTCACTTCAATAATAATGCTCAAATGCTCCATGGATGGAAAATAGACTAAGGTTTGCCCTAACCATAATCCGTCATGTAACAAATGTAGGTAAAATATATACCAACACCCATGGTTCATACCAGGGATGGCTGGCCTGAACTGGTCAGGCCAAAATTCCACCGATTGGATGATGAAGCGGTTTATCTATAACATTGACATTGTCAGCCACATAAAATTCTGCGAGGTGATTGTCCCTAAGGTGGTAAACTCAATAATAAGCCCCCAAAAAATTGCGTTTTTTCGTGGGAATACCTCTGGAAATGGGATGATTTTTTGAATGACCCCCATGTTTGGAGACCGGGATAGTTTATGAAATTCGGTGTAAACCTCATTATCATTTTGTGTCATAATACATAATCACCATTAATTATCATTATTGACCATTACTCACCATCAATGAGCATTAAAATCCATTGAAATCCCATCAAACATTTTTTGAAAATCCTATTTAAAAAATGCCATAAACATGCCATATCTGTTTAAATCAAATAAAGGTACCATAAAATCACCATGAAAAATGGCACGATATGACTCCCGGCCGCAGGTCCCCTCCCGGCCGCACAGTGCCCTGGGCCCCAGACCACTGTGGCCTTGTCCCCCGCGGCGATTTTGAACCACTGCCGCTGGGGCCGTAGGACCTGCTCGGGAGGAGTGACGTTGAAAAGAACATTCTCTATACAAATGCACACTGGCTTATGCATTTATATATATTATATATAGAGAGAGGGAGAGTCCGTTTATCAGAGTTCACCTATGTATGGATATATTATATTCTATTATTGTATTTATTTATATAAGTTATTTGTCCGTGTGCAAATCTATATAGGTATTTGGTATACACGTATACAGGTGCCAACGCACCCAAGTTCTTAAGTGGGACATGATCCACTGCACTTGGAGCGCCATCTATAATGGGTCATCTATAGATGGGCCATGTTCATCCATTTTCCACCATGCTAAATGACCAGAGAGCAGTGCACAGTCCAACTGCAAAACTGTCATCAACAATCCACTCCTAAAGAGATTCACCAACTTTCACCTATCAAATGGGCTCATGTGCGACATCACACTTAGGCACGTAGCAAAGGGCAAATCCATTTCTGTAAATCATGATTCCTGAAGAGGTCTTGGGATTTTCTATTTTGCAGCGAGCGCACACCGCACACGGCATCTGCTTCCAACACGCACCACACCCCCGGACATTCACATGGAATCCTCAAATCAGATATTGCTCATGATCCAAGAAGGCCCAATGGGTGGTACAGGCACCATGCAGGCATTTACCCTCCACTGTCATCATTTCTTGGTGAAAGCGTTGGTCATATACCAATATAATCCAATATATACCATACATCGTTAGCTTCCAAGGGGTGTACTGTACCACTTGCACCAAAAAGATGAGTGGAAATGGATGCAAATGGTGTGTCCAGCCACCTTTCTTTGATGGCCACTGCTCCTTTTGGATGCCTCGGAACTTTTGTACAAATGCGCCATGACCTCTGTAACAGGTCGTGGTCACTCGGAATTCTGGAATCAATGCGACACACGGCCGCGAACATGCAACTTGAGTCTGGACTCGAAAGACGCATCAAATTTCAAACCGGTTGGTGTTGGGTGGTGGCAAACCCACGCAGTGTGCCATACTTGGGAGTGCATTCCGTCCCGGAGAATATATGTTTTCAATTGTTTTTATACTTTTTGGACCCATGTAATTATTATTATTATATATATATTACTATAGACATCTATAGACTATAGAATATTTCCCACCACTGGGGTACAATAGTCACTACCAACTTACCTTTCGTTAATCAAACATGGCTTTCCGGTTAAACTTTCCCAGAATTCGATGAATCGTCCGCCTCTGAGCTCCATTTCTTGCTGGAATTTGCCATGTTTGATTCCCAATATTCAATGAATGTCCCACGCATAGTGCATATTGGTCCACTATATCAGATCCCATTTCATCCCATTATGAAACATTATGAAACTATCTGACTATGAAACATTATGAAACCATGTTTTCCATCAATATAAATCCCCTAATGAATTCTGGCTGAATGATGGTAATTCATCCATTCACCAACCTGAAAATGGCCGCAGGCCATTTGGAGGTTTCCTAAAGTGAGGGTAGCTCCAAATCATCCAGAAATCATCCAAGTTTAAAATGTTTTAATAGGATTTCCATCCTACACCATCCAGCTATTGGAGATCCCCTGTTGAACCCGGGGATCAGAACACCTCACGCCGAGGTCTCAGAAATGCCATGGCGGCACCAGCGCAGGGTGTAGGGAGGATCCTCAGCACCCCTCGGGTCCCAGTTGCTGTGAAGAAAGCCAGAAAGATGCCGAAAATGTGGGATTTAATGGGATTTCATAGGGTTTAATAGGGCTTAATAATTACGATTTCATAGGATCTGGAAGGCAGGATGTGGGCTTCAATATTTTCCAGGTGTCTTACTTTTCGGGATCTTTTTTGGGGGTTGCTATAAGGATGTAATGGGAATACAACAAGAATGGTGATATAATGGGAACAATATGCAACATCACTACGAGAACCGATGAACAAGCCATAAACTGCATGCTTGGTGGCTGCCCAATCCGCAACTTGTTCAACCGGCCAAGATCAGCCGAAACTCTAAAATATCACTTGCCAAGACACTGTGGGACACCTGATCAACGATTGGATCATTTTCAACGCGGGGAAATGAAGAATATCACCCACCAGCATTGGGATATGAAGACAGTGGCTACTTGGATGTAATTGGGCAGCATATGGGACATCAGCTCCAAGAATGGGCCAATGGGGATGTGAACCCAGGGCGCAACTTACCGTTGAAACTCGGAACTCATTCGCCTCCCTGAGGACATCTTGCATGCGCGCACGCACACAGACACAAACACATGGAGAAATATGTACACCACTGTACATCTGAGAATTTATGCAAATTTGATCAAATTTGCACATTGTCCCATTTTTGAAGTGGTGAAATCCGTTGAAATCCCAATTTGGAGGAGACAACTGGTCCGATCCGCGCAATGTAAGCGGTCAAGTCTCGGCCCAGGACGCGCCACATTTTCGCGCAGATCAAGGATGTCCACCCTTCGGCATGCCTTGAAGTCCTGCGGCCAGCGGCCAGCTTTTGGCTGAAAACCCTGGGATTTTCCAGCAGATTTTGCAAAGTCTGGCCCGAACTCCTCGCATATTCATATCATAAGCGAGAACATGTCGCAGAATGTCCGAATATAGGCCGGTACCATCGTATTTAATAAGGCATATAGTGTCATTGTGCTGCAAGCTTTTGGGTTCCTGGAGTTTGCTAGTGTATCCTTGAGGTGCCACTTCAAAAAAAATCATCAACCAATGCATCCACATGACGGACTATGGCTTCACACCGTAGCTATTCTTAGGTCTCTCTCTCTCCATCGCCCTCTCCAAGGGTTCAGTCACAAACGGCGAGCCAACGGCCCATCTTAGGTACCCTGCATAATTTTCCGACCAAAGTATATCCCCATTGGTGGCCAACCAACCAAAACTATGCTGTAAATTGCAATTTTCCCTTCACCAGGGACTTGTTCCAGGCAAAACATCCCAAGGTTACCCAACGAAACCCCGGTTCGAAACCATGGTGGATGTAGGGGATGAAATCATTTGGGGACCATAGAAAGGGGGTGTTTCAAATCACTTGGAGGATCATCCCACTTAATATCACTTAATAACGGGTAAGTACATAGTGTTATAACATGTGATAACCCAGCTATATATGGGATAATTGACGAACCCAGGCTTAACCAGTTCCTTTTACCCAGTAAACCCATCATTTCTTGATGATGTTCTAGGGTTTTCCCATGGCTTTTCCATGGTTTTCCACCTGATAGCCGCCGCAAATGTACATCTGCCCAGCCAGGGTCGCACAGGCACTGCAGTGCCTCCGGAGATGTGCCGGAGCCACGGCACGCGATGCAGCCCATTCATTTGATATGACAATATACTACAGCTATAACACATCAATATAACATATTAAGATATTACAACATGTAACATATATATATATAGTATAATATATTATAAGGTAATTGAAGTGACATTGTGTCATATCAAACAATTAACATGGTACATCCCAATTGTTGCCATATATTTCTTGCCCCACCAGGCGACCATCCTCCAACCGTACCTCTGGGACGGCCAGGGCAGGCTCCTTTCACCTCAGAATTTTAATAGATTTTCTGGACATTTTAATGGGGGATATGATGGGGATTACCTACAAAACACCATGGATTATACAATTCTCATGATGATATATGATGATTAATTACAATATATGTCGGTATATGTCGGAAACAATATGGGGGAAATCAATCATTCTGAAGTTTTAAGAACCCTAGCCGGAAACGATGGTGTTTACCTCCACATTGACCGTGGCTTCCTTTGTGCCTAATGACTTTCTCCGAGTTGGGCTCCGCGACATTCTACGGTCCAAATCCAATTCTCAGGGGTTTGCACTCTGCTCCCGAGCCCCTCACCTGGCCATGCAAGGGCAGCAGGCAAAGATCGCTTTAACCTAAGTGCAAACTGGCCGCTTGCGCAGGGGCTGAGCAAATACTCAAGAATCAAATACCAGCAGAGAAATCGCCCGGCTTGGGGTGGATCCCCCTACTAACCAACATGATACCATCATCTATAGTGATCTCGCCATCAAAATCATCAAACTGCCATTTGACTCGCTATGAAACCACCATGCCGGCAGGAGTTGCGAGCTGGGTTCGGGCAAGGCAGAGATATAACACATAGATGTAAATATGCATATATAATAGGTATATATATATTACACATGGAGACCAGCAACCAGATTGTTGCTATTCATCGGTTCTATCCTGATTTAATTTAGTTTTACTCTATCTTACTTTCATTTGTTATCAAATCCATCTTGGTTATTCTTGGTTCATGACATGTCCCCAGTTTTGATTGATAACACCAGCAGCTTTGCTTGTTTACAAATTCCGTCTGCTCTTCCCAAGATGGCGAGAGGCTCTGTCCAGCACCAAAGCACAGGTTCAAACATCTCAATGCTTGACGCGCTAGGGACTTCAGGCCCCATTGCCTGAAAGGACACGTCTAGGGATCGTCAGCAATGTAGTTACAGCAATAGTCAACCGTCAACAGTTTTTCCCGAAATAGGTGGTATATAGCCATCCAAACTTGGAGGTTTATAATTTGGCTTACCACATTAGTTCATGGCCCTGGTTCATGGATTTGCTTGATGTATCACCGGGCTATAAACCTGGCAGTTCAAGAGCTACCTTTGTTTTGAGTTGTTACAGGACCAGTTTTTCAAATAAATCACACCAAGGTCACCAAGGTGCAAACAGCTTTCTTTGAATAGCCTGGAACTAGGTTGCTAACCCTTTACCAACTAGGATAAACACCCAAACATACCTGGTCAATGGGTGGAATTGCAACAGTTCAGGTCCAGGCTCTCTCAAGGTCGCTTCCTACAGCTGAATCCGAGAATAGGGCTACCCCGAAGAATGCGGTTCCCCATTACACAGTGACCAATTTTCGGATGATTTTGGGGTCTCCCATTTCAGACACCCCATAGATCTTCGCTGCCACGGTTCTAAGATGTTGCCCTCCGCTGTTTTCATCAGGGCCAAGTTCTCACGTGGCAACGACAGTGAGGGAAGCCTCTGGTGCAAAAACACAGGGCATCTGTCGAAATCGTGATCTGTCGAAATTCACTCGGTTGATTTGGGGAAAACATGATGTTCATGTTGAATCTTAATGATCCAAATGTATAATAGGCTTATCCCAATAACCAGTGTCACTTTACATCATCCCAAAAGGATCCAAAAGGGGGTATATCCAACAAATATCCAACAATAAGCCTCTATTAGGTGTGCTTTTTTGGGGAGGTTGCCACATTGATCACTGGATACCACTGAATTTGTTATTGTCATCCCCAAATGATAGGTTTATGGCATTGGTTTTCCCGCATTAAAGGCCCATAAAGGCGTGACCAGGCGACACTTCCCATCGCTGTGTCTGCAAGTGATAACGCTCTGCCGTTTTCAGGTCATGGCAACAGTTGGAACCACCCACCGCCTCAGCTGATATCTCTGTGCATCCCCTGTCAGCTTTGGAATGGTTGGGGGTTGCAAATGGTACTCCCCAAATTCAGGACCAACCAGTGCCAAAACTTGGCGCAGCTGGCTTTTCCTAGGCATGGGCACAAAACACCGTAAATACATGTAAATACCGACTAAATCAGGGTCACCCCTCTGTCAGGTTAACGGCTCTTGATCCCTCTAAACAGATGCAGGACTGTGATGAGCAGTTCAGAGCTGATCTACTGCTCTTCAGGCCTGAAATCACTTTGCGAATAACCGGGGATCGATAAACCCTGTCGTCTTTTTTTTATTAAGGCACTGCTCCCAATGCTGATGATATGCTATTGCAATGGTACGCCCCCAATTCAACAGCGGAGGGGTTAACATTCATCCGCAGTTGACATTGCCGCCCCAAAATGTCGGAGATTCCGCGGCTGACAGTGTGGTCCAGTCACATAGAGGAAGCCACCAACTGCCGCAGCGGCCAAACCCTTTCGTGCCGTGGGCATGGGTGGCAGCATCTGCCACACCTGCAAAGGTCAGTACATTGGCGAGCAAACAAAGCCACTGGTACATCCATTTGTTTTTGAGGAAAAAATCATAGTAAGTTGATGTAATTTGGGTGTTTGCACTGCAAAAAGGGAGGGCCTAACCAATCATCATGGTGCTTTGACATCGGGATATTTGTCCTTGATACATATTAATTATTAAATCATATTAAATCAATATATCAATATATCATAATTAATCATATCTTTTCTAATCCCTTCCTCCTAATACTAAACGTCCCCCTAATACTAAAAACAGGCATCCATCTCCAATTTCCGAAAATTTCAGTTTGGCCAATTTGACTTTTAATTGATCCCCTTTAAAAAACAATTTAAAATCAACCTACCATTTGTGGGTTCTCCCCCCTAATACTAAAAACTAGTTCACCCCGGGGTGTTTAGTATTAGGGGGGCCTAGTCCCAATCCCTCACTCCAAGCTGCCTGGCTACTCTAGCAATTAGGGGTAAGCTTCGAACTGCCATTTTTGGCAATATTTTAATTGCGTTATATAAGGAAATTTAATTGATTTTGAGATCGGAAAAAATAGTTTTCAGCATTAAGGGTTTTAATTTAGTATTAGGGGTAAGCTTCGAACTGCCATTTTTGGCAATATTTTAATTGCGTTATATAAGGAAATTTAATTGATTTTGAGATCGGAAAAAATAGTTTTTAGTATTAAGGGTTTTAATTTAGTATTAAGGGTAAGCTTCGAACTGCCATTTGCGGCAATATTTTCATTGCATTATATAAGGAAATTTAATTGATTTTGAGATCGGAAAAAATAGTTTTTATTATTAAGGGTTTTAATTCAGTATTAGGGGTAAGCTTCGAACTGCCATTTTTGGCAATATTTTAATTGCGTTATATAAGGAAATTTAATTGATTTTGAGATCGGAAAAAATGGTTTTTATTATTAAGGGTTTTAATTTAGTATTAGGGGTAAGCTTCGAACTGCCATTTTTGGCAATATTTTGGTTCCCTAATAATAAATACCCCCCTAATACTAAAAACTACCTGCCGTGTTTTGTATTAGGGGGGGGTGCCATTGACGGTTGGCGTCGATTTTGCGGCACCACTTCTTGTGCATGTAGGCAGGGTGGAATGGGTTAAGGTGTCTCGATACATGTAGCTGTAACCTGCAACTCTCTTTATACTGGCAATATATATCTCCGGCGCCAAGCGCCACTTTCAGAGCATGGGTGCTTTGCATTGTGGCGCGCCTGGTCCATCGGCCTGACCATCGGCCTGTCCATCGGCTCCATCGGCCTCAACGGCTCCAGCGGCTCCATCCATCGGCTCCATCCTCGGCTCCATCCATCGGCTCGAGCGGCCTCATCGGCCTCATAGGCTCCAGCGGCTGCAGCGGCTCCATCGGCCTCATCGGCCTCATCGGCCTCACCATCGGCCTCATCGGCCTCATCGGCCTCATCGGCCTCATCGGCTCCATGCTCCAGCGGCTCCATCGGCCTAATCGGCCTCATCGGCCTCATCGGCCTCATCGGCTCCAGCGGCTCCATCGGCCTCATCGGCCTCATCGGCTCCAGCGGCTTGAGCGGCTCCATCGGCCTCATCGGCCTCATCGGCCTCATCGGCTCCAGCGGCTCCAGCGGCTCCATCGGCCTCAGCGGCTCCATGGGCCTCATCGGCTACAGCGGCTTGAGCGGCCTCATCGGCTCCATCGGCCTCATCGGGGCCTCATCGGCTCCAGCGGCTCCATCGGCCTCATCGGCCTCATCGGCCTCATCGGCCTCATCGGCTCCAGCGGCTCCAGCGGCTCCATCGGCCTCATCGGCCTCATCGGCCTCATCGGCTCCAGCGGCTCCAGCGGCTCCAGCGGCTCCATCGGCCTCAGCGGCTCCATCGGCCTCATCGGCTCCAGCGGCTTGAGCGGCCTCATCGGCCTCAGCGGGCTCCATCGGGCTCATTGGCCTCATCGGCTCCATGCGGCTCCAGCGGCTCCATCGGCCTCATCGGCCTCGGTCCAGCGGCTTGAGCGGCCTCATCGGCTCCATCGGCCTCATCGGGGCCTCATCGGCTCCAGCGGCTCCATCGGCCTCATCGGCCTAATCGGCCTCATCGGCCTCATCGGCCTCATCGGCCTCATCGGCCTCATCGGCTCCAGCGGCTCCATCGGCCTCATCGGCCTCATCGGCTCCAGCGGCTTGAGCGGCCTCATCGGCCCCATCGGCCTCATCGGCATGATCGGCTCCATCGGCCTCATCGGCTCCAGCGGCTCCAGCGGCTCCATCGGCCTCATCGGCCTCATCGGCCTCATCGGCTCCAGCGGCTTGAGCGGCCTCATCGGCTCCATCGGCCTCATCGGGGCCTCATCGGCTCCAGCGGCTCCATCGGCCTCATCGGCCTCATCGGCCTCATCGGCCTCATCGGCTCCATCCATCGGCTCCATCCATCGGCTCGAGCGGCCTGATCGGCTCCATATAGGCCTCATCGGCCTCAGCGGCTCCATCGGTCTCATCAGTCTCATCGGCTCCAGCGGCTTGAGCGGCCTCATCGGCTCCATCGGCCTCTTCGGCTCCAGCGGCTCCAGCGGCTCCATCGGCCTCATCGGCCTCATCGGCCTCATCGGCCTCATCGGCTCCAGCGGCTTGAGCGGCCTCATCGGCTCCATCGGCCTCATCGGGGCCTCATCGGCTCCAGCGGCTCCAGCGGCTCGCCTCATCGGCCTCGTCGGCCTCATCGGCCTCATCGGCTCCATGCAGCGGCTCCGGCCTCATCAGCTCCGGCTCCATCGGCTCCATCAGCCTCATCGGCTCCATCGGCTCCATCGGCCTCATCGGCTCCAGCGGCTCCATCGGCCTCATCGGCTCCAGCGGCTCTGTCGGCTCCAGCGGCCTCATCGGCTCCAGCGGCTCCATCGGCCTCATCGGCCTCATCGGCCTCATCGGCCTCATCGGCCTCATCGGCCTCATCGGCCTCAGCGGCTCCATCGGCCTCATCGGCCCCATCGGCCTCATCGGCCTCATCGGCCTCATCGGCCTCATCGGCCTCATCGGCCTCATCGGCGTCATTGGCTCCAGCGGCTCCATCGGCTCCAGCGGCTCCATCGGCCTCATCGGCCTCATCGGTGTCATCGGCTCCAGCGCGGCTCCATCGGATCCAGCGGCTCCATCGGCCTCATCGGCTCCAGCGGCCTCATCGGCTCCATCGGCCTCATCGGCTCCATCGGCCTCAGCGGCTCCAGCGGCCTCATCGGCTCAATTGGCCTGATCGTCGCCAGCGGTTCCAGCGGCTTCATCGGCATGTCTTTCTGGAAAGCCTATTATGGCCCGAAGCAGGCGGAGTCAGTTGCGTCCATTTTGCGCCTATGGTTTGCTTCGCTGCCTTTTGATTAGTATTGATCCATAGCCTCTTGGCTTGCGATATAGCCTCCAAGTGTCGAACGTACGGGGGGGGGGTTTAGTATTAGGAGGAAGGGATTATATGTGCGTGTGCGCTAGCTATATATCTCGTACAGTAAAATACTAATAGACAGAACTACTCATCGCATTGTAGAAAGCTTTCACTTCTGAACGACCAACAATACTTTGTGCAGCTTGAAACCACCTGCCGTTCCGCATCGTAGTGCTCCACCGCGCGCACAGGACACCAACTGCGACATCTGCCCAGGCCGTGTCGCAGCCGTTGTCCTCCCAAGATGTACCTCGAGCGCGCAACAGGCGATGGCCCAACCTGGCACCCCGGGGACAATCCATGGAGCTACAATATAAACCTTTAAACCAATAATAGATAACAATAATGGATATGTTCCTTGGATAATAGTAGCATTATGTGCCCCAAACCAATACTCAAACATGAGATGCTCACCAATAATATCACCAATAATGCATATTTGCTGGGTAGACCACGCGGTGCTTGGTGAATTTTCCACAACTTTTTTCTAGAATGACATCAAATGACATAAACATCCTCACCAGAAAAATCAGAAAACCTACCGTAGTACCCTCTGGTGAACTAACATAGCAATGGAAAATGGCCATAGAAATAGTGGATTTTCCCATTAAAAATGGTGGATCTTTCCATTGCTATGTTAGTTCACCAGAGGGTAATGGATCTGTTCCATTTTTTGAAGATGGGATTGGAGATCACGTTGAGTGGTTGACCCACTGTGGTCCCACTGGTGACCTGACCAGATTTCAGGTGTCACTTCATCGATCGAACGTGATTTTTCGAAAAATAAAATTGGAGAACTCCGGGAATCGGGAAGCTAAAAATCACGATTGACATCCCCAAACTTTAAGAACCCCATATTAATCATTGATCAATCTTAGATTGTTACAGTATGTTTAATTAAACATCATATCATACCTTCTATCTAATGCCGGTATCCCGTTTCATGCTTTACTGCCAAGGCATAACGAAATAAAAAAACATCTATTTGACATTATATTTCAAGAATTGGATTTACGTTTAATTTCCAAGAATCTTGTTTGAACAGTAAAACCCAATTTCATCTGAAAAAGGACCCATTATTGTTGTGGTCTATCTGTTTTTGGCATTCTGTTGGGCCTCGCAAGCACTAAAGAAAATAAACTGCACATATAATTCAACATTAATATTTGATGTTATCCATTTCATTGTCAAAAAAACAGTAGCTGTGTATTGTATCATAATTCGTCTTGTATCTGACATTCTTTATATAGATTATGCTTGACACCACCTAATCATCATTGGATAAAAATAGCCAATATATTCCCATGATATCCCCCATGGGAAGATTGACAATTATTGGATATTGATATATCATGGTTAAATATCGCATGATATTCCCATGATATCCCTAGTTTTGATGCTTAAATCAATGGGAATGTCAGGATCCTAAAATGGAGGTACCTACCATATATAAGGCCTATTTTTCAGGCCTATGTAAGTGAATATCCCCGCAAAATATGGTCTTATAATGTCTTATATGGTACTAACGTACCTCCATTTTAGGATCCTGAAATTCCCATTGAGGAGTGAATTCTTCCAATGCTTCCCAATTAATAGTTGATTTTCCCATTAAAAATGGTGATTTTCCATAGCTATGTTAGTTTACCAGAGGGTATCCCTGCCTAGTTTTGTTTTGATGATTAAATCGCTGAAAATCCCAAAACGTTTCCGCCAAGTCACAGGTCCGTCCCCAGAGCCGTGGCCGCCGCGAAGGAGCGGCTCAGCGCCATGGGCGGCTCTGAACGCCAGCGCCGGGAGGGCCTGGGGAAACCTATGGGAAACCTATGGGAAACCTATGGGAATTTTCACTTGCAGAATACCCTCTGGTTATTTAACAGTTTGCCATGGAAAATCACCATGCTATTAATAGGTCAAGCCACTGAAACCATCTATAACTATGGGCCATCTATACCATGGCTATGATAAATAACCAGAGGGTAACAAAAATCTGGATAGAAGTGGGACAGTTTCTGGAAATCTCTGGACAAGTCATGGGTGAATAGGTCAGGCCCAAGTCAGCCACTGGATGTCCCCGCCTCTCCCCATCGGCTGTGCCATGCCCTGGCAGACTGTCCCCGCAGGTGGTTCCGACTTTTCCCTGATATCATCCAAACCATCCATACCCATGATTCCCAAGTGATCTTTTTCAAACCCCACTTTCAGTTTTCAATCTTTAAGTTGAATCATATTGAATCCCAACTACAATGTTTTTTTTTCAATTTTTGCTCATGGAATGAAAACATCTTTGCTTGTTCGTAGAATCCCCATTTCGACATGATGTTTTCTTCCTTGCCTCCCAAGTTTTCCCGCCCAGTTGCCTATATCCAAGCTATGCACGCGGCTAAGCACTCGCGCAGCACGTGGCTCAGCACCGGCCCAACAACGGCAAGGGCTGGGTGGGTCGTCGCCCAGCTCGCCGCCCAGCAAAAACAGCTGATACCTTTAGCAGTTCCAATGCTGGCACCCTGAAAAGCAATAGAAAGATGGGGGGTGTAATGGTGGATACCCAGATGAAAACATTGGCATATATAAATAAATTCAAATATAATCTACATATTATTATATAATGATATTTTAATGTTAAATACTTGATCTTAATATATAATATACTCCACATCAATGTTGGTTGATGGCTGTGACATGGCAGGGTTTACTTGGAACCACGAAAGTTGTGATGAAGCGAACGTGTTGATTCGCTAGCGACCTTGAGATTTTACAAACAAGAAGGGGACTTATGCGACCGCATGCCCTCTAATTAGTAAACTAACATAGCTATGGAAAATCACCATTTTAAGTGGGTAAATCAAGTATAAATGGGCAATGTTCAATGGCGCACTATCAGATTACCAGAGAGTAGAGTAGAAGATTTTAAGAACCTGGTTCCCTTCACCGCAGGATACCGCAGGTATCAAGGCGCGGGTAGTGCCATTCCAACCACGAGCGCAGGCATCCCAGCCGGCATGCAGTGGCCAAAGGGGTGGCGGACGTCAAACCCAAGGCAAGGATCACCTGAAAAGTGGTGTTTCAACGGGATAATATGAGAAAATCATCTATAAATGGAGATATCATCGGAGAATCTGGGAATCACGATAAGTCTAATCATCCCACTCTCCCAGAAACCATATGAAACCATGGTCCTTTATATATATATATATATATATTTGTGTTTTCCTCTGAGCGGATGAATGAAGGCCAAAACTCAAAAAAAGGATTCGCAAAACCAGAAATTTGATGACCCACAAGACAGGATGGGAGGTGTATCAAATCATATGTATACCCTCTGGTTATTTAACATAGCCATGGTATAGATGGCCCATAGAAATAGATGGTTTAGCTATTAAAAATGGTGATTTTTTCCATGGCAAACGGTTAGTCATAGCCAGATAGTAACTCCATGGACCCCCACCTCTGAAGCGGCTGCATCGCAACTCACCACCACCTCAGTGTCTCCAAACCCTGGGAACCCCAAAAACTGGGAACATAGAAATAGCAACGTGCTTCAAGGTTCATCATCCCATTTGCTGCACTCAGATTCCATGATGATATATAGGCGAATCTCTTTTTTTGATCTTTTTTGCAGTTTGTGTTGCAAGCCTCTGTCTGGCTCAAGAGGGCAACCATCAATGTTGTCTTGAGCCTACACTGACGCTGTGGTGTCTATAAACATTTCGTGCCAATAGATTCGACGCAGACCACACGGAATTAAAACGGCTTCCAAACTCTGATTGAAATTCTGTCCAAAGGTCAAAGTCTGAAGGCTGTTTGGCAAGGTCACGTCCGCCAAACTCTGATTGAAATAACCTCCAAAGGTCAAAGTCTGCAGGCTGTTTGGCAACGTCAAACCTGCTAAACTCTGATCGAACAACTCTCCAAAGGTCAAAGTCTGCAGGCTATGTGGAAAGGCCACGCCCGCCAAACTCTGATTGAACAAATCTCCAAAGGTCAAAGTCTGAAGGCTGTTTGGCAACGTCACACCTGCCAAACTCTGATTGAAATTATGTCCTAAGGTCAAAGTCTGCAGGCTGTTTGGCAAGGCCACACCCGCCAAACTCTGATTGAACAAACCACCAAAGGTCAAAGTCTGCAAGCTGTTTGGCAACGTCACACCTGCCAAACTCTGATTGAACTCCTGCTCAAAGGTCAACGTCTGCAGGCTGTTTGGCAAAGTCACACCTGCCAAACTCTGATTGAACATCCATTTGAAGGTCAAAGACTGCAGGCTGCTTTCAAAGTCACACCTGCCAAACTCTGATTGAACTCCTGCCCAAAGTTCAAAGTCTGCAGCTTGTTTGGCAAGGTCACACCTGCCAAACTCTGATTGAACGAATCTCCAAAGGTCAAAGTCTGAAGGTTGTTTGGCAACGTCACATCCGCCAAACTCTGATTGAACAACTCTCCAAAGGTCAAAGTCTGCAGGCTATTTGGCAATGTCACGCCCGCCAAACTCTGATCGAATTCCAGTCCTAAGGTCAAAGTCTGCAGTCTGTTTGGTAGTGAAACACCTTGGACAATCTGCTGGAAATTGTAGCCAAGGGACAAAGTCAGAAGGCTGTTTGGCAACGTCACACCTGCCAAACTCTGATTGAACGAACATCCAAAGGTCAAAGTCTGCAGGCTGTTTGGCAAGGTAACGTCCGCCAAACTCTGATTGAACGAACCTCCAAAGGTCAAAGTCTGCAGACTGTTTGGCAACGTCACGCCCGCCAAACTCTGATTGAACAAATCTCCAAAGGTCAAAGTCTGAAGGCTGTTTGGCAACGTCACACCTGCTAAACTCTGATTGAAATTATGTCCAAAGGTCAAAGTCTGCAGGCTATGTGGAAAGGCCACACCCGCCACACTCTGATTGAACAAATCTCCAAAGGTCAAAATCTGAAGGCTGTTTGGCAACGTCACACCTGCCAAACTCTGATTGAACGAACCTCCAAAGGTCAAAGTCTGCAGGCTGTTTGGCAAGGTAACGTCCGCCAAACTCTGATTGAACAAATCTCCAAAGGTCAAAGTCTGAAGGCTGTTTGGCAACGTCACACCTTCCAAACTCTGATCGAAATACAGTCCAAAGGTCAAAGTCTGAAGGCTGTTTGGCAACGTCACACCTTCCAAACTCTGATCGAATTCCAGTCCAAAGGTCAAAGTCTGAAGGCTGTTTGGCAACGTCACACCCGCCAAACTCTGATTGAACATGCATCCGAAGGTCAAAGTCTGCAGGCTGTTTGGCAATGTCACGCCCGCCAAACTCTGATTGAATTCGAGGGCTAGTGATGTAATCGTGTGTATTGCACTCAAGTCTGAAACTGTCAAATGGTGTTTTGTGCAACCTTCCATGTTTTTCCGAAAGCTCTTTGCAACCTCATACGCGTTGATTCGCTGTACGACAAAACTCATATCTGCGCTTTGCACTTGTGGCAGCAGTGGTCGGGAAGCATCAAGAATACGGCAACCCGAAGTCAGCAGCAATTTTCTGCCTGGTTTCAGACCGATCTTTTCTGAGATGTATTTGTACACATCTTCCACGGTTGTATCATCATCAACCTGGGTCCCATACGCAACGAAATCGGCAGATTGAGGATCATCCCATTTTTTGGTGGCACAGAGACATCTGAATCTTATCATTGCACCCTCTGGTAGTCTAGCATAGCTATGTTAATAGGTAAATCATCCATAAATGGGCCATGGTTTCTGTGGCTATATGCAACAAATGACCGCAAGGTACCATGCAACCACCCCCCCAAAAGTACCTCCCCAATATCCCCCCCAAAAAATAAGCTGTGAATAAACCATTGTTAGTCGTGGGTGGTTGATGTTTGCCCTTCATTAGGTGATTCTCACTGGGGCCCATTGGGTATCACGTTTGGGGGTTGGTTGGTTCCCCATGAAACATCCAGCCTGGATCAGAAGGGTCGATCCATCCAAGCCCTTGACATTCAGCGAGTGCGCATCTGCAGCATCCACACGTTGCCTCGGGTATTGTCAACCCAGCATGAATATGCCTTGACTATTTATTGGGGGGACCCAAAAAATACTGATAACATATGATAACATTCTATTCAAGCTGGTACTCCCGTTGAACAACTGGAGGCTTGTTAATCCTCAGTTAGACAAAGGTCTGGAATAGTTCAACGGAATCATCATCCCAAACAAGTGCGTCTATTCAGTGTCGAGTACTACTGTGTTTACGTTCGTGTGAGTCATGTTCAGCGACACCAGGAAGGACATAAAAATTGAGAAATGAATAGTTTCATTGGATTGGTTTAGGAAACATCCATCTTTCATCGGAAAAAAAAACCTACAGATGTCCCAAATAAAAACAACCCAACGACGCCCCAGTTGGCAGGGTCCACCGGTTTGCCTTCGGGCATGGTCCCGCCCAAAACAAAACCTTGCTCGACCTATCTCAGCAACCGTTTATTTGGGAGCACATCTTCATCCCCATCTCCACAGGGCAGCATCTTGTCAGCGAGCGTTTCCATGGCTGCAAGATCTTGAAACTTTGAGTAAAATCAGTGCTCATTCATCTTCTCTTGTGTGTATGCTGCACATTAGTCTATTAATATTAATATTATATATATATAAATATATGAATTAACATGTGGAATCCATGGAGTACATACATGGACTTTGTGATCATTATTCCGCGACCCTCCCAAAAATGTTGCAGTTGACATCTTGCAGATTAAGTTCTCCTTGGCCTTTTGCACCTCTACAAAGAAGTGTATGGAGCAGCACTGTCTAGGGTCAAGTTAATGCCTCGAAGACTTTTGGAGCATGGCCGTGATAAGATTTGATGGTATCCTTGAAAGTGCAAAAATTCTGGGAACGCATTTCCAGTACCCAACAAAGATCTGCATGCCAATCAGGTTGCTGTCAAATGCATCCATTTCTCTGGTTCCATGTTTGGTCACCGGAAAGCTAAGCCGGATTTTTTCAAGGTCATGGGTATTCAGCAATCTCGGGGATACACCCAACCTCCCAAAAAAAAAGGTCACCTTTTGAAGGGCTGATGCCACCACATCCCAGCCCCAGCCCAGGGGCTGGCAAGTTGAGACTCTGGGAATCTGCAGAATCCTTGGGCGCGGTGGTCCAAGGATCTCAGGTCCCCAAAAAATCCACCAGAGCTGCTGTTAGCAGCTGGGACACAAACTTATACGGTAACTCAGCAGCTGGAAAGTGAAACACCCGTGAGGTGATCAACAGAATATTATGGGGGCCCTGCTTAGCACTATTTATGATATTTATGTTATGATTATTTATGTGTCGGCCAGTGAGGTCGCTACGAGAAATACGATTCATCATCCGATATCATCGATATCGAACTCTTGATAGAATTTGGTTGACTTTTGGTGTCAATTTCGAAGCAAATCAACCAATGGACGGATGCTGGCATATGAAAATGAAAGGAAATGGGAGTTTTGGCATGGGTCCTTGGATGCAGCCCTTTCCAAACTAAAAAACGAACTATATAAACATATTCATTCCGCTATTGAATCCTCATATCATTCATTTTCTGACGATCTCTTTCGGTGACCCTAAAGACCTTTGCCATCCAAGGGGCGCTAGTTGCTTCCATGCATAGCTGTTCAATGCATGACTCACACCATGGCAGCGGCTGATGCAGATACTATGATACTGTAGCAACTGAGAGTTGATGAAAGTGATCCCTCTACGCCTCCTGCTTTTGGTGCTGTGAAACCATGAGGAAAATCAGGTGGGGATCAACTTGTCAACCTTTTGAGTTGATAAACACGAGATCTGATAGCAACCTCCCCATCAACGCTTCGGGCTGTTTGAAGGTGTATTGTGCCTGCATCTCATTGAGGTATTGAAATCAACTCCGGAGCCCAACGGAGCTGCATCGGTCAGACCAAAGCTGCAGCATCTTTAGAGGAACGCCCTGGGAAAACTTGATCAAAACTAGGAGGGCCTCCGCAACAATCTAGAGGGCAAGTGGGCACTAGATCCTTGCCTGAAAAACAACGACACTTTCTTGGGCCGTGTTGAGACATCCATGCCAGGTTGGCTAGGAGTTTGCAACTTGCTAAGGGCCCAAAGATCCAGGTCCAAGAGCAGGTCCCGCCGCAGAGCCGCAATAGGAGAAGCTTTTGATTCAAAGATCGCTGCGCAAGTCTTTCTGCCATGCCTCGGCAGGTGCACAAGATTCCCAGTGGCCCATAGCTTGATATCCCTTGAAGAAAATGGCGCGCATTGACAGCTTCAAGGCTTCAGCATACCCTGATCTCAACGTCATACTGGGATGTGTTTTCATATCCCAAATCCAGGTTGACCTTTCAACCAGGCATGCTGCAATTCCGCAATGACCCTTTCTCTCTCTCTCTCTCTCTCTCTCTCTCCCTCTCTCTGCTCATTCATTCCAACCATTCAACTCGTGACCGACAGAGAAGAGACAACTTTACAAACACGTACTGTACGGCCGAAATGGACAGCAGGGATGGGATGGTCAACATTGAAGTCGCCGAGTCGCCCGGACTGCAGATTCTGGTCTATTCTTGATAGTAAACTATCTGTGGGTGCCTAATTTAACCTATACCCATCCAGGTTCATCTTGGAATGACCGCTCCCTGACTATGCTTACAGCATTGCAAGCCAGGCTCTTGATATGCCGGATGTTCTGAAGACCCTGACGCTTCTAAGCTTGATTCAAAATATCAAGCCGGATCAAGCATCTTCAATCAACAAGTCACCAACTCCAATCAACCAAGAACATCTACAAAAACTTACTAAATCTTGGATCCAACTTTCCCAACCTTTTCCCATGATCCATGAACATCCATGAACCACAAACAAATAGACACATCCCGATCGAACGTTTCCCAACGAGCTTCGATGGGCCCATGAGGCGCTCGCACCACGCTGTGAGGCTTGGGACCTGACATTTTTCATACCATCCCCATCCATCCAAATTAACATCTGCCATTCAGAAGTTGGACCATTCTAGTACAATTATAGTACATTGTAGTATAATAATGTATCATAATGTATAATAATGTATAATGATGTATAATCATGGTAGTTTTCACTTAAAGAATCTTGTTTTTAGGGGTCCAATGCATAGGTTAGTGGAGGGTAGATCACGACTCAACGCTTGCGCCCAGCCACTGTGCTCCTGCCAAAAATCTTCCCCCAGCCGGGGTCTGAACCTGTCACGAGGTGCTCATCCCGAAAAAAGTCGTTCAGCCCGGGTATAGCTGAGGTTTTACCACAGTTATTTGTAACAGAAATCACCCGCAGAAGGATAGACAAGTTTCTTTAAACATATTTCAACCATTTTTTGAGATGTTTTTGATATAGGATTTTGATGTTTTTTTTGTGTGGGAACTGCTTTAAGTGAGTACTTATGTACATGTATGTAGCATGGTTCGGACTCATGCCTACTCCAACCACTCCCAGTGGACTCTTTTTAGACGCGCCTCTGGCGTAGTTGGGCAGAAGCCCACCTGGCAAAAGCTCCAAGGAGCTTTGGACATCCAAGTGATGTTGGGTCTTGTGGGGTGATCTATGGACTTACCCTCTGGTAATTTAACCATGAAAAATGGTGGTTTAATGGGATTTAACATTGATTTAACCAACAAAAATGGTGATTTTAATGGGATATACCCTCTGGTAATGACTAACAGTTTGCGACATAGAACATGGCCATAGAAATGTCGTGAGTTTTCCCATGAAAAATGCATGGTGATTTTCCAGTTCGTTATGAAAACGTTTACCAGAGGGTAACATAACTGATATCACTGATATCATAAAACTGGGACATTTTTTTGAGATTCTGACCGCGAAAAAAACCATTCAATGGATTGGTTTAAGGGAAAATCTACAGGAAACCATAGATTTTCCCATGAAATATGGGGCTTTCCTGTAAATTTTCCCTTAAACCAATCCATTGAACCATTCATCACTAGGAATTTCAGTGATCACCTGAGACCCCCCATGGCTTTTCCTTAAACTCCTCGGTGGCGCCGAGTCGCTGTTCGAAGGGCGGCAGAGACACTTGCTGCGGCTGTGCCGAACAGTAGGGTCGTGAACCAGGCTTCGCCAAGTACCTCAAGGGACGGGTAATGATGAGAGGCCCAGGTAGAAATGTTCTTTTCATCTCGATCATATCTGGTTGGTGGTTGACCTACCCCTCTGAAAAATGATGGAGTGAACGTCAGTTGGGATGATTATTCCCAATATATGGAAAAATAAAAAATGATCCAAACCACCAACCAGATGCGTTTTTTGTTCAAACATGTTACTTAATGGTTCCAAGATATTCTAGTTACATCTAGTTACCTAAGCAACTACTACAGATAGTTGATACTTTGAACAGGCTGGAAGTAATCTGGAAGTAATGAACAATACCAGCCAGTCTGGTGCCTGGGTCCCTGTTGCATCCAAGGAACTGTTGATGGTAGTCCTGGGCAAAAAAATGTCGTGTGCCTGATTTTGAGAAACTTTCCATTCTCCATCATTCTGACTCAGCATAAAATCTGCCAACAATCACCCAAGGTTATAGACGGGGACACCCAAGAAGCAGATTTATGCCACTGCCAGCAGACAAGCAGATTGCTCAAAACCCTCACCACTCGCGAGGTTTATCTGCTTATTACAGTCCAAAATGCATTTATACCCCAAAGATCCAAAATCTGCTTATTACAGTTTAATTTTCTACTGAGGTAATTGTTACCGTGCAGATTTTATTGGGCTACGCCTGCGCCCTGGAATTTATTGGGCTACGCCCTGGAATTTATCAGGGTCAATGAAGGCTTCAACATCGGTGAACCGGCATGTGCCCTCATCTAGCATATCTGAGTGAGATGCCCGAACTTTTGTGTTGTTTTCGCAAGTCCACATATTTTCCTGACATCCCCAAAAATGGGACTTGACCCTTGCAAAGAACATATAAACAAAAAATAGACACGCACACATATATATATTATATATATATATGCGTATTTATTTATGTATGTTTTTAAAGTTGTCCATTTTGGTGGTCTTTCGGATTTTGCCTATAATATGCTCTGTTGTGTTGGAGCCTTCTTATCTACCATGGCGATCATGTGGGGTGTGACAAGCAGATTGTTAATCTGCTTATTACAGGTCCTTTCGGTTTCTTTGAACACTGTCCTTTGAACACCTGATAGTGTCCTCCTATCAAATGGGGGGGTGATAAGCAGATTGACAATCTGCTAGTTACAGGTCTTGAATGTTTTGACACCATTTTATTTCAAACATTGAGAAAATGATTTTAAAAAAAACTATGTAAAACAAAACAATGAAAACAATGAGAAAATGATGAACAACTATGAAAGAAACAATGAAAACAATGAGAAAATGATGAAAAACTATGAAAAACAGAATGAAAAAAAATGAAAAGTCCATTATGTTTCCCGTTGTGGTACCCCGTTGTAGTGCCCCGTTGTAGTACCCCGGGTGGATGGGTCGAAGTCCTCGAGCCAGACCTTTTCAGTATTTGTTCATTGTTTTTGCAATGTGTTTCATCATTTTCTCATTGTTTTCATTGTTTTTTTCATAGTTTTTCATCATTTTCTCATTGTTTTCATTTTTTCCATAGTTTTTCATCATTTTCTCGTTGTTTTCATTGTTTTTTTCATAGTTTTTCATCATTTTCTCATTGTTTTCATTTTTTCCATAGTTTTTCATCATTTTCTCATTGTTTTCATTGTTTTTTTCATAGTTTTTCATCATTTTCTCATTGTTTTCATTTTTTCCATAGTTTTTCATCATTTTCTCGTTGTTTTCATTGTTTTTTTCATAGTTTTTCATCATTTTCTCATTGTTTTCATTTTTTCCATAGTTTTTCATCATTTTCTCATTGTTTTCATTGTTTTTTTCATAGTTTTTCATCATTTTCTCATTGTTTTCATTTTTTCCATAGTTTTTCATCATTTTCTCGTTGTTTTCATTGTTTTTTTCATAGTTTTTCATCATTTTCTCATTGTTTTCATTTTTTCCATAGTTTTTCATCATTTTCTCATTGTTTTCATTGTTTTTTACATAGTTTTTCATCATTTTCTCATTGTTTTCATTGTTTTTTACATAGTTTTTCATCATTTTCTCATTGTTTTCAGTGACTGCAGGGCCATCACCATTCATTTGCAAGAGGCTGTATAAAATCGCGGACTATCACACACACACACACTGTGGGACACACACACACACATATATATATATAGTACATATAATTATATATATACATATTTAGAAGAAAAACACAATCCACCTTTTGGGATTGACCTGTAAGAAGCAGATTCACAATTCCACCACTTTTCCCAAATTCCTGGAATCTGCTTATTACTGGGTCAGTTTTGGGGCAGGTCATTTTTGGTAGGGTCTTATTTTAGGAAAATCCCTGATTTTGAGGTGTCATAAGCAGATAAAAATCTTCTTATAAGACGTCCCAATCTATAGATATGGTTATGAAATTTTATTAATATGGTTATAGAGATGGACAGATCATGACAGATCGGTGTATGCCCAATACACCCCCGGACTAAGATCCTTCTCAGCCTATATACCATGGCCCACCATGTCAACTGTTCATGGCGCCTCAGCATAGTAGAAGACCTCTGGAAAGTCCTTGGGATTCACGAAACGTGCTGAGACGTTGAACATCGTTCCTTCAAGCCACTTCAAGACATCAAAACTCAAAACTCATCAAAACTCATCAAAACCTTTCTTGTTCCCTGCTTTCATCCTGTGAGACTTTGCATGAGTTCCTCAGTCTTTTAGAATTGATTAATTCAGCATATTTGGGTATCCTATTGTAGTCTTTGAGTTTGTAATTACATGTAATTACTTTCTGGATGTCGCCGAAGACTCATATGAATTCCCTGCACAGAATACCTGGAATGGAAGCCATTTCATGGTTTCTGCTTCATGGTTAATGGCGGTTTCCATGTTGAATTTCTTTGCATCCCATTGTTTAACGCTTCGAAGCTTCCGCAGCAGATCGAATCTCGGTGGTGATGTCCTAAGGGACACCCGCAAAAGCCTTGTCTTTTTTTATCAGTTCCAGGAGCGTTATCTGGTTGGTGGTTGACCTAGCCCTCTGAAGAATGATGGAGTGAACGTCAGTTGGGATATATGTTGGGATGATGACATGTCCAACTGAATGGAGAAAACATGTTCCAAACCACCAACCAGTTATATATGATCACAGACTGGCCCTGAGGTTACCGAGAATTTGTACCAAACCTGTTCCAGCGGTGGATTCAGTGGATTACGATGGATTACGTACTTTGGAATTTGAAGCTCCCAAATGGATCCAAATGGGTGCCGCATGACCGCATGTGATTTTTCATGAATTTTCCCCCCATGTGCTGCAACAAGGGAATCTAGGCATAATCTCGTCTAGATCTGCCTACTGATCCTACTTTGCCTCCCAAATTTCACAACTCGACCTGGGAAGTTGCCTGATCAGCGGAAAACCATGTTCCATCACTTTCAAAAGCTTTGATTTTGTCTTTGGGGTTCATCATACAGGTTTCAGAAGGATGTGCGACACCAAACCCACTCGCCCTCTTCAAAAAGTTCAGCATCTTGAGGCGAGGGCGAGCCTCCAAGTTAAACTACAGTTGATGAACATGGCACCTCCGAAGTAGCCACCAAAAAGTTACAGTTTTAGATGTTTTTAGCAATGAATGGGTTGGAAAGGGTTGGAAGTTTGTGGCGCCCACCATTTAGAGAAACCTCCCTTTACCCCCGTCGTTGGACAATTTCCATCAGGACGCTCTTCTGATGCCCGCGGCATGCAGCGCCGCCTCAGGCTACCCGGCGTCATGGAAAATCGTCATCCAATTTCTCTTGCGATGGAAACAAGACCTATAGCAATCCGCAAATTTCCAGGATGGTATAGGTGATGTTTCCTCCATAATTTCCACGTATCCAACCCTTTTCTATCTTTTTGGGGGGTTGCTATAGCGTGGAAATGGTTGAAACATCTTGAAACATGTTGAAACCACCAACCCGTCAAGACTTGGGGATCATATCTCAAAAAAATGGTGGGAAGATATGCATGTCAAATATATGTGCACCAACACGCACCAACCAAATATAACCAGATCATGGTGGCCTGATATGCGTCACGGCTCTCTTCGAAGAGTCTCTTCTGCTCCTCATCGAAGTAGTACAATCCTCGGCCAGGCTTGGGTTCCAAGTAAAAGTTCCCCACGTGCCAATGCCCTATAAAAATGAGCCCATTTCATAGGCAGTGGGATTCATCCCATCATCTTGGAGATTCTTGGACCCTTGGATCATTTCAACATCAACATCGTTTAACCATGGTCATTTCCATGGTCATTTCTGCACCCCTTCCAAGCATATCCAAGCATCCGCTTCGGTACTGAGTGCCAAAATCATTTCCTTGTCCCATGTACTGGGTGGGGTCATGGGCCTGAGCTGACTGGAAATCCCCTGGCATTCTGCTGGGATCCCTGGCATTCTGCTGGCTTTTTTCACTACGGTTTTTGTCTCTGGTCATCAAACCTGGCAACATAAAAATCCGCCATGTCTAGACTCTGTTTTAAAGATCTAAAGGACCATATTCAGAGTGGATTTCCCGTTGCCATGCTTGATTTTACCGGAGGGTTACCGGACCAGGCCTCCCAGAACCATCGCAATAGGTCCATTAGGTCGATCTTCTTTGGATCGAAGATTGCTTGCACTGCCTGGCGTTAGCAACGACGAAGCGGCGGCTTTCGGACTGCAGGCAGGTTGATGAGAAACCTTGGGTAATTGAAAAAAACTAGCAACGAACCTTGAAAAAGTAGGTTGGACTCGACATAACTCGACCCACTTTAGAAATTACTGATAGTTTAACCAAAGTACCATTTCATGGCAGCAGAATCCCTTCCGGGAAAGAGAGTGAAAATACATGGTGCACACTCTCAAGGGACATCGAAGCTTTTCGTCCGCCTCTGCATGGCCGGTCCTTCCCGTCACCACCTCTTCATAGGTGGGATTCGGCGTAAAACCTGGCAAAACGCACCAGAACACTGCGTGGTGCGTGGAAAATTGCACTTCTGCCACCAACCAACTTTGGGAACATTGGGAGCTTTCCAGTCAAAACTATCAAAACTTGAGGTCTACCCATCCAACTTGCAGATTTAACATGTAGAGTTCCTGATTCAATCCTCTCAAATCGCCTGATGAGAGACAAATGCCATACTTGAAGCGCAGTCGAACCACTCTCTCAGATCATTTAAATTATATGATAATTATATATATATAGAACGGCACACAGAGGAAGAATATCTCGGGACGTTCTCCGGGACCATCAGCCCCAACGATTGAAACCAATGGGTGATTTTAACCCATAGGAAGGCCACGGCATTTTTCAAAACGGGGGTCATCATTGAGTCATCCTAAAAAGGAAACACGTACTGTAACACATGACTAGCAAATGTTGGATGATTGATATTTATCCATTTCATTTATTCTTAACATTTAATTACATAACTATAAATCCAGACCTTTGAGTATTGCAACTGTTTGAACACCAGCCATTGTCCCAGACCGAAATGGTCGAGTTCACCCTGGCACCTGCGGCATAGCCGACGGCCGTGGAATACACTCCTCCACCTGTGCCGGCGAGGGCATGTTTCACAGGGTTGCTTCGGAAAATTGACGAGAAACATTTGTTTTTTTAATGCCTGTCAAATTTAAGCGGAAGTCTCGCCAGGTTGTCGTCCTGGCGGTACGTTCTGACAAATTCTGCGCGAAGATATATATATATGTGTGTGTGTAATTTATTATTATCATTATTATTATTAGTATTACTATGTATTACTATTGTTACTATTACTATTATTATTATGATTATTATTATTATTTATCATATATATTATATCATATCATATATTGCATCCACCGTTGATAAAGTAATTAATTGTATTGAGAAAATATGAGCTCACATAGAGATTCGTTCAAAAAGTGCAGTACAACCAAGGTGCTGAAATCAAACTATATATATAGCCGTTTTGTTGAGGGTTTGTTCCCAATCATCTTGGAAAAGGATGGAAAAGGCAGCTGTGATGAACCCTAATCTAACCACTACGGGGTATGACTGACATCATGACCGACAAGAAATAACAATTGATTAGAAACAGGCAGGGAGGTTCATCATCCATCATACAATCTGCAAAGGCACTCAGCTTTCGCAATGACTTGCGGATCCCCTTTTTGCAAGCCTCCAATGGTTCGAGAGAAAGGCACCATCAATGGTGACTTGAACCGTCACACCGACCCAGCAGTGTCTATCAAGATTCCACGCCAATAGATGCGGCGAAGATTGCACGGAATAAAACAGGATTTCAAACTCTGATTAAAGCCCAACCCGAAAGTCAAAGTCTGGAGGTTGTGTGGCAAAGCCACACCTGCCAAACTCTGATTGAAATTCCGGCCAAAGGTCAAACTCTGCAGGCTGTCTGGCAACGTCACGCCTGCCAAACTCTGATTAAATTTGCGTCCAAAAGTCAAAATCTGCAAGCTGTTTGGCAACGTCACACCTGCCAAACTCTGATTGAACGAACCTCCAAAGGTCAAAGTCTGCAAGCTGTTTGGCAACTTTACACCTGCCAAACTCTGATTGAACTCCTGCCCAAAGGTCAACGTCTGCAGGCTGTTTGGCAAAGTCACACCTGCCAAACTCTGATTGAACATTCATCCGAAGGTCAAAGTCTGCAGGCTGTTTGGCAACGACACACCTGCCAAACTCTGATTGAAAAAACATCCAAAGGTCAAAGTCTGCAGCTTGTTTGGCAAGGTCACACCTGCCAAACTCTGATTGAACGAATTTCCCAAGGTCAAACTCTGGAGGCTGTTTGGCAAGCTGACACCTGCCAAACTCTGATTGAAATGCAGTCCAAAGGTCAAAGTCTGCAGGCTGTTTGGCAAAGTCGCACCTGCCAAGAACCCATCTTCAATGGTCAAAGTCTGCAGGTTATTTGGCAACGTCACACCTGCCAAAGCCAAACTCTGCTTGGAAAAAAATCCACAGGTCAGAGTCTGCAGGCAGTTTGGCAACTTTACACCTGCCAAACTCTGATTGAACTCCTGCCCAAAGGTCAGAGTCTGCAGGCTGTTTGGCAACGTCACACCTGCTAAACTCTGATTGAACTCCTGCCCAAAGGTCAGAGTCTGCAGGCAGTTTGGCAATGTCACACCTGCTAAACTCTGATTGAACTCCTTCCCAAAGGTCAGAGCCTGCAGGCTGTTTGGACACGTCACACCTGCTAAACTCTGATTGAACTCCTTCCCAAAGGTCAGAGCCTGCAGGCTGTTTGGACACGTCACACCTGCTAAACTCTGATTGAACTCCTTCCCAAAGGTCAGAGCCTGCAGGCTGTTTGGCAAAGTCACACCTGCCAAACTCTGATTGAAATGCAGTCCAAAGGTCAAAGTCAGCAGGCTGTTTGGCAACGTCACACCTGCCAAACTCTGATCAAAATTCCGGCCAAAGGTCAAAGTCTGCAGGCTGCTTGGCAAAGTCACACCTGCCAAACTCTGATCAAGTTCATCAGGGAGGGCCAGTGAAATAATGGCGTTGATGCCATTCAAATCTGCAGCAGTGAGCCTATCCATGGTCTCTGGCTGCATGGCTCTCCAGAAACTGTTCGCAACCTCATCCATACTGATATGCTGAGTGATGAAACTAATTTCCTCATTCTGCACCTGTGGTAGCAGCGGTTCAGAACCAATGAGCATGCTGCAACCTGAAGTCAGCAGCAACTTCCTGCCTGCTTTTAGACCCATCTTCTCTGAGATGTATCTGTATGCATCTTCCAGGGTTGCACCATCATCAACCTAAGCTCAACCAAGCGCAAAAAAAAAGAGAAAACCAATTGGGATAACAACAAACCCATCTTTGTGTTGAACCTTGAGGAAAAAGAAAAAACATATGTGCCATTGTCAAAATATGGTATATGAGAGATGGTCATCCCATCATCACTATGATAGGGGTTTTCAAATTGACGTTTTTTGTTTCCCTTTTTAATACTATAAACATAAACTTTATAGGCATTACAAGATATTACAAGTACCATCTCATGGCACATATGAACAAAACCACCAAGATCCACCTGGATCTGAAATCTTGATCCGTCCAAGCCCTTGATGTTCAGCGAGTGCGCAGGCTGCGCAGGCGTCTCCTCCACACGTCGCCTCAGGTGATGTCAACCCCAAATGAACAGTAAGCCCTGACAATTAATTGGGGAGGTTCCCCAAAAATAGTGGAAAAAAAAACATATTCAAATTGGCACCGCCCCTTTTTTCAAGTGGGGCTTCTTTGATCCTAGGCTGACATTACTGAGAGAGGTCCGGAATATCACACTGAAATCCGCCCGAGAAAGGTGCGTCTATTCAGTCGTCATCTACAGGTCTCAATCATTTTCAGTGATGCTCAGGATATAAACAGTGAGGAAGAAGAAAGCCCCGCAATGCAATCACCAACCCCTCCCAACAACAAAAAAAACTTGCTGGACCTATCTCAGCAACCGTTTGTTTGGGAGCACGTCTCCATCCCGCACATCTCCACAGGGCACCGTTTTATCTGCGCCCGTTTCCATGGCTGCAAGATCTTGAAACTTGGTTGATTGAAATGAGTGCCCACTACTCCAAAGCGCTTGGAATCGATGTAAACAGAATATGCAGCCTGTGATGACATCCCCAATTGTTGCAGTAGACATCTTGCAGTTTGTTCTCCTCCCCTGCATCAGCATCGCTAAAATCACTGTATCAATCTGTAGAACTTTACGGTTTAGGTCCTATAGGTGGTGTGTTCAGCAAGTTGGAGCACCAAGATTGTCCCAATAATATGAGCCTCCAAAAATCCAAATGGACTCTCACATGTCTGCACAAGATTTCAGCGCTACACATACTGGTCACATACTTGCTGGCTACGTTTGGTTTAGGGCCCCAAGATGTCCCATAGGCATGGTACTCAACGGATTCTTTGGGATTCAGTACCTAAGCTTCTTGATGCAGTACTTTATGGGGCCAGTTCCTTTTGGCGTGACGGCCTTTGGAGGAAATGGTTTGTTTGGGATGTTTCTGGTGTCAAAGCCATTGCTTCATGCGATCTTGAAAAAGGATCCTGGTAATGTTGGTCGTCAGGTACCGCTCCAAATGCTTGCTTGCTATTTTTTGCGGTGAGACACACGTCAATACTGTATATCAAAAGTTGCCAAACATATCTTCTTAGCAATTCCTGTGGGCAAACAACCCCAGCAAGGCAAAGCCAATCCAACCACGGTGGTTTAATGGCTCACCGGCTCCGGAATGGCATATGAAATCCGTTTCACAAAATCACGGTCGCTCCTGGCAGGCGCCAAATGCCCTTCTCACTGCCCCAGAAACAACCTGAATTGCTGAGCCCGGTCAGTGGGGAACCACCGTGGCTAACCCTGCTGGTTCATTCAATCAGTGGCGTTCCCTGCAACACCTGGATATACAGTACCTGGATCAATCATGAAATCAAGGGTTACTTGGTTGGGGATTCGGTGGTTTCACTGCACAAACCGACACAGGCAAGCCAAATTTGAATGGCGAACATGTGATCCAGGATGGTTTGGTGGATGTTGATAGTTTTTTATTCATGCTTTTCTAACATTGGGTTTGCCAAAATCGAGAGCCCAAAAAAATCCTCTAGGTTATTTAAATCGGGAAAGCAATGGTTTTGGGGTCTCCCTTTGACGAACCTCCGACATAGATAAGCCAAAGACAGACCCACAAGGAACTGTAATCACCGATAATGACCAACATGACAAAGGCTTTCTGGCAGTCTTTACATTTTGAAGTGATTAGTGGCCATCTTAAGCTTCCCCGCTTGCAGGAAGGATGTCACTCCATGAAACCGGGACTCACAACTACCAACGTTATCTTGCTAAAATGTATCCCCGCAAAATATTCTACTTTCTATGCACCATGGCGGATATGTTCATCCATGTTTCCTGGGGTCCCATGACCAAACCTGGACTCCGCGCCCACAGGGGCCATTGAGACAAGCTGCCATTTGCGAACACGAAGCTTTGCATGCCTGGCACATGAAGTTGGAGGCGGTCAAACATGGCAATGGGATACTTCCTATCAATGGACGTGCATGATGGAAAACATCAGTCAATGGGCAATTTTCCGTAGCCATGTTAAAATACCAAAGGTTATCACCCATCAAACAGTAATGGCTGATGATGGGACAACATGGGACAGGGATAGAACTTGGGAAGAGGACTTGGGGATCTGGCGCCAAGTCGGGCACCCGGTGCCTTGTCCAAAAGCAGGGCACCCAAACAACCACTAAAAACATAGTGGTGACTATGGTAACTATGGTAACTATTTAAAAACAAAAGTGGTGACCAAAGTCTATTTTTTATTTTCCCAATCAACATCACCACTAAAAAATAGACTATGGTGACTATGCCATTTTCTGTGGGGGTCTCGCAGAAATAAATAGATAATAATAGATACGAAAATTTGTTTGGGGGCAACACCCGACCTTGTTAGTTATATCCTATGACTATCCCATGGGTTATATCCCCAGGCACTTCCCCAGTCCTGGGGGCCATGGTCCTCTCATGGGCGTCTTGAGCACATAGTGCTCTGCACTCACCTGGTTCAGGTATAAAGTAGCGGGGGTTGTGTGTAACTTCAAGGCCCAGTTGACCCACATAGTTTTTTTTTATCATTTTTGCTGGGGATATGTTTGGTATAGTTGGGGTTTACAAGATCTGTATTTTATGCGTGTGACTGTGTCTGGTTTGTTTTGCTGATGCTATTATAGCATCAACTTGTGGGGGCCAAGGTTGGCTGGTTCCGGAGAGTCGGGAAACTACTGCACCTGTACCCCTACGAGTGGCCAAGAACAGCTGATAACAAATTCTATTTTGGGCACAATTCAACTTATGCATTGATGTGAAGCAAACCCAAACTTGGTTTCACCGGCAGGTTTCAAGGAACAGATGCAGCATACCAATGATTTACTTAGTGAACTGGGTGCGTGTTTCCATAGCATGGGAGAGTATGTTATTGCGTGACGGGATGGGAGGTCACAAGAATATACAAAGCCACCAGCTAGATCCTAACTACTTGGCAGTCTCAACCCCTTCCAAATATGCTTCAAGAAGTCAAGTGCGCCAATTTTGATCAGCATTCCATTGTTTGATCTTTGGGTCTGAAAATAGGCTACCTATGGGTACCTATCTTATATAATTATTCCACTATAGTACATACATCACAATTTTTCCCTCTTAAAAACAACATGCATTTTCAGACCCATGGCCTCCATGGGCGTTGCTCGCCCAGGTAAGGCGTCAGTGGGACCTGAGAGAGCTGGCCTTTAAGGTGGCTTAATAACCTTAATTTCAAATGGATATCTAATGGAGATCTGATAGCAAAAATGGATATCTAATGATAATGGAAAAATATATATCTAAAAAAATCGGAACAATGAATATCTAATCGGACTTCAATGGAATATTGCTCAATACCCTCCAGTGCCACACACATCAATTCTCTGCGCTGTCAATGCCTAATGCCTTCCCCCCAAGAATGACAACACTTCGCTAGAAACCTTGGTTGGGATTTGACTAGGGTTGGATCTCTTCGTTTTGCGGTCCCACGCAGGGGAAGTTTTCAATTGTGGATCATCACCCGAGGAAAAAAACAATTCGGTCATGTTTCGAAACACGGCAACAGCATCTGGCGATGACAGTAATTGAAAAAAATATGAAACTATCATCTGCAGTACTGGGAGTAAAATATTGTGGCACCGCATAAAAAAATCCTCCACTGGGATTATCTCCTGAGTCCAAACCCTTGATACATCTCCGGTATAGAGGGTTGCCTTTTTGACAAAGGGTCCCACAAACGGTGACTCTACATAACAAATAGCAGGGAGGTCTAACCTGTTTCATCAACTGTGAATAGAGGTCTGAACTATAGTAACTATAGTTTGGTAGAAAAAACTGGGGATCACAACAACTGTACAAATAGTTTAAGAATTAATCCATATTCTCTCATATAACCATACAGTTCAATCCACTTCGCAGCCTCACCCATTTCACAATCACTCAAGTCGATCCAGAAGAAATCCCGGATACCCAGCTGGCTCACTCACAAAAAGGATGACAAAACACCACCCACCACCCACTTCCAAATAAACATCACCGTGATAAATCAATTGGGCCCCTACTTGGGAGGATCCTCCCACTTAGTAAATCGTTAGTATCCATGCTTAGTAAGTCCAAGAACTGACCTTATCCCATTGATATTTAATAGCTGGTTGGTGGTTTTTCAACCCCTCTGAAAAATATGAAAGTCAGTTGGGATTATGACATTCCCAATATATGGAACAATAAAATTCATGTTCCAAACCACCAACCAGATAGGGTTAGAACCCAGTTGCTACCGGTTGACCATTCCTCACTTGCCGCCGAGCTGCTAATCATTTGGCTGCTCCCGGCCAGTGCCCGGCACCACAATGCCTGGCACGCCTTCTCCCCGTGGCAAGAGACACCCAACCAAACCTTGATCAAACTGTAGGTAGTAACCGGGTAGCATGTGCTGTGTATATGTGCATATATCATATATAATTATATATATGTATGCGTGTGTGTGTGTGTTTAATGTATCTATTTTAATATATATATATACAGTGTACATATAGAAATACATTAAAGTGTATATACCATGGTCAAGTTACATGTCAAAATACATGGTGCCATCCCACCATCACGAAGGAGGTTGCCTTTCAATTAATCGCCCACCTGTAGCACCAGCCACGGGCGAACCAGAACCGCGAGAATCGCCATAGCTATTCGGGGGATCATGACCTGGAGGATGGAAAACTAATGAACAAGTACCAAATGTGTTGGATTATGACCTGGAAGATGGAAAATCAAAGAACACAATGTGAAAACAGTGCGTAAACTTCGAGTGGTCTCGCCACTAACCATAAAAGTTCGGCATCTGCAACTACAACAATCTGCCGGATGGATTTGGTGATGAAGTGAGTGATGTGTCACAGAATGCCTACATCTTTTGAAGGTTTAGCCATACATCTACCCCATTCAGAATGATCGTTTGGACGCCAGCACTCCTTGACCAGTTCCATGTCTGCGCAGGACATGAAGCGGTAGGATTTGGACATGAAGCTGGTAGCGGAATTTCTATGACATATATTCAGATATGGAAAATTATGTTCCCATATTCCGGTAAGTGTGGTCTTTGCAATGATCACTTCAATTTCCTGTTGCACTTCAATGAGCCAACATGGCTGGCTGGAAAGCTGGGTTATGGTGGGTGAATGATGCCGCCATGGTTTTGGCATCTTCATGGTGCCCCTGGAAGGCCAATATGGACAATCTCGGATATCCAAAAATTATTTTGCCTAGCTGATTGGATCAGACCGATCCAAATGGCACAAAGTATCAAACCAATGCTGAGATACTGGATCCTAGAAAATCACGCCATCTATCTGACACCTTGAGGGCAAAGTTCTCCAAGGATTTCAGCACCTCCAGTCGGTGCATCGCGGTCCAGTCGGTGGCACCGAAAAAGGGGACCCCAAACGTACTTCGAAAGGCTCAAGAAAGTGGTCCATGGTCATGTTTCTTTTGGAAACCATCTTGCCAAGTGTCCAAAGCCCGAAAAATTGGGTCATAGGGCAGCCCCAAATCCGGTTTACACATCATTTTCTGGGGGTCACTCCCTCCCAACCTCCTCCGGGGAGCCCTGGACGGCATGTTGCAAGACATATTCCAGCGCCAAGATGGGCTTTGACCTCGGTGAACCCCGGGAAGTCCGTGCGGCTTGGGGACAGTTCATGGTATGAATCACAATGAACTATTGAAAATGATGATTGCAATAACTATGAAAATCGCAGACACAACAAAAGTCAACAAAGTGATAAACTATCATGTGCCTTAATCACAACTATAACTATATTTCCAATCACCATGAATTACAATGAAGTATGATGTTTGTAATTGAACAAACCCAGAAAACGGGTTGTTTATGATAAATGATGGGGATGTTAATCAATATAATCAATGTGATTAAACAAATGGAAATGTTCATTTACCCGAGATGATACGACTTGGGAAAACATTCAATTTTACTTACAAGGTTTCAAGTTGTCAAGGTGATATCCATGAAACCAGGCAATCCATATCAAGATCATATCGGACCGTATCCTCAACTGGTTGTCCACCAACAGCTTTGCTAATTTGAACCCCCATTCATCCATGCTACAGTGGCTACATTCCCTTCAGAATAACAATCCCTACTAGCACCCAATCCTACTGGACCCATCTGATTTCAATAACAAGCTTACCCTGGTCTTGGCATTACAATACCATTTTCACAGTATAGATTAGTCTATAAAACTTTGGGGGTTGGGATTGAGGGGTATGGTTCTCCCTGGAAATCCGTTCCTTGGCTCATTAAAATATATCATACAGTTGTTTGCATTCACGAATTGATGACCACCCCCTAATATGGACTGTATGTGTTAAGTCTTGACTGTAGCTGTTTAGTTATCTTTTTCCATTAGATCACCATCTTGCCATATATACAATCATTAATCTCCATTAATCCCAGAATTTTCCATGAACCATTAGTGATTCCATTATTTCAATCACCATTTTGACTGGCCCATTTTTCATCACCATCTCCACGATGAGATCCCAGACTTCGTAACTGACGACGCGGACGCTTCCTGGGGGTGACACGCCCTTGCAAAAAGATGGCTAAGTTGATCTAAGTTGTACATGGGGATCTATGGGGAAAATGGAGATATAATGAGAAGATCTGAGGGGCTACTTGATTTGTACATTGTAGAGAGAGAGAGAGAGAATATATATATATTCCATACATTTCCATACTGAAGCTTCATGAGGAACATAATCTCCAAATGCGATTAAGAAATGTAAACAACATGTCCATGAATTCTTACCCACTTTTTATCTTTTTGGGGGTAAGGGGCAGCAAAGGTCCAAACATCGCCAATATCCACATGTTGGTTCTGTTTCCTGAAGATAGGTCTCCGCTTTGCCATCGAGCTGCGACTTGAAGCCTCATTTGGCTGCGGGAAAGTGCCCGGGTAGAAACTTGACCCTTGACCGGGTGTGTTCTTCTGCTAGATGATTATGAGGTATCATGGATTTCCCATGGATTTCCCATGGATTTCCCATGGATTTCCCATGGATTTCCCATGGATTTCCCAGATACCCATGGGATTTTATGCTGTTTCATAGTTGATTTGTCCACAGCACGTCCCCAAAAATTGCTATCGTCTTGGGTCGAGAGGAGACCATGCCCCCACCGGCAGGTGGGCCTCGCCGCACCGCAAGGCCTGCCACGAACATGAGAGAAATATGTTTTTGATTTTTGCCTACTCTGGCTGGCCTATAGAATCTTAATAATATATATATAATAAATTGTGCTTACAGAATTGTAATGTTTTTTACCATTGTTCTTTTCAATGTTCATCATTTTGTAACTGTTTTAAAGTTGTTCTTCTCATATGTTTTTTTCTCATCAAGTTTCATCATTGTGTCGATGTGTTGTTCACTTTTTCAAAGTTTTTCCACCTTTTTTAGCTTTACCCTGGTTGTTTATATGTTTTCATGCTTGAACTGACAAGAACATCGCTGCATGTCTTTCTTCAAGTTCAATTTTTGGACATCCACTTCCTATTTGGAAGACACCCACTTAGAAATGGAAGAACCTATATATATGTGTGTGTGTAAATATATATATTATAAATTACATGAAGGGAGGGAAACAATATATGCCCATATACCCTCCGGTAATCAAACATGGCAATGCAAAATCCTCCCTGTTTGGACAATCCTTCCATTCAAACACCGATTGAATAAGCGGGTTAGACCCAAGTGACAGTATGTGTTTGATGTTTTTATGCCGGTAAAGATTACACCACCAACTCTGAGATCTCAACGAAGGCCTTGGGAGTAGCTGCGAAAGTAAGCGCAAGCTTTCAGCGTCAACAGAAGATCCATCCCCAGTCCTGCTAGGCTGAGCTAACGGCGGTGAAATTCTCCTTACTATTTGATTGATTTAATGAAGATTTCACATGGATTTAATAGGATATAATGGGATATCATGGCATAAGTAATCAACTATATGATATTTTGGGGGGTTCTTAAAAGTGGGGGACCTCAAAATCATCAAATTTATTGGGCACCTGACATCGGCAAACCAGAAACACCAATTTAAACCCTTTAAAGATGGCAATGGAAAATCAACCTGTAGATGATGTCCTGTTGCCATGTTAAGTTAAACTTGGAGGCAATTGGGGTGTATCCTTTCTGCGGAAAACCCCAATGCCCCAATGTGTGAGAGTTTATTGGACTCAGCTCGTAGCTTCGCTTATATACCAAATTTGTCTGAATACTTGTCTTTCAACATTGGCAGTCAGGGTGGCAATGATTGTTTTATACCGCTCATCATTCATCATAATGACAAGCTCACACTTTTGAAAACTGGATGGATACTTGTTGGGTACAACATCCACCAACCGTTTGTTTAGTTTGTTTTAACGATTTACCCAGGGTATAGCATGGTATAACATCCTGCAACTTTGGATTCTACCATTTAGTTCCTATAGTTGTATCTTACGATGCATAGTTTAACCCCTGGCTGTTGAACATAGTGACTACAGGCTAATCATAATAAGCTGACTGACCACGTAATACTGAGCGGAACATTATCATATATCATAATTTGTATTGAATAACTACCATAACGACCAGCCAATAACAAAAATGTTATATAGTTATAGTTATATAGTTATACATATATATATATATACACTATTGACTATTATGCCAGAATAGCTCCCCTATGGTAATCCAACATGGCGTGCTGGAAAATCCATGAAAATTACTTCGATGATGTTCCCATCGAACGAAACCTTCATATCTGATTGGGATTTCCCAAGTTGCTATATTTGATGATTATCCCATCAGTCTCCCAATATGATCCCTATAGTAAACCATACAAAACCACATAAAATGATGATCCATAGGGGGTATTTAATATTGTTGATATTTGATATCTCATGATAATCCATATTAACATGATTAGCATTGATTAGCCCATATTAATCATCATTTAATATGGTTTTGTATGGTTTAATAGGGATCATATTTCGGATACTGATGGTTTTTACATTGGTTCATTTTGTATTAAGCCATTATCATCCCTATTAATTATGATTATTATCCCTATTAATATGTTAATGATGATCATCAGTATCCATAAAAATTTCCCATTTGATGATTCTTATGGCCCATGGCAACGCCAGGCCGCTGCGCCTGGCTTTTTTCGTCGTTCGGCCTCCGCCAGGATGGGTGAGAGACCTGGCACTGAAACCAGGCCATGAGGGGACCGGGGCGGCATGGCCTAAGCTCCGGTTTTTTGCCTCTTGGGAAACATAGAAAAAACATGAAAAACTATCGAAAATGACCATGTGTAGATGATGATCATAGAAGAGAAAATGGTGATTTGCCATACTTATGTTAGCTTTCCGGTGTCTATGCTATGCTTATGTAGGTTTAATGTAGATGTGTTACATAGGCTTCTGAGGCTTTATTTATGCAGGTTGATGATGGTTGATGCAGGTTGATGTAGGTTGATGTAGGTTCGAAGCCATATGAAGCCATACTTGAAGCATTCTGCGGGATGTTTGAAGCCTGGAAGATGATCAAAACATGTGTCAACTGTTGCAAGGTCCATAGCCTCGACTCGACGAAACAAATCGTCATCCGTGTTTGGAGGAGCTCATGATCATCCACAATGTGGTGCCCCCTAGATAACTAAGTTGGTTTGCACTTTGGTAAACTAGGTTTATGGTAGGTATATCGAACTAGTGGATGGGATTGATAAACCAGAAAATTGAAAACATGACTGGCGGGGCACCACCTTGCAGCGATATGTTTTTAATTGTTTTTTTTAAGCATGGGAAGCAGCACATGGAAACGGCCTCCCTTGGGACACAGGGTGGCACAGTTCCTGGGGAAACTGGCAACTTCTGCAGCGTTTTCTCCAATGGATGCCAGCAACGTGTCACATTTTTTTAACAGACTGCTGGAGGTGAAACGACCTGTGAGACTAAGAAACATCGAACAAAGAAATCTGTTGTTTGGGCCATTTCACTTGCCAAATATCAACATCTTTCGAATATGTTTGGTGCTATGGAAAATGGCAAAACAAGAAAATCCAGCCAATGTGCCGATGATTTTTTTATAGATGATACCTTCATACGATTATACCCGATATCATCCGAAAACATCCAAATTTTCGGTCCAACCAGGGCGCCCGGTGCCCGGGACGTCGCCGGCCCTCAGCCCATGTTGTCCAACAGGCTATTGATGGCCGACTCCACCACCCAGTCCTGGTCCTCCAAAGCCACCTGCCTGGGTTATTCTGGGTCAAACATGGTCCAAAAATGGTGGAGAACCCATGGAATTTGCTGGTGAATTGGAAGATAGCTGGGAGTTATATATGAATTTATACGGATTTGAATGGATTTATATGGATTTATATAGATGTATGGGTTATATTGGGTTATGACCTGCCAGATGGCACCTGAAAAAATGGAACGATCATCCTATTTATAAATTGCTTCTTGCATCCTTGGTCCTTGATATTGACCACACAGCATCTGGGACGTGCAGAGTCATAAGATCATTCCCTGGCATCATTCCAATGAGCTACGTGAAGTCGCTATCCCCATGGCACCATCATTTTAAGCATGCTTTGCTTGGTTAAATACCTTGACGGTTACCCCGGGGTAAACTAACATAGATGTGGAAAATCAACCATTGGTAGACTATTTTCCTGGCTTTTCTTCCTCGTCTTCATGCTTTTTCCACATCTATCTTAGTTTCCCCTAGGGCATATAGATTGCCAGAGGGTACAGTTATGGCCCTTTACCAGTTAGTACTGTATACTTATACCACCATTTGTGGATGGTATAATCCCAGAGAAATAACCAGTTAGAACCATCAATCATCATTAATCACATGTTTAGCCATTATTATCCACTATTAACCAGCTATTAATCACCATTAATCATCCAGCATCCAGACCCAGTGACGCCATCGCAGCATCGACGCCGGTGAAGTTCACGACCATCTGAAGTGAACGCGGCACGGCCCGGTTTTCGGGATGTGTTGAACCGGGCGCGATGTGAGATGTGAAAAACCTCCAAGTCTGGGTTTTTTCTGGAGATATAGAAGGCATATAATTTCATATCATGGGGATATACATGGATATACTAAACACAATCCGAAAGCAGCATGAACAGTTCATAAAACCAGAAGTGTAAACCAAAGACAAACAGAGGCGGACTACGCCCTGCCTCTACTTTGAACTGCCGCTGCTCCTCCTCGGATCGCCTAACAAAAGGTGGGGTTGTTTTTTTCAGGCCATAACCCCAAGAAACCATGCAGTCCATGCAGCATTTCGTGATGAATATGTTAAATCGGACGCCAAAAAAGATCAAAAAAGGCTTGCCAATATACTAAAAAACTAATGTTTTGTTTCATTCTGCGGGTGACTCACCAATTCCACTCGAAAAATGAAGGCACGCCTTTAAAACAAAACTTACAAGTGGATCATTTGAACCTGGCATCTGTTTTTCCAATCAGTGCTGAAATGAAGACGGACACTGGACCAACATCCTATAGTCAAAGTTGAACTCCAGTTTGAATGTTTGTGGTGGTACGAATGTGCAATGACAATGTATTTTTTTTCAGTTACAGTAATATACCCATAAGTTTCAGGATATTTACTGCATTAAAATTTCCATCATGGCAAAATGACATGCGGCATGCGCCTCAAAATCGAAAATTAAATGGAGGTGAACATACCATTAAATCGGAAGGTCTCAACATGGGGTCTATCCCCGAAATGACATTATATACTAGTATATATATAGTTGTTTTTTTTCGCATGACATTTGGAGGTGTTCCCAATATGTTCAGACAAACAAATCTAAAATGATCCGAAACACAAATATATAATAATATATATATATATAAATGTTCGCCGTGTTGGTGGTCAAAAAGTAAAAATCAATACAGTAAAACAATACAATAAATCAATAAACACACAGTAAAAATCAATACAGTAAACACACAAAACAATCTATAAATAGCAAAAATAAAAGAAACACACAAAGCAAACATATATAATGTGGGTAACCCCACTTTTGATGGTTTATAGTTTATACCACCCATTTTGGGGATGGTTTATGAAATTGTAACCACATCAATCATATGTGCCCTTTGGTAATTTAACAATATTTAACATAACTATTGAAAATAGCCATTTATAGTGGATTTACGCATTAAAAATGGTGATTTTCCAGAGTTATTTTTAGTTTACCAGAGGATCCAGAGGGTAAAAGAAAATGAAACAAACATCTTTCACTTCCAACCCTTTTCCTGCCAGGTGGCGTTCGTTCCAGCCGCGGCGGTGCGGGTGCCACAGCAGCGGCGGGAGGTGCAGGCTCGGGGCGCCTGAGGTCTCCGGAGGATCTGGGGGATGCCTAGAAAAAAACGGCAAATAACATAGGGACGCTTAAAATATCCAAGTTATTTCGCAAACCAAGAAGTTTGGGAATTTGGGACGCAAAGTATATTTATATAAAAATAACATCGATAACATAGCATATAATGTCATAACCAAGAAGTTTGGGACATCAAATGACATAAATATAGTAATTTCGCACAGCTTAACACGGTCTAATCAAGGAATTTGAATGGATGGATAATCCCAGCAGCTCTCATCCCAGGGAGTTGATCATCATCCATGTCAACCCCAAATGAAGCCGTTGATCAGGTGAATTCACCCCAAAAGAAACCATGCTTTAAAGAGGTTTAAAGTTTAAACAGCCTCAGTTCCCGATTACAACTCGCTATTTGGATCGATTTTGATCTACTTTCAGACAAACCCAAATCACGATACTGGTTATTTAACATAGCCATGGAAAATCCCGTAAATAAATGGAGGTTTCTAGCTGGGAAAATCATCTATAAATGGGCCATCTATACCATGGCTATGTTAAATAACCAGAGGGTAAATTAAATGGCCAAGGCTTGACATTCAAAGCTCACCCTGACCACGAAGCACCTGGACTCGTCTGTTGGGGGAAGCACCTCCCCCGCTGCATACTTCCTCTCTGCCTGGCAAAGCGCGAGGGTCAGTGCAAAGGTGTCTGAAAGTTGACAACTGGCAGTAGGGAATACGTTTGCAAAATTTTGCAAATGCTCCATTCCAAACAGCCACCACTCAACAGTCATGGTTTCCAGGATTGATGGTGGCAAATCAGACCTCTTCGTATGAGGCCTGAATTTGCTAAACAATGCTAAACATGCAGTTTTGAAGTTTAAGATCCACATTATAAAACATGTCCCTTCTGCATTCTGAATGTGACCCAGGTCTGGATGACCCCCATTTAAGATGCCTCTTCCAGACTGACCCCTGCTCGCAAGTAGCGCTGGATCTCAAAGGCACGCTGGGTCCTGGCCCCCAGTAGTTTCAACATCAGTTGGATCACCAATTTTCACAGGCCCTGATCAGGGCTTCGATTGAATATGAAGGGGTAAGAGATTAACATGCCACTGATTCACACACACATATATATATATAATTATATATACATGCGAAATTCAAGCTCCATTCCGATATATGGCCTTCATACATACGCGCCTCTCAATCAAATGTCCCAACAATACTTGGGCAGCCCACAGTCACTGACTTGGGCATGCCCAAGTACCACTATAGTCACTATAGTCATCATATGATAATTCCAAGATCAATAAGTAACCATATAATCTATGTTCATCATGATTAATTTACCTAGACCCTCCAGGTGGCAAAAAAAATGTGGTGAGCCAAAGCCACTTGAAAAAACGGACTCTTTGCCATTTCCCTTGGCTTTTCATAGGATTTTGGGGAGGGAACATCAAAAAATCTCAGTCCAACAGGATCCGCCGCAAAAAAAAAACGCACCTGGCCATGGCTTCCTCTTCGTTCAGCTCTGGCAGCTCAGAGGACATGGCCTGGAGACGGTTTCATAAGATATCATGTGGTTAAAACAATAACTGGTTGGTGGTTTCAACCCTACCCCTCTGAAAAATGATGGAGTGAAAGTCAATTGGGATTATGACACTCCTAACATATGGAAAAATAAAAAATGTTCCAAACCACCAACGAGATAATACACCACCCCATGTTTGACGGTTTATACCACCCATAAAAATGGTGATTTTGGGGATGGTTTATGATTGTTTTAACCACGTTAATGTGGCTAAAACAGTACCATAAACCACCCATTTGGGAATGGTAACCATATCACCTATAAAAATGGTGGTTTGGGGGATGGTTTATGGCATTGTTTTACCCATATTAAGTAAGATGATAGACTAGATAAAGGATAGATAATTTTATAAAATGATGATAAAGGATTGTATGATTATTCCAGGATGAGATAGTGGATGATATAGAATCGTATAGGATGGTGCAGGGGAATATGAGATAATACAATTAATATTCTTAAATTAAGAGGATTAAAGACATATAGATGATAGAAGCTAGCTATAGATTTTTGGGACCCGTTTCTAGATGATATAGGATGATAAAGGATGATATGAAGTTACATATGAGATGATATAAGATGATTACAGGCTATAGTAGATTATAGAGGACGAGACAGGGATCAAGAATCAACAATCTATGTGGATTTGAAGTTATGGACCATTTTTGATTAGTCAGATCCCGAGTTGGTAGTTCTTAAGGCAAACCTTGGATTTAAGCGACAAAGAGAAAATTTAACCATGAACATGTAAAACACATGGAAACATCGAAGACGGACAAATGTGAATGTCCAAGAATTTTACACATGAGAGGCCCCCTACTATCTATAATTATCCGTAATCTATAAACGGGCTTTGAACCATACTGTAACCATTTCTGGTGGAAAAAGGAGTTGATGGGGCATTGAACTGTGCTCAGTCGAGCTTGGTCGACCTTTCTTCAAAGTCAAGGCTGGATCCCCCAGGTTGGATCAAAGGATGAGATCTACTGTGGTCAACTGGAAGTGATAAATTGCGATGATATCTGGTTGGTGGTTTCAACCCTACCCCTCTGAAAAATGATGGAGTGAGTTCGTCAGTTGGGATGATGACCTTCCCAATATGATGGGAAAAATAAAATTCATGTTCCAAACCACCAACCAGATATATTCCAATATACTCCTGTCACAGAAACCAAATTGAACATAAACGAGCCTTCAATCAGCCTTGATCCGCACATTTTTCAAAACATCACAGTACCAGGTTTCACCTACCTTGGTGTCTCATATTCTGGGCACCCAGATCAGCAGTTTTTCCGGGGATCTCAGTAGCCCCTTGTGATGGCAACCCCCGCTGCCTCCGGCTCCCTTTGCTTGGCTTCCGGCGATGGCGCCGCGGATGCCGCAAGCAGCTCCTCGTCCTCCGGCGCCTGCTCCTGGGATGGGATGGATAGGCATCCCAGGTAGTTGGTAATAACCCCCACATTATAGTTCTGACCAAGTCATATATGGACTATCTCTAATGAATTTCTGGGTTATAAACCAATAATGAACTGGGATGCACATTCAAGTAGGGAAACATGGCACGCAAAATATGGGGTTCAGGATTAGTATATTGCAAACCCCAAAGAAAGACAGAAAAGTTGGCCACCTGGAACTGAGGCTAGATATATGAAAAATAACAAATAATTTAGATCCTCCTGGAAACACGGTTCTATCTTTTTGATTCTTTTTGGGAATTGATAAAGGGGGGGCGTAGTTGCTACTAGTTGCTACCTCACTTATTGGTGATTTTAACTAAGCCATACTATCACTCACAATTTCAACAAGGGGCTACGGTTCTCAACCACCTAGCCTTCCACGGGATGGAATACACTCCAGCAATCATAGACTCAGGATGACTCAGGTGGTATGGAAATCCACCATGAAAATGAATGCAACAAATTTCCAATCGGGAAACCTATATACAGTACTACATATGTCCATGCAGTTTTGTTACAGTAGCTAAATGGAGGGTAATGCTAGGGAAAAATCGCAGGATATCGCAGGGACAATGACTATTAGTGATTATGGATATCGATCGTGTCATGTCTAAGTTTGGGGAAATTGTGAGATGAAGATGAATGGTCCCCCCTAAAGTGGGACAGCATCATGGCTATTGAAAAATAGGTTGGGAAATACGTCATAGTCACGGTGGACTTCTGGCATGGCTAAACGGCTAAACGTCCCAGCGATCCAACGACCACCGTTTTTTGGCACCTCTTGAACGCTCAAGGTGCATCTGTGGAAGTCTTTGGTGATGACATCGCCTTCCTTTAAGACCTGACCAGGTGCAGTCATCAGATTGGTCGAGTCATCTACGTTGAAATCCACTGGCAATAGGGATTTCCTACGCTGAAACTAGATCTTCCCAACAGGATGACTGGAGCCCCCAAAGCCGGCCTTCCTGGGATAGGCCATTCTCAAGTGGATACCCCAGGGTAACGCCTAAGTCCACAGGAGAAAGTCAAGTCCTCCGATGAGCTGCTGGCATTGTATCATCTGGGAACAGAACCGGTGTACTACCATTACCACCATATTATAAGATATAATTTAATATAATATATATCTATATATATCCTGGACAATCCTTGAGCCGCATAATTTTCGATCTTTGTGGATTTTCGGGTGCGGGCCTAAAAATCACTTTTGGGCTAAGAGTGATGGATTCAATGACACAGTTTTGGTGTCAAAAAGTTGGTCTTCCGCGTCTCTTCTGCGTCATTGTGCGTCATATTTTTGGTCCTTCCAAATGTGACTGAAAGTGGGCAAAATCAGCAATTGTTCGATTATTGGTTGCTCACTACTTTTCAGTCCAGACCAAAAAGAAATGCAGTTTTTGGATGTCCAGGTGCAGTATCTAACAAAATATCCATAGATTAACTACCCCACTGAATCAAGATTGACTGGTTGGCCGTGTCCAGCTGTCCAAAAGCAGACAAATTTCAGTTTGAGATGAAAGAGCAAAGATTATTAGCCATCAGGCCGGAATGATCATGGCACGTCTTTTTGTGTTCTGAGATTTACAAAGCCTATTTCCATGTGGCACTCCCAATTCAGCAGGCCCACAGCAAAGACATGGGCCATTTAGCTGGGTATTCCTGGGTGTGAATACTCCCAGAATAACAATGCGCTGACAATGAAGGAAGACAAAATGAACACCTCATGCTATGCACTTTGAATACACCCGTGAAGATGTAAGATGCCCATAGACTTCCCCAAACATGGATAGGCCATGATAGGCCCTAAGGTCTAAGGTCTAACCCCCTGGTCGCCACTGCATCGGTTCCCCATAACCTGAACCAAGGCTCCTCTTGAGCCCAGTCCGACTCTAGCGCTTTGGCCACGAGGCAGGCTATGGGTGCATCCAGCAGGAAATGGCCTGGCTGTGCGGAAAATTGGAGCGGCCAAAGGCAACTTGCACCATGAACTTTTAGTGATGTAACATCATCTAACATAAACTAACCTATCTTCCTCATGGATTCCATCATTTTTCCAAGAAACATGGGGATTTCATGGGGATTTCCCTGGAAGCCTCTGCGACCACCGGCCTTTCACTTGGGAACCATTCGGCATCCGCAGTGCGATGTCTACAGCTTCACCTTCCCAGCCGCGCCACTGATCTACCAAAAAGGTTTGTTTCAGAAAGGTCTCAATACAAATTAATGGTTAAATTGCACAGGTACCCCGGTATCCCGAAGTTTGCGACATGTTTTCCCATGTGATTTCCAAACTTTAGCAGCAGTTGAAACCAGTTTGAATCCAACCCGAAGCCACTTGAATAGATGTTGAAGTCATCCATCAGAATGAGCCACGTCAGGGACCTGACCATGGTATGATCCTCTGGCCTCACAGCTCACATCGCGTGGTTCACCCTTGCTTGGTGGTCTGTTGGCTCCGCCTGCTTTGACAGGGCCTCCAGAGGTTTTGCCCTACACTTCGCCAATGCTTTGCAAAGGCCGAAGCACACATCACAAGGAGATCACAAGGACATCATATGAGACTGCTATGAAGCCGACAAATTCAACAATTGTACACATCGCGCACCTCTGCTACATCCTTTGGCCATACTCTGCTACATCAATTATCATCAATTGGCCATGTTTGGATTTGTGGAGCCATATGGCGGTCCATGCCAAAGATACTGTGCTCGATTTACACGGCGTAAGTGGCGCATGTCCATGAGGGTGAGGAACATAGCTGCGGAAGCCGGATTGGCCCCGTGGCTTTCCAATCGACTGGATTCTACCTGCAGGACCGGTTTGGAAGAGGACCCTTCATCGAATTGCTTTAAGCGCTTCTTCAGCTATTTGATGTCGTGATGTCGTCGCTCCCCTGCTTTGCATGTTCCTTTGCGTTTGCCTTCAGCTTCTCAAGCATGGTCTCGCACTCTTGCGGGTAGTGTTCCAAGCGTGTCTGCAAACCCTCAATACGTTTCCCATGCAGTAGTAGGTTAGAACAGGTCAACTGGGTCAGCTGCTGCTCTGGTGTCTGCAAGGTGGTGGTCACTTCCCCGGGCTTCGCTGATGAACAAGGAATCATCTGAGTCAGCTGGATGGGATGTGGCTGCCTGACTGCCGTCCTCCCTCGCGGTTCCACACCAGCAAGGAGAACCAGGGCATGATCCAGGTGACTTCCAACTTCGACCAAAGGCATCCTTTTTGCCATACGTCTAGCAAACTACACACGAGTCTGTCAGTCTATCATATCTTAATTATTTTAGATTTTGCGATAATATGGCAAACCCATCCGCCCTGTCATCATCCGGCAATCTAACCTGCAAGGGAAAATCACCACATGTATAACAGCTGTGCAAAATCGACAATGTATTGATTTCTTAAGAATGTCCCATTGCTCTAGCAAGCAAAGGGTCGGCTTCATCAGAGACACCCAGCTATAGGCTCATTGGCAAACCCATGCAAGTACAGATATATCTGCCAAACCCCAGTTATTTATGTAGTTAATGTTCATTGAAACACAACTGTTTGTAAACTAATTCAATCTCCAACTTGCAGGGCCGCCCACCTCACAGCAATGCCATGTGTTCAGGTCCACCATCCCTGGCGCCTGTCTTCTCTGCCGTTGCTTTTTCTGCGGAAGCTGCTGCCGCCCGCAGAGCATCGTAGCGCCGGCGCCGTGCGGTGCGGCAGCGGTCTTCCAGGTCCTGGGGGATTTAGCAAAGAAAATAGCATAGCTAAATAGCTATATGGGTATGGGTCTATATAGATACATTTTAGTGGGATGAACATCCATAAATCCCAGCTATTTTGGGGTTCACTAGGTACCAGGGTTTTGACCCATCCCCATATATGAAAAATAGACCATTTACATCCATTTATAGATAAATTATAGATGATCTTACCTATTAAAAGAGTGGTTTTCAAGCTATGTAACTATGTTAGTTATGTTAGTTACCAGAGGGTACAATATGTGTGACACCAACCATTTTATGGCGAAATAACAGGATATAGTGACTAGTGGGATGTTGAACTTCTTTAACCAACACCTGTGGGATTTCCAGTACGTAGAAACTGTGTGTTCCTTAAAATGGGAGGCACCATTACCCCACAACGAAGCACTGCTTATCTGACCATCTCCTGCTGCTTCTGCTTCGACATTTCTCTTTTCAGTTTCAAGGCAGCTAACGAGCGATCTTGAAACTCCTCAGCAGTGGCACAGGAGGGTCCATGGGTGGTCGGATCAGGCATGACAAGAACTATGTCATAGGATTTTGATCCTAAGTTTCTGTTGCTGTTCTTCTATGTTCTTCCCCCTTGTCCAAGGTTGAAAAATGTTTTTTTCCTTGACAGATGAAGGCTCACCCACAAGACTGTGCATCACTGCATCACTTGACAATGGGAATAACACCAGCTGAAGCAATAGATTTGCCTAAGTCAACCAACCTCAAGGATGTTTTTACGATCAGGCTAAGTCGGCAAAAATCGATTATACAAAACATATCAAAATATACCCTCTGATCACTTAGCCTGCAGGTTTTGGCTAAGTGCTAACGGCTGTTGGTGGTATCACCATCCCAAATATGGCGGCCTTGTGGTGAAAGCCGGATCGGGTCTAAAGGGCAAGTTTGGACAGGTAAATGTTTAAAAAACCATGGTGCATGGTACACTTGTTCAACGATGTTTCATAAGAAATCACTTCAGGAAATGGGCATCTCTGAAAATAGGGTAAGGACCCCAAAATTGCAATTTCATTGGGGAAAATGAATCAACATCCGTCAGAATCCATCTAGAACCAATGGGTTTTGAGTGGTGTTCCTATCATTTTCACTGGATTGTGGTTCTTTTCCATGGTTTTATGATGTTTTATCCTATCATTGTTGCACCCAAATAGCCGCACCAATGGCCAAAAAAATCGAGAAAATGACTGGTCCTTCTTGGCTGCTTCATCTTCCAAGTCCGGTGCTGGTTCGAAGTCCACCTGGCGTGTTGTCATCGGGTTCGGGTTGAAGGGAACTGGATTGATCTTTGCCATAACACCTTCTAGTAAGATTTGAAAAGACATGGAAAAACCAATGGTTTTCCAAGGACAATGATCTACAAAAGAAGGTTTTCCATAGTTATGTTTATTTGCTGGAGGGTAATCAGGCATGTAAAGCATCTGGAAAGCCAACAACCGTTTAACCGTTTATGTCGTGTTTTGGCCTCTTTGGTGAAGCAAGCGGCCAAGAAAAAAGGACGCCTAATGAGATCGAATGAGATTACCAGCTTGTCAAACCAAGGCCATCATAAATCGCGTCCAACTGCCTTTGCTACTCCCTTTGCCAGACACACAGCAGCACCTGGCCTTGAACTCGAAGTGATGTTGTACATCTGTGTCCTTGGCTCGGAAGCATGAACCTTCAAACAGTGATCTGCATAGAAACCTATAAGTGGGCGGCCTGATTTCCAAAACAAACCATCAAAAACCATCCAAAAAGTTCCCGCAAGGCCCTCCCCACCCTATCCCTATCTATCCCTATCCCCGCGGCAAAGCTTCGATAATCCGCACAGCACCGTGCGGCTGCAGTTTGGTAATCTGCACATTGAAGAACCTCGGTGTGGAGAAATTGGCCGACCGGCAATCAAACAGATGTGGCAATTGGACATCCCCTAGAAATAGATAGAGGTTGTAATGGGAAAATCATCTATCAATTGGGGATTGTCAATGTTCATGTTTGATTACTGGAGGGTATCTTTCATGGACTAAAATTACCACTTCGCGGGAAACCTTACAGTCGAAGCTGGTGGAAGCTCAAGCCAAGTCGCGTACCCCCAACGTCGATGGGCACGGCAGTGTCCTGCGCTCAAACTGGAAGAGCTTCAAAATCACACTTCACTGGCACCGCAGCACCATGCCCTGGAACCTTGCAGTTCTTTTTTTCAACATGTTTGATCAAACACGGAAGCGATTGTGATTTGTAGTTCCTACAGCAGTGTATCTGTTCAGTCTCTTCCGCCACCATAGGGGTCTCCTGTGGATGGCACTTAATAACCTATTAAGTGGAAGGTTGTGCATCACGCCGATATGCATACTATTATCTATATATATATATATACATTATACATAGTTCTAGAGGCAACATTCCCATATTCAGAAAATCTTCGCATACCATGTTTTCATCGTACTCCAGACCTGGGTTTTGGTATGTTACTTTGATAGGCATTTCAGCTCAATCTGGAGGGAACAGTTGGGCCACGGCGAATCCACTGAATGCCCCTCCACAGCTTTCTATCCCCTATGTCGTTCCAAAGCAGCTGTGGACGTTGAATGAATTGAAGGCTGCTTTGATAAGGAAGTTTCTTCATTTGTCTACCGAAGAAGGACAGGGTTGTCAAGGGTAACGTTTTTAAAGGTTGGCTGAGTAGAAATTAGAAAGTTTCTTCCCCGGGGCCTCACCCAAGGTGAACTCGGAAAAATAGAACCCACTGGTGTGCCCCTGGAAGTTTGGGCTGGCTTTGGGATTCGAATTTTGGTTCTGGCCCCGAAATTTCCCTATGTGGTCTCTATACCAGCCACGCATACTCGGAATTCTTCGCATTCCACAAATTCTTCGCACTCCAGCGAGGGCATCGCACTCCACAGCTAGGGACGTGCACATACTATAAAATCCACGCACTCTGCAAGATCTTCGCACTCCATAAAATCTTCGTACTCGGTGATTTTTCGTTTTTTGCGTTTTTTTTTTGTTTTTTTTTGGCTAAAATCGCCTGGAATCACGTTTTCTGGAATATGGGCAAGGTAGCGGTTTCGCGTGAGACGTCTGTAGTTTCACATACTATCGCATTCCAGGCCATTTTGGCCAAAAATGACCCAAAAAAAAAAGAAAAAAAAACCTCAGCAGGGTGAAATGTGATAATTTTCTGGTATATGATGGAAAAAACTGGTGTTGGATCCATGGGGAAGGTCGAAGGGGGCCACGCATACTGTTTTATTTTCGCATTCCAGAAAATTAGCGCACTCCAGGGGTGGCATCGTACTCTATCGGTGGAATTAGTTTGCACGGGAGAAAACAGGATCGTCGATGATTTGTGTTCCGAGATCCTATTGTGCAGGGCTCTTTGCGGGGCCACAAAGATGTCAAGAAAGATGGGGATGGCGCTGCTGGTGAAAGGCCAGCCAAGCGTGCCAGAACATAAGCTTAAAGCTTATGAATTGGGTTTTGAGATCCTGAAAAGTGTAGATGACAAATTCCCATAAGAACATTATTAATCCATTTTTGGAAAGCTCAACATTACTAATTATGACATTTCCAGAAATTGTTGAAAGTAAGGATCTTCTTTGCGGAAGAACATGTGCAGTCGACAACGTACGTGCCAGAAGAAAAGGAGTACTTGGCAAACTGTATGAAATACAAATTTCACCTGAAAGGGGTCTTCGCAATTCCCTGAAATTTCCCAGCTATTTTGGCATGGAATATGTTCGGCCCTGGAATATGGGCAAGAAATTGCTAGAATAGTGGAAAAAATTATAACCCCTACCAACCCGTCTAATTATAGTCGATAAAATATACTACAATTAATTATATCAAATTAATATATATATATATACGTATGCTTGCCTACAAATGTATAGATACCTATCTAATTATGTTTCATTTCATTGGTTCAACACTTCTGACAGCGCCCGCCCATCCCAATCCCGGAATCCCGGGTCGGCCTCGGTCAAACAGCTGAAGCGCGCCAGCGACTCGGTCAGCAACAGCTGCACTTCCATGCCGCTCTGGCGCACGGCCTCGTAGAAGTCCACGCTGTGCGGCTGAATCTGTACCTAAAAAAAAGGCGGGGGAAAGTCATGATATAACACACAAACACACACATATCATATATATGTATGTAAACATACAACACACATATCATATAGAAAATACATGTGTATATATATAGATACAATATATATATATGTATGTATGTATATGTATATGTATATGTATATGATATATAATATTATTATTATCATTATTATTATTATATTTATTATTATTACTATTATATATTATTCTTATTATTATTATTAGTAGTAGTAGTGGCAGCAGTAGTAGTAGTAGTAGTAGTATTGATTACATATGTATATACAAACTAGGTACAAACTATGACATACATCTGCAATTTGTGGATGTATATGAACATACCTTATAAGAAAAATATATTTAAAACATGGTGAGGTTTTAGTGCAATACAAACACATAAAAGTTTAGTATGATTGTACTACTGCATATCTCATCATCATTTGCAGTGAGGAGTTGTGATGGAGCATATGTAAAGGGGGATCAATGAACATTTCTGGGCAAATTGAGGAAGAACCATGAAAAACCGACATGGTGAACTGGAAGTTGTCCACCAAGTCTAGGTGAACTACTTCATAAGTCATGAGTCATGAACCTGAAGTAATGTCATTTTGGAGGGTTCCCCTCAACATCCATCATTTACAGATGGAGCATGGCATGAGGAGTGGCAGTAAGCTCGGTGCAGGGGGCCAATCATATTTTCATCCAATATCAACAAATATTCAACCACTGCTTACAGTAAAACAATGAATAAAACCATTCATCAGTTGGATGATTGAGAAATATTAAGAAATGGACCTTCAAGAAGGCCTGGAAATACAACCTTAGATGAAATCAGAGATCTTTTATGACTCCCTCTTATTCATTGCTTCAAATCACACGGGTGTTGCTGGAAATCTCCCTGCAGCATCTGCCCCGGGATGAGGTCCCAGTCACTGCATTGATCAGTTGCAACACCACCCCTCGGACTCGAACGACTTCACGCCTCAAGGGGTGACATCATGAGCACATCACTACTCGAGGCATCAAAAAAAGGCTTTGGTGAAAAAAAAAGATGGTTTGCATCACTTGTGGAACAAATGAGATAGACTGGTTGTGGTCTGGAAATATCCAGACATATCCAGACAACATTTGGGCACACGCGAGCCCCTGAGAAGAAATGCACCCTCCAGTTACTGAACCTGGGAAGGAACAATCAACCTTCTAGTTGGATGATTATCCATGATTATCCCTGGCTTATCCCATATCTTCTCATCTCCCCAAACCTGGAATTCGCGACTCCGAGCCACTCAGAGATACCAAGGTCATCCATCACCCACTTGGGGAGTAACACGTGCATGTCAGGTAAGCCATTAATGAACTCAAAGATGGCACCTGGGCCATGGCGCAAGCCCTATGACCCTATGGTGATCTAAACTCCATCAGGCTGGGTGGAATGCACTTCACGTGTTTTCAAACATTCTTTTTGGCTTGAAATTGTGCATAAGTCCGAGCTTTGCGAAAACCCATCATCATACGGAAAAACTAGGCATCAAAAACCTCAAATATACACATGCAGGTTTACACCCTTCAAGCTATACCTAGTCTACATCTGCAAGAGTCGAATCACATTTAGATCGCAAAAGCATACTCCAGTGGTGGATAGAATGAACATATTGAAAAGTACCATTCCCTAGTCAATATCTGCATTTTGGGGAAAGAAAGGGGGCCAGTTTGGCATACTATTTGTTATCATCTTGACATTGTTTTTTCAATAGGTGTGAGACCTCTATTCATCAACTTGTGGGACAAGTACATCTATGATCCGGTAGAAAGGTCGCCAGACTTGGAGAGCGCCAACATGTTCTTCATGTTTTTGCTTATATTCCCGAAATAGCCATATGTTCCTGATAAATCCCCAATACATATCAAGATATGGCTTGGTTATATCATGTTACAGTATATCCTATGCAATCTCATTTCTACCCACCTAAAGAGAGACACACACATATATATATATATATACACATGTTGATATTTAGGTTTAGGTGGTCCTCAAACATGTTATCTTATGTTTGCTGTGTGCAATTCAGACTGCCTCCCAGCACCCCATCACCCCATCTCTCGCCCTGTTGCAGTGCGTCTTGCGACCCAACTTCGTGGTAACCTCGAAGGTCAGGGGCCTCACGGGGTCGCGGCAACATACCCGAGCAATTGGAGATGTTTTTGAAAGCAAAGTAACATGACTAACTATTTTATTGGGATTTATAGTGGTTTTATTGGGATTTATAGTGGTTTTAATGGGATTTGTAATCTGGTTGGTGGTTTCAACCTACCCCTCTGAAAAATGATGGAGTTCGTCAATTGGGATTATGACATTCCCAACGTATGGAAAAATAAAATTCATGTTCCAAACCACCAATCAGCTGTGGTAAACCCAACAATAAACCATCCCCAGAAATCACACATAAATGGATGGCAAGACCCATCCCCAAAAGGTAGATTCACTGTTGGGTTTACCGCATTAACAACACTTGGAGGGGGGACAGTGATAAATTTTTGGGGAAAAAAACATGTAAGTATTGACCTGGATGAACATTGACAAGTATAATGAAGTCTGAACCCAAGAAGTACCTTCTTGAAGATACATCTTGGCATGAAACGAGCGACATTTTCAGGGGAGATCCCAACGATCCCAGCCACAACTATTTCGCTTATCAACTTATTCAACCAACAAGAAATGAACGAAATATGAAATATGTTATACGATGTTGAGTGATATAGTGATGCTATACGATGTCATATCATATGATGTTGTATGTTGCCTCCATGTTGGCTTGTCACCTCTCCATTGTGACCCCATCGATTTCAACTCCTGCGTGTGCACCAAGCGGCAGTTGCAACTCCTGCCCGCGTTCGGCGCGTTGATAGATCTGGTTGGCGTATGAGAAGGGCAATGCGATCTTGTCAGTGGCCTCCAACCTGCTCACAGCTTCGAAACAGCATGCACCATTTTTGCAACACTGCTTGGCCCGTGTCAACATTGAAAACATGTCAATATCCAGAATCAATAAAGACTAGCTCAACTTTGCGCGCAGCCCATTTCAATTGCAATACCATGGTCAATTGGTAATCCCATTTCAGATACAATATTCATCAACCAAAGCCAAGGATACGTAAAAAATCTTGTGATTGTTTTCCCATGGTTCCGCCATGAAACCCATCATCCGCCACCGGAGTCCCCCATCCCAACCCCACCTCGAGAGGTCACCCAGGAAGGGCACGGCCGCCTCGGCGGACAGCACCGTCATGCCCTCCTGGCAGAAGCCGTTGGCCGTGGCGAAAATCTCTGAGGAAAGGCCTCGGTGGCGCTGATGGATGGCTGATGGATGACTGGTGGATGGCTGGTGGATGGCTGATGGATGGTTGATGGCTGGGATGTGGCTGTCTTTTGGAGCCTACAAAGTGGAAGGCCCGAAGTGGAAACGGGAAGGTGAGGGTGCGAGGAAAGCCTAGGGGTTGATGAGGTGGAAAAAATCAGGTGAGCGTGGCCAAAATAAAGGTTTGGAGAGCCAATGATACAAAGAATATGAACTATGGAACAAGCATGAATAAACTACATATATATATATATGTATATGTACATAAGGATGACAAGGATATGCTACCAACATTGAACCAATAAGATCAATGAGGGGGGAATGCTTGAGATGGAAGAGTGAATGTGAAAATAAATTTAATTCTTGAAATACGAGGGTTCCTTCTAGCCACGAAATTTCAAATGATGCGACCAACAAAAAATTGTACAAAATACACTCTGGTCGGTGATGCAAAAAAAAAATCTACCGGGGAGTTAGGCCGCAAACATGGGATAAACTTAAACCATGAATTTTCATGATATATCTATATTAGGTCGCTGTACAAACAGGCCGTAGCCATGATATTACCCACCAGTAGAAAGGCTGGCTATACGCCAACAGAAAAGGACATCATGAAGTAAGGATGCAGAGATGCGCTGAGGTGTCCTTGTGGCATATCCGGCACATAAGGTGCCGGTAAAGGTCCCCACTCAGCTGCACTAGTGACCGCTAGGATATGCTAGGTATATTATCCGTCACTCTATATTTACATATATTTACTATCCACACTTCTCATGTCCATCTTCCATCTGATAGCTAGCATATGCTAGCACGTAAATCTCAAATCCCGAAGTTTCTTGTCATTTCAGTACCTCTCTCCCAGAGAAGGTATGTTCCCACAATAGACATCCGCTGGATCCGTCTAGGCACGTTCCAGTTGGATGGCAGGCTTGGGATACTCCTCCAGCAGCTGCGTCAGTGTTGTGGGTGATCTCATCTGAGATAGGATCGAAAAGCTGAGAATTTCTTTGAAGCACAAAGGAGGATGGGGAGCTGCAAAATAGTTTTGAAGTGTTTTACACATGTTTACTGTAACCACTGTAACCCGGAAACGTGCACACAGACTCTGCGATTTTTTGGCTGCGCACCATGACAGGACAACAAAAAATCCGGCGATCCTTCTTGATGGTCACCGTGCTATAGGCCACAATGCCCGAGTCAAGCAAGGACTGCCGAACCTCGACAGCTGCCCAACCAGCGGGGGCTTCAGAAGCGTTCTTGACATGGGGGGTTACCATGGGTTACCCTTAAATCGTCCAAAATCAGAGCATCTTTGGTTTTGGGGATATCCAAATTGTGGGATTTCTTGTCCAGAATGGTGGGCCACTTAGCCTTGCGTTTTCCATATGTCTTTGGGTTGCGTGACATGTTTGAATGGGGGAACCCCAACTTATCATGAAAGCTATTGATGGGAAGCACATGGTGCAAGGGGGTAGCCCAACATTCAGAAACACCCATGCCTCTACTTAGAAACCTAATTTATTCCTATGAATATCCGGTTGTGATATAGTTGTATTATCATACCCCAATCAATATTAACACCTCCACAACAGGAACAAAACTGATTTGTCACATTTCCATACATTTCCCACTAGTTTGGAATGCGAATTTAAACCTGTTCAGTCTCTTTTTGGGGATTGCTATATCCCGAATCCTGTTGTTCTTTCAAACAAATCCCCTTATTGATAGCAAAACACCAGCTGTCTAGCTAATGTTTATCATGTTACCAATGGTTTGATGGTTCAATCCCACGACATTGTCAGCTGCAGAATTTGAGAGAGAGAGAGAGGTATATATATATATTAAATATGTATATATATATATTAAATATGTATATATATATATTAAATATGTATACATATATATATTAAATATGTATACATATATATATATATATATTAAATATGTATACATATATATATATCAATAACTATCAAACTAATTAGGTAAATGATTAGTGAACCCCAATTATATGTTACCCTTTGGTAATCCAACGTGGCTTGCTGGAAATTCCAGCTTTTAGTTCGATGATTCTTCATTCTCCATTTACTTCCGGGATTTTCATGGATGTTCCAGCTTGCCACGCTTAATAAGGTGGTAACGGTGGTATATCCCCATGATGCTGTCAACTCCGGATTAATCCCCCATGGTTTGTTAATTATTGGGGGGTAGCCTCCAGTGATTTCAATTGATACCCCCCAATGAAATCACTGGAGGTTACCCCCCCATAATTGACAAATGATACTAATGTACATATCAATTAAAAGGGTACGGTTTCATATGATACTTAATTGGTAGCCCCCCAATGAAACAGCCGTTTGGGGTATCTCACAGCCTCCTTCAGCACATCCACCATGGAGGTGGCCGGATTCCAGCCGCGCGAGGCCAGGATCATACCTTGGAAACGGCCGTTCCATTGACCAAGATGGGGATGCAACCGTCAAAAGTGCTCCTTTGAAGATGGTTTAGCCATCAAACATGGAGTTTTCACATGGTTTAACAGTGTTTCACCATCAAAACTCAGGGCTGACCATCAACAAAAACGGGATATCATGCAAACATGATGGTCTGTGACGTAGTATTTCTGGTGCGGCCTCACTGGCCTTGAACAATGTATACATATGTGTACATTGCATGAGGAAGCATTACAAAATGGGTTCATTTCGGACTTTAGCTCCTGAAGATCTATGGTTAACCTCCGGTGTTCAACAAGGCGTGCTAGAAAACCCACCAGATCTCCTGCAACTATGTTCCATTTATATAAATGCCCATATCTATAATATATTTATTAGCTAGCCATGTTTGATGACACCGGATGGTCAGTAAATGAATATTCCATCCAGTGTTTCATCAATATCCCATTGTATCTCATTGTATCCGCATTATACCACCGTTGTTGGTGATGTAAATCCCCATCAGTTCAAGGGAAATTCAGGATCCTATAAAATGGAAGTACTGTACCATATAAAACAATCTTTTTGGGGTGGTATATCCTCTTGCATAGCCCTTACATAGACCTTATATATGGTAGGTACCTCCAATCAATCGGTTCCTGAAATGGCCATTGATCAATGGCCGCTTTCCCGTTACAGCGAAACTTGGCCCGAGCTGTTGCAAACGCGACCACCGAAGGTCACCGCACCTGGTCTGGTTATCCCAGGAAGAACTTGACGTTTGTTCATACATATATCATCATAAAACGCTCATATATTTATATGTATATATATATATTATAATAATTATATAAATACACATTACACACAGTAATGTGTCATCAGGAAATATGCCATGCATTGCAACATATGACATATGTCATCATATGTCTGTGGGTCAGAATATTTCAGGCAAATCCCTGATTCCCCTGGCTAAATTCGCTAAGATTCGGGACTGCTAATGGCAAATGTCCATGCATCATGCTACAATTGTAGAAAACACCTTGCACCAAAAAAAATGCCTTATATCTTGCTTTTAGAATTTGCATGTTCAGAATTGTACTACCAACTTTTCAAAGTTTAAACAAAATTACACCCCCAATGCTTCTGTACTTAGCGAGTCTTAGCGAATCAGCCAGGGCCAGGAGTTGATCCTTGGAAAAGCAGTGGACACCTGCATCCGGTGAATGTTGCAGTCGTGGACGCCTGAGCCACACCTGCGTCAAGAAACCAGAGGTGTCCGACTCTTTTTTTTGCTCGCGTAGGTTTGAACAAATCAGGCAGCTATATATAAATATAATTATGTGCGTGTATCTATATCTATATCTATATCTCTATCTATCTATCCATCCATCCATCCATCCATCCATCCATCCCATCTATCCCATCTATCCTATCTAATCCTATCTATCCTATCTATGTCTATCTATCCCATCTATCCTATCTAACCTATCTATCCTATCTATCCTATCTATCCTATCTATCCTATCTATCCTATCTATCTATCTATCCTATCTATCCTATCTACCCGATCTATCCCATCTATCCCATCTATGCCATCTATCCCATCTATCCTATCTATCCTATCTATCCTATCGATCCTATCTATCCTATCTATATCTATCTATCACATCTATCCCATCTATCCCATCTATCCTATCTATCCTATCTATCCTATCTATCCTATCTATCCGATCTATCCCATCTATCCCATCTATCCTATCTATCCTATCTATCCGATCTATCCTATCTATCCTATCTATCCTATCTATCCCATCTATCCCATCTATCCCATCCATCCCATCTATTCCATCTATCCTATCTATCCTGTCTATCCTATCTATCCTATCCTATCTATTCTATCCTATCAATCAATCAATCTATCTATCTATCTATTTATCTATCTAATCGATCTAATCGATCTAATCGATCTAATCGATCTAATCGATCTATCTATCTATCTATCTATCTATCTATCTATCTAATCTATCTACCTACCTACCTACCTACCTATCTATCTATCTAACTATCTATCTATCTATCTATCTATCTATTATCTATTATCTATCTATCTATCTATCTAATCCATCCTATCTATCCTATCTATCCCATCTATCCTATCTATCCTATCTATCCCATCTATCCTATCTATCCTATCTATCCTATCTATCCTATCTATCCCATCTAACCTACCTATCCTATCTATCCTATCTGTCCTATCTGTCCTATCTAATCTAATCTACTCTAATCTAATCTAATCGATTTTATCTATTCTATCCTATTTATCCGTTCTATTCTATCTATTCTATCTGTCCTATCTGTCCTATCTAATCTAATCTACTCTAATCTAATCTAATCGATTTTATCTATTCTATCCTATCTATCCTATTTATCCGTTCTATTCTATCTATTCTATCTGTTCTATCTGTTCTATCTGTTCTATCTGTTCTATTTATCTATCTATCTCTCTATCTGTCTATCTGTCTGTCTGTCTATCTATCTATCTACCTATCCTATCCTATCCTATCGTATCGTATCGTATCGTATCGATCGATCTATCTACCTATCTATATCTATCTATGTATCCTATCCTATCCTATCCTATCCTATCTATCTATCTATTCATCCTATCTATCCTTCCTATCCTATCCTATCCTATCCAATCCTATCCTATCCTATCTTATCTATCTATCTCTCTCTCTCCCTCTCTCTCGGGGTAAATCATATATCATATAAAGCATCTATCCCCCTTTGCCCAGAGCAGGTGCCCGGCCGTCCAGGTGACACCTCTGGGGGGCTCAAAGGATATTCCACGGGAAAGCGCACGGAGAGGGTGAGTTTCTTCAAAGTCTCGTCGAACATGCTCTCCTGGGCACAGCGCGCCACCAACACATTTTTACGCCTGATAAAAAAAGAATTGAAGTTGAAGATGAACAAAAGATGTTTGCAGAAAATTCTCAAGAAATCGAGTACCTGGTCAACCGGATATTTCTTGGTGAAACCAACCCCAGACGTTCATGGTTCAACCAGCACTCCTTGCTGCTAAGACACCGCCAAGCTGTCCAAACTCTTCTGCAAAGGTGAGTCACCTGGGAAGACCATGTCCACCTCCCACTCCTGAAATATCAACCAATCGGGATCAAGCAATGGGGATATAGATTGGTGTTCAATGGTTAAACAATGGGGGTATATATATAAATGGGGATAATGTGGAAAACCCAATGCCATAAACTTACCATTTCAGATCTCAGCTTTTCCCGGCTGGTGAAAATGGTGAAATCCAGTCGCATCCAGGCGTCCATCATGTTATCTTCCACCGGCTCCACTCGCAGCAGCGAAGTGTCGCCATTTTTGAGCGCCTGCTGGGAGGTGCGGAGCCTCGGTGAAGGGAGATGATTCTGGGGCTGGGACTCCTGGGTCACTTGGGGGTGCAGCTAGGGTTAAGTCATGGCGTTTTTGGTGTTACAAGGTGGGACCACCCAGTGAACTTTGCTGGTTAAACCCGTTAACTAGTGCGCTACATCCCCCTTGTTAAGCCAAGAATTCGCCAAAAGGCCCATACGCTTCATGGTGCCAGGAATGGTGCTGGGAATGGCATTGCTGGATGAACTTGCGGTGCTTGTGACCTCAAGAAGATGCATTCTCAATTATATAATGTCATTGGCTAATTATATCATAATAGTATCCATTCATATCAAAGTGAGGGCTCAATGATCATGGTAACAACCCATCAACTCCACGAAACATCAATATCTTTCACCGGAAAATACAAGAACAACATGGAACAACTCTAGAAACTCTGCTTATGACAACGATTCAGGAACTGTCTATCAACACCCCACTATGATCCACTATGCGCACATCTTATGGCGTAGATCCTTGGATACATCGTTGGAAACCGATGATTTGCTCGGAAAAGGCAGCTGGACCCTCAACCAAACTGAGGTAGGACCGACCAACATCAACAAGACATGCATATTGCCTGGCAACAGGCACGGGGTTCATCATCTCATCTGCTGAGGTTCCACAATGACTTGCGAGGTCTTTTTTTTGCAAGTCTCCGTATTGCTCAAGGGCGAGGCGCCCATCAATCGTGACTTGAAACAAGATATTCGATAAAGATGCCGCGCCAAGAGATTCGACGCAGACTGCACAGAATAGAAGCGGATTCCAAGCTCTCGTTGAACGAACGTCCACCAAAAGTCACCATCTGCAGGCTGTTTGCAATGTCACAGCTGCGAAACTCTGATTGAACGAATCTCCCAAGGTCAAAGTCTGCAGATTGGCTGGCAATGTCGCGTCTGAAAAAAGAAAACTGCTTGGCAGTGCCACATCTGCTGCGCTCAGATAAAATGACTTTGGAAAGGACAAAGTCTGCAGGCTGCTTGGCAATGCCACACCTGCCAAACTCTGATTGAACGAATCTCCCAAGATCAAAGTCTGCAGATTGGCTGGCAATGTCGTGCCTGAAACAAGAAAGCTGCTTGGCAGTGTCACATCTGCTGCGCTCAGATAAAATGACTCTGGAAAGGACAAAGTCTGCAGGCTGCTTGGCAATGCCACACCTGCCAAACTCTGATTGAACCAATATCCAAAGGTCAATCCTGCAGGCTGTTTGGCAAGGTCACGCCTGCCAAACTCTGATTGAAAAAATGTCCAAAGGTCAAAGTCTGCAGGCTGTTTGGCAAGGTCACGCCTGCTAAACTTTGATTGAAGGAACATCCAAAGGTCAAAGTTTGCAGCCTGTTCGGCAATGTCACACCTGCCAAGCTCTGATCGACTTGATCACCGAGGGCCAGTGATACAATTGCGTGGGTTGCACTCCAGTCTGCAGCTGTCAAACGCTTTTATGTCCCAGCTTCTACGTTTTTTCCAGAAACTCTTCGCAACCTCAAACGCTAATTTCCGCATTTGAGACTTGTGGCAACAGTCCCAGCATATAGGATACTGCATCCCGAAGTCAGCAGCAACTTTCTACCTGGTTTCAGACTCTTCTCTGAGATGTACCAAGGTACACATCTTCCAGGGATGCATCACCATCAACCTAGGCTCAGCTAATGACCTGGGTCGAAAAAGATGCATGTTATGTTCAAAATAAAACCACCACCATTCATGGGTATTCAACCAACCCCCCAAAAGTAACCCCCCAACAATAGATCGTCAAAAAAGACCCTCATTAGTAGTATGGGGTTTACAAGCCCCTTGTAGGCGCCATGATCATTGGGGCTATGACGTTGGGGAGGCTTGGCTGAAGCCCCATGAAACACCAACCAACCTGGAGCTGAAATGTCGATCCGTCCAAGCCCTTGATGTTCAACGACTCGAGCTCCGCAGGCAACGCCTCGTCCACACGTTGCCTGGCGGCTGACATTGCCCGGAAATAGTCATGAGAGAGGTGCCCCATAGTTGGCTAAGTTGGTTTGAAATGCTTTATCAGTCCAATAACTTGGGTTTATGATAAATATTGGTATATCTATACTGTACTCAATGGGGATTGTAATCCAACTTATATGACACTCGAATTATCCCAAACAAGTGCTATAAGTGCCAAGCCTAGAAGTGCCAATCAGTTTCAGTGAGGCTCAGTCAGCGCGAGAATCAAGGAAGCATGATTGAATTGAAACAGGTTGATTGGATTTAGGAAACGTCGGTATTTCATGGGGAAAACAAAATAATAACATGGTTTTTCCCGGTTTCCTATAGATGTTCCCAATAAAAGCATACAAAAAGCAATCCAATGATGATCACACTCCCGCAGAAAAAAAGAAACAATCCAGCGATGGCTTTGCCAACATTAGAAGGAAAGCAGTCTTCCAACCCCTCCCGCCAAAAAAAAAATCTGTATCTATCACAGAAACCGTTTTTTGGGGTGTAGCACATATCCATTCGCCACATCTTCACTGGGCACCGCCTTATCAGCGCCCGTTTCCATGGCTGCAAGCTCTTGAAGATCGGCTGATTGAAATGACTGCTCATTGATCTATGGTTGGAATATAGGGTTTTTGGTTATATATACATATACAGATAAACATGGTTCTATAAAAGGTTATGTTATATGTATATGTATATAAGCATGTAACGGAATATTCTACATACATATAATGCGTCCTATCTATGGAGTATCTGGAGTCTGTACGAGTCTGTGATCATTATGCAGTGGACCTCCCAAAAAAAACATTTGACATAGTCCAGTTTGAGTTGTCCTTCCCTGCACAATTCGATAATCTAAGAAGCGCAGACAACTTTAACTTTAGCCAGATGAGTCAATTGCAAACTTCTGCATGAGCATCATCTCTACAGTTTCAAGTATCTGTATATATAAACCTGGGGTGTGTGTGGTGCAGGTGACAACTTGTAGCCTAAAGCGACAAATGCGTCCCATCTGTTCAGCAGGAAGCTTGAAACGGCAACGTATGCTCCCAACCCTTGACCGTCACCTGCATGTGCAAGCTTTCAGGCTCTACACATACTTGCTGGCTATATTTGGTTTAAGGTCCCACTCAGGCCGTAGTACTAAACGGATTTGTCAAGGATTCAGTACCACAGGTTCTTGATGCAGTACTTTGAGGGAACTTTTCCTGTCGTGGCATAGGGGTTTTGGTTTGTGTAAATGCCAGGAGGCAATGTTTCTTTTAGTGTGAAAGGCCGGCCTGTTATTTGCTTGCAATATGCTTAGTTTGCTTGCGCCAGCGTTTGTTAAAAAGAGACACTGTGTCTACCCAATTACCTGCGCAAACAACACAACAACGAGGGCATTGATTCATGCACTCTTGCAACAAAATCCTTGCAATGTTGGTCAGTCAGTACATATATTATATATGAATTGTTCCAAATGCTTCTTTGCGATAGGTTTGCGATAGGTTTGCGGTTTGCGTTTGAACAAATGTAAAACGGATTATGTGCCACAATAACATTCCCAACTAGCTATACAATCTCTACTACACATCAGTTCCCCAAAAATAATTCTAGGCATGTCGGGAGTGCGATTTGTTCATCAAAATTAGCCAGATTCCTGAAGTAAATCGAATTTCGATATGATTGAATGAATTGAATGCGATTCCCCTTGAACTAACCATCAAGTGAAACCTTTGTGAGATCCATGTTGCCCAAATCTCCTCCCACGCCAAGCAACTCCTTCACCAAGCGTTTGAAGTGGAGCCGGGACATGGGGCGGGGCGAGGTTCAAGGCCAGCTGCCGTGGTGGATGTCGTGGATGTCGTGGATGTGGGTGTGTCTGATACCGTCAAATGCGCTGTATAATAGATAAATAAAATCATCAAATGGGCAGGGAAAACCTGAGGAAAATAGATGGTGCGCTATCAAATTTGGTGAATTTTGGGGGCAACCCAGTTTCCAACAAAGCGAAAAAATATGAACAACTGTTGTAAGAATTCCGGACGTCCTGGGGACCGTGGCCCAAAACTACATGTGGCAATGACATTCACTGACATGGCAACTTGGGCGGTTGGGTTCCTGAGGATGGAAAATGTTTTTTTTTAAACTGCGAGGCCATTGTACTTGTTACCGGCCCCTTTTAAAATGTGTTTACATGTTTTTACCTCCATGGCATTTCGATGATGACCTGCCAATTCCCCTTTTTCATTGACAGCATTCCGAACATTTTCCGTTGGATCTTCCTATGGCCAAAACGCTGCCGGGCCAAAACCGTCCACACACACACCGCCCAGCGTTGCACACAATGTTGATGGTTCCAATCCCATCCCAATCCCTATTCATGCATCAAACAGCAATTGTTACATATTGTTGCAAATTGTTGCATACTGTTACCAGGATCAAGAAGGATCGAACAATGAGGGTAAGGAAACTGGATTAAAATGATTCAAATGATCAAAATGGTTGACTGGCAGAATGGCAAACCAGATCATCCTCAAAATTGAAATTTTTAAGTTTTTCCATCCCCAGTTCTTCGGGTAGCACGGCCTGCCAAATTCGTTTTTTTTCTTCGTTCTTTTGAAAACGATCCGGGCTAGTTGCCCTCGACCCACGGGCGGAATCTCTTCACAGCTGTAATTGGGTTCGCAACCGGCAGCTTGCCGTTTTTCATTCCATCCTTTCTTTCTGCAATTAAAAACGTGCCTACGTGGTGTTTCATACCATTCAGATCCATTCAGTAACTGAGGTATAGAATAAACCCCGGTAATACCAGGAATAGCCCAACTTCTCCCACATAATCTTCAAAAAATTGCCACATTTTTTTAGCCACCGACCGAACCTCACAAATGTGGCGCAGCTGCGACGACTGCAAGAACCTTGGCGTGACAACGTTCCTGGGCGGCAATTAACCCAGAATCCAGAATTTGATGAGGCTCCTGGTGGACTTCATGTTTGTTCCGTTCCCAGCGCTTTTAAAGGCCCAGCGTCAGCTGCGCTTCAAATGGGCAACCCTGACCTGTGGAGCAAGCTTGTTCAAGCCAAAGCTGGCAACTTGCGCGACGCAGGCCTTAATTATATACATGTGGGATTTCTTGAAGAAGACCCGGAAAAATGTGAAAAGTAACTATACGTTTTCGATTGCTTTTCGTCCCTTAGTGAAATTGCGTGCTGTACACCTTTTGGCGCCAATCAGTGCCCACACATTTGGACGCCGCAAGATTCGTTGCTCCTTGCCCCCTCCTAGCTCAACACAGCGTTGGAAAATGGTACATTGATAGATTACCATATGATATATCGTAGTGGCCATGGCTCATCAAGCTTCTAACCTTGCCCCATGCACAAATGAAACATGGCTGTGGCTCAACCCATTCTAGGCGGGGTGCCCAGGACAATTGTCCCTGCCCGCGCGCGAGAACCAACAAAATCAGCACCTCCATGCTTCCAACCGTTGAAAGACGCGCACCCAGCTGCTGCGATGACAAATTGTCGCATCCTGCTTCAAGTCTCAAAAGGCGACAACTGCAGTGATCCAAGAGAAATGAACTTCGTGTACACCGCAATTGTTGCGTCGTCGAACCTAAAAGGAACTTGGGGTATCATTCCACTTAGTAACTGCTTGGCAAAAATAGTGACCATGTTATCAACTGACACCCAAATGGTTAGTTACATTTAGTTACTAGGAGGATTTACATAGCATAAGTAGTAATGTGGCAAACCCAATCATAAATCACTGTTTTAATAGCACACACGCACACACACACAGAGATATATATATATATACACTAAGTATAACTTTTGGTTAGGTATTGGGATGTTTATAGATATGATAACTTACTATTGGGTTTGATACATTCATGAATATAAGTCGATCGTAGGAGAATCCCTATAGGGATGGAAATCAACTAAACCCCCCTAAAATTGAATGCGCCTGAATATGCCTCCCAAATGGGCCCCCAAAATGAAACCACTTAATACAAATCCATGGTTTCTAGTAGTTCTACGGGAGTATTTCATATACTATACTCTAATACTAGGGGGAAGGGATTATGAAACCACGGTCCAAAATAGACGCGGGGACCGCAATAAACCCCGGAACTGGATGAAACCTTTTGTTCGACCTGTTCGGGCTGGTGGGTTTTCCACTGTTGCGACACCAATCCAGAAATCAGCCCTTCCCCCCAAAATGACGCGGTAGAAAATCGAACAATGCTCCCCAAAAATGAACAAATCCAACCCTAAACCATGATTTCCAGAGGGCGTTCTGATATTGTGGAGGATTTACCAGTCAACCAAAATCTGATCAACAAATAGCAAGTGCATTGGAAATGACGGAGTGGCATTTTGAGGCTCAAGGACTTATGAGCCTACAAGTGCTGGGGTTTAGTCACCCGGGGTCGCAGTAAGTCATCCTCCCGCATGGGAACGCTACGTTAGTGGTAGGTCACCCGGCTTGTGGAAAGTCACCCGGAAAAAGAGAAAACACCATGTGAACGCTAGATTACAAGATCTTCCCAAAAGAGTTTGAAACAACGATTTCCTTGCGCACGCTGCGGTAAAATTGGCATTTTCCTCGAATTTCAACGTGATTGAATTCCAAATCAGCATGTGCACCCCGATTTGATACGACCACTACGACCTTCAAAAAGTGTAATGAGCCACTTGGAAAACTTACGGTACAGGCAGGCACACAAATCTGCAATACATCATAATCAATTGCGGCACAGGAAAGGTGGCTGAACGAGTGCCGCGCGAGTCCCAGCTAAACCCCCAGGCCTGCCAAAAAACTCGGAGCTCGCCAAAACATCAAAACACCACACGCACGTCAACTAAGATAAAGCTTCGCAATCATTACATGTGTTGTCAAACATGCTGAAACATCAAAGTGCCCAGCTGCACGCCACATCCAAACGACTTTCTGCAGGACAAGACGACTTAACCCAAGTACCTTGTACAAAATGTATCTAAATGTTGGATTGATACAACTCAAAAAAAAATGACAAGCAACCCTAACTTTCCCTTGGTTTCAACATTCAGCCTTGCTTCTGGAATAATAGCCATCGGATGCCATGCGCAGGTAGTTTGCAGAAGATATCAATGGCGGTGCTTGGGACAATCCAATGTCTGGCATGTTGGCCCCCACAACCAGATTCCACATGAGCCTGCTTAAAACCTTGATAGATTCAAAGGTCGCAAGGAAGTGCTTACGCACAGCTTACACGTTGCTAACCCGGATCCTTATGACCGCCCGGTGACTTCACGATACATAAGGGGCTTATAGCGTGGCTCACATGCTGCCACCAGATATTATCAGGTAGATTCGCCGATGGTCCTGCTACTAAAAACACACACAACCATAGTTACCATATGTTACCATAGTTACCATAGTTACCATAGTCACCAGCACCGGACGCCACCATCAAGAATCGGGCGGTCTCCCACCTCAATCACCAGTGAGGTTGTCCAGCACGCTGTTCACAGCTAAGTCTGTAATCCATTGGTTCTCCTCTAAGGCCTCTGGACAAGCCCCAGGAGGAGAAACCCAACGGAGCCAATGGATCAGGCTAAAGATTGCCCATTATTGCAACGAGAAATATTGGTTGGATGAAAACTATCAATATAAATCCTATATAGGAGATAGAGTTGGATTTATGATTCCAGAACCTGTAGAGTTCCTGACATGTTCTTCGACGTCCCGATTGTCCACGTCAAACGGGGTTCCAAAACCAACAGGTTTTCGGGGTGATCAACCACTATTTCACCACCAAACGGTGATGTCTCACCAGCCTGAAAAAAACTCTTGAATTATAAAATGAAAATCCAAATCCCCCGCAGCAACGAAGAAAAAACAGACAAATTCCTGACCTAAATCCAGTCTAAATCAGTTTAACATAGTTTAATTAGCGTTTCTGGGGGCGACTTTGGATGACGACTTGGCATCTTTCCTCCCGCGACGCCGCGATTATAAGCCACCTTCTCAGCCACCTCCCGCTCCACACCGGTGAATCCCATCACTTCCTGATGAGATGACAGGTGGTGAGTCTAGCAGATCTTCCAAGGTTTGCCAACAATAAACTTGGCATAAAATCAGCCAAGGTATATAGATCTGCTAACCATGGAGTATGCAAATAATCTGCTTATCTCAAGTGTTTTGATGATTCTCTGCCAAAATCTTCCGGATTTTCAGATTTTTTAGTGTGAAATGTGGCAAAAAAAACTGTTGGAAGCCAGCTAAACAGGCAACTTGGGATGGTGATGGGCGCAGTGCCAAGCCCTGGGGTGACCCAGCAAGTGTTGCAAGCCATCGTACCAAGGGTGAAGAAACAATGTGAATTGCTCCTACAAGTTACATCAAGTCATGGAGTTACAATTATACATACACATATAATATATATATATATATGTATCAATAGGTGGCCGTTATCTATAGTATTGAAAACATGTTATGTTTCATATGTCTAGTCTCGTATTCGTTTACGAATTCAGCTCACGATTTTGCGCTGTCCTCGTCCAAATCCCAGGCAACCCTTCCCGGATCCTCGACCCGCTTGGTGCGTTCCTCCTCTTCTGAGAGACTCAGTTTGGAAACGCCCTGATTTTCAGAGGTTGAATGATGACGCTATAAAAATGTTAGATAGACCAGTAGATAGAGATATATATATATGTATAGATAGGTAGGCAAATAGATAAATAGGTAGATAGATTAGATATGACATGATATGATAAGTTTAGATTGGGTTTAGATTGGATATGATTGGATTAGATTCGATAAATTTAGATTAGATTAGATTAGATTAGATTATATAGGTTCGATTAGATTCGATTCGATTAGATCAGATCAGATCAGAGGATTAAGGCTAGAATAGACTAAGATAAGATAAGTCAAGACCAGACAATAAGATAAGATTTTATATATAGATCAGAGATAAGATGATGAGAAAAGGTAAGATTAGATCAGAAACGATACGATTATATTAAGAACAGATAAGTTGACTTACGTTAAATTAAATTGAACTAAGTTAGGATAATATAAGTTAAGTTAAGATAGATAGATCGATAGATCGAAAGAAAGTTAGACAGGCAACAAATAGGCAATAAATAGATAGGACATAAATAGGCAATAAATAGGCAATAGACAGGCCAGATAGGCAATAGATATTATTAGATACGATGCATAGGATTAGATCAGATCAATCAACCAGAGAAGATACGACATGATGTGATAAGAACATCTTAGAGAAGATTATAATATAGGTTAGGTTGGATATACAGTAAAGATAGATATCTGAATTTTCATCTATAGAACAAATTGGGAGATGGTGTCTTTGCAGGGCTCTTGTTGGGTCTATTCAATTCGATATTGTATGGGCCTAAACTACGACTTGCAAATCCTTAAAGAATATTAAAAATGACATGAGGGCTCATTCCTCAAGGGAAGTCTTTCATGCTTTCGAAACAGGACTACCATCCAAACCCTAACGAGGCTTCAACCCATCCCCCAAACCTGCAACGAGCATGATCTTCCCCAAACCATGCTGAACGTCGAAGCGGAAACTACCACACCCCAGCATCTTGAACCAAAAGTTGAAACAGAAACGCTCTGTTTCAAGGCCACCCCAAACCCCCAACCCTCCCAAACCTCCCAGCCCCCTAACCCCCGAACCCACCCCACCCCAACCAAGTCACGAGCGCTTCAGCTTAGGCTTCATCGGCGACAAGCCGCCCGCCGGGGGCCGCGGCGCGGGGCGCCTGGAAGCCGCGGTGGGCGGCAGCACCTCACCTGCCTGGAACTTCTCTTCAGCCTTGGCGGATGCGTTTTCAGGGACCTTGGGAGCATTGTGAAACTATAAAATAACATATACATATATATATATATATCACATATTTATACAGATATATTATATTATGTTATCATATATATAATTAAATATATTATATTAAATTATTGTATATATACATATATATACATATATATGTGTGTGTGTTTAGGGATAGTGATGAATTTCGATATCTTGATTATGCATCATTCATGATATCAGAGACATTCATGGAATAACTATACTGGAGCATTGGACAGTCCCCCGCGGCGATGAATGAAAAAACAGCGGACTGGCGGCCTCCTCAAGGCTGTAACCTGCTCTCAGAAAACGCTGCATTTCAAAGGCCCGCTGGGTCCTGGCATGTCATTCATCTTAGCCAGCTATGGCTCGCATTGGGCTCGCGGCTAGATAGTAACATAATATTTATACCTAACATAACGATTGAAAATGACCATTTATAGCTGAATTACCCATTAAGAATGTTGATTTTCCATAGCTATGTTAGTTTACCAGAGGGTATGCCCAATTCATCTGGCATTTGTCGAAAATCAAACATTTGAGCAACATCACCTGATAAGGCCTAAGGAAAATGACATGTGGTTCTGGATGATCCCATGGGTAGTTTTTTTTCCCCCAAACTACCGCAACTTGTGGACCCGCATCCCCATTCCCCACCTGAAGGCATGTGAAAGAACTATCAATGATGTCCCACTTTTATCCACCAATATGGCTTTGTTTGGAATTTGGGTGCCATGTCGTTTTTTTTGCATCACCGTTTGACTTGTTATTGTATGTTATTATGTCATGCGGCCATGTTGAATCATTCTGATGATTTTTGAAATATCCCCCATGTTTGAACAAACCCAGACCAATATACAATGGGAAAAACGGTCTGGTACAGTTACTGTACATGCTATGACAATTTACCCATTCGCTGTGAAGCAATGGGTCATTCCGCTTTTAATCAACCAACCAGTGGAAAAAGGACACCACGCGTCACCTATGCGTGAACAAACAGAGTCTCCCGCCGAATTTGATGATAGAATCTAGTCATGTTCGATGTTGTCCATGTGTTACCCATTGGTAAACTAACATCACTGTCTTAGGAAAATCAACTGACTATCTGGATAAATTATATTTCACTAACCTGAAGCAAGGAATCATTCCCCCTACTCACTATAATTTGCCCAGAACTGTATATAAATGGGCCATGTTCGATAGCTATGTGAGTGTACCAGAGGCTACCGTCTGGTAATTTAACATAGCTATTGAAAATTGCCATTTATACTTGATTTACCCACTAAAAATGGTGATTTTCCACAGCTACGTTAGTTTACCAGAGGCTTGTTGAACATCACCAAACCGTCCTGGACATGAGCGTGGCTTCATCACGCTCTGGCACCGGAAGGGGAGCCAAGGCCTCCGCAGGGTTTCGTAGCAGGGAATGTAAGATATCCACAACTCATAAAGTGCGGGAAAAATATAATAAACCATAATGGGGATGGTTTATTATGAATAAAATGGGGATGAATTCATGATAAACCATCCCCAATATATATATACACATATTTTTTCATCAATGATAATTCAATGGGTCTAAACATGTTTAAACCATAATCCCCAGTCATGGTAGGTTTATGGCATTGGTTTTCCCACAGTACTTCGGCCATCTGCTGCCTCCGGTTCAGCGCCCTCGGGAGGTTTCCGTCTCTGAGGAGAAGAAGCCTGAGACAAAGTTGGTGAAGGGAGATCTCTTTGTTCCCCTATCTTTTTCTCTGTTTTTAGCTGGTAACCCTCCATTCTTTTTTGCATCGTTTCATGGCATGGGCAAATTCATCTGATTTGATCATTCAAATGGTTCAAATGGTAAAGAACTCAAACTTGGTAAACAATCTTTAAAACTTTGGCGATATGAAGCTGGTTGATTTTCAGATAAAATGCGTCAGCCAACCAGTCAGCCCAGCCCCAGCAGGTCTCCCACTTTGGTCCCAGCCCTGCCAAGTTCTTTTGGAGTTGAAGGTGTTGCCGTTGCCACCCAAAATATTACAGGTTTCAAGTGAAAACACATGACTTACCACCAAATTGCAGGATTACTCTGCAGGAAATGAAGCCGGCAATGGAACATCCCCAAGTTCGATTGCCCACTAAAGATATCTAAAGTTTGTTTCCTTCAAGTTTTCCATACTTTCCCTGGTCAGGTTTGCAGGCTGCGGAGTGCCCAACATCTTTTTGGGGATCCACCTGTCATGTTGTCAAAGTTCCATGACCGACATTCCCGCAACAAAATCAACACTAAGAAAAACATGACATGAAATTTGTAGGTCATTAAATGGTCAGGACCACACAGTTCTCACAAATCACACACTTTGCCCACTGAAACAAATAATACACATGGTCTATCTTCACAATAATCCCACCAAAAATAGTGTTGCTGGTTATTCTTGTGTTTATTTGATTGTCCCATCGAAAAAAAAAAGGATTCAACTTCCCATCCAAAGTTAGGGATGAACATGCTCCAAGCCACTCGAAGCACGGCGAAGAGTTCTTCATCCTTCTCCGGCGCCTGTTCTTCCTGGCCAGAAATGGCACCCCATTTGTGGTGAAAGAACTGGAATCGATATTTTAATCTATTTGTTACAGTAACCATCCATTTTTTGGGGTACCTAATTTAGACCCATTCCCATTTAGAGCAACTAATGACACCATGTATGACATATAGTCGGAAAAAAAAAGAGACCTCAGAGCTGGGATCACCCAAACAAAGATATACAGTAGATATACATAAATATACAGTAGAAAAAATCATAAGTGCAGCCCAAATCCCACCAGGCCGATATCTACCAAAATCGACCTGGATGCTCAACGCACTGCGATGGAACTCTTTGGTGATGGCTTCATCTTCCTTCAGCACCTCGGGCTGCTGCGGAGCCGCGTGGAAAAATTGGGGAAGTCCATCCGGCTGGTGGCAGTTCTCTTCATAAGTAGTAGCTGGCTGCTCCAAAACTACCACATGACCATAGACGAACAACGTTTGGATGGTACAGAAGGCATATCAACAGTTGTCAACATATAAAAGGCTATACTTCTCTGATTGGGAAACTCTGATTGTATCTCCAACTGGCCATAAAACATCGGGAAGGTGGATACCCCTACCCGCTCCCTCGGTTCCCCTGCCTGTTTGGGGAAGGCTCTCCGGAGGTAGACCCCCCAGGGGAGTGCCATCTTGGCCCAGCTGCTTTCCAGAGCAAAGGCCACCAAAGAACTCACAGGGGAGCCTTCCACGAACTTGCCTCGCAAAACCAAAGAAGTGGAAATTTGAAGACCTATATATCATATCTGTGTGTGTGCGTGTTTGTGTGCGTGTTGTGATATGTATATATATACGTGTGTATGTTACATATATTATATATATATATATACACTATATATATATTATATATTATATATTATATGTCCTATAGAGAGAGAGAGAGTGAGAGTGTGTGCGTATGTGTGTGTGTGTGCGCTTGTTATATGTGTTCTCATTTGAATATGTCTTAATGTACAGTGTGATAGCCCAATCACAAAGCAGTATCATTCAATGGGGGATCCAGCCAGTATGTACGTGGATGTGTATACCAGGGTGTAGCAAGCAACAAATTCGTGATTGTTCAAGAACGTGGGTTCAAACCAACCAACATGGTGATAAGACCCAAACGATACGGGATGGCTATGCTGGTGAGGATGAGCTTGATCCTCGTACCATCAAACAGGATTCGACAGGGATGTAACTTGGGATAGCCCTGTTGCAGCAACAGTCAACACAACTGGGGAAGTTGGAAGAGATTCCATCCACAGTACAAGCAGAATCGTATTCACAGCTGACCTTGCAAGCCTCTGAAAACTTGGAAAAAGGATGAAAAAAGTAGAATTTGATTGAAAAACAAATTGCCAGCAGAAACTGCCACATTCCTCCCATAACAAGCGCCTTTCCAGCGCCTTTCCAGCACCCCCCCCCGCCTTTCACCTGTGATCCATCCGGCATCCGCAAGGCAATCTCGATCTGCCCTCCCTCGCCTATGAGATCTCTGTGAGACTTCCGTGAAATGATGGACTTGATCTATTGAGCAGTGACATCCACCACATCACATTGGTGCTGGAAAATATTCCATATATATGTATATATTGTATTATAGATAGGTAATGATAGATATAGGTTACAAACTCTTATGTTTGAAATTAAGCTCTATTGGGATGATCCTCGGACTACCCATCATCCTCTTAGTGAGGCAATTTTTTGGTCGTTGGTTCAAATCCCCTTTCCGAAAGGTGGGTATCCGGATCCGTGGTTTATAATCCACAGAAGTGGGGATATTCCATATACAACTGGGGGTATAACCCATTTGCATCCATTTACTAATTGGGATGTATGGTAGATCTACAGGTTACTCTCCCCAACTGTCATTTCAGTGGAAACTACTCTTCCAGGCCCCCTTTTTGGCATACGTTCATAATATTTCATAATAATCATAGGGGGGATGGAAAAGTAGGCTTTTTCTATAGCTTTATAACTAGAAACCAACTTACCACTGGGGGGGGACACCACCGGCCCAGAGCCAGCGGATCCTTGCCCTCCGCGGAATTTCTGCAGCAGATCTTCGTAGCGCTTTCGTCGCGCCTCGCTGCGGCGTTGCTCGATCTCCTGGGATTCGCAACGCGATGGGATGGGAGGGATGAGAATTTGGAAGGCCAAGTGCCACCACAGATCGTACCCCAAAACCGTCCAAAACCATAGGTGATAGACTCCGAAGATCGGACAAATCCAGGTCAATCATATTGGTAGTACACCGTCCTGTTCTTGGAAGTCACTTTCATCATTGCCACTCTCTCGCTATGTACACATTCTATTAAATTATATGTAGGTATCATATCAAGATATATCAAGGACCGCTTAGAGATTTTGTACCTGGAAGAGGCTTCTCCTCAAGAATCATCTCATCAAATGCTTCACCAAAACACTACGCTTTCAATGGGGATGAACCTCCATGATACTTCATGCAACACTTAGTTTTCCACAACCGAATCTTCCACATCTTCCACTCAAAAGGCCACCCCTTTTTTTCTGCGGTTCGGGCCCGGCGGTCTGTCTCTCAGGGGTAGAGCTTGCGTCTTCCTGGGCCCATGGGTCCACAACTACCCTTCCCAAGCATCTTCGTGAGATCCTTGTCCTCGGGAAGGCCGAAGACGTATGTGACCATCATGGCCCAAGAGCAGTAGTCAATTTTGGCCTTCACAATGGCTGCGTTGACGTAGGTTCCTTGAACCCGAACCATGGTGTTGATGCCGAGAGGGTCACTTTGGCCATCAAAGAGGCTGGCAACCAGATGGCAGGAACCAGCGTAATTCGATGCGTGAAATTTATAGATCGAACTCCCGATCTTTTGGGCAAGGCCGAGATCACCCAGCACGATACCGCTCGGGCAACCATCTGCATCAAAATCTTTGAAGAGAATGTTGTCGTCTTTCAAATCTCCATGAATGTAGCCTGATGCGTGCAGGCACTTCAAGCCATCATAAACGGCCTTGGCCACCACAGGGTAGCAGTGCTGCAGCTTCACCTGTGATGTTTGTTGATTCCGCCACTTGAATAAATCATATGGGAGCAGAGTTGTGACGAAGGAGTAGTGCTGCTGCTTCCCATCCACACAAGGGGCCGGCGTGATCATTGGAATCACATGGGAGCAAGAATGCTGATTTGCTGCCAGCATAACCTGAGCCTCATGTTCCATTACAGCTTTGCCCTGCTGCGAGGAGGCCGAGACCATTTTCAAGGCAAAGTGCTTCTTTGATCCTGCGATTTGGACAGATTTGGACCCAACTCCAAGATGAGGACCCTTGCCCTAATTCGGATAAGAATCCGCTGAGATTACAATTGGCCAAATGAATCCAAATGGGGCAATGATTTCACTAACCCCTTCCCCCCAAAAAAACACTATAATAGAAACTCTGGTGGAATTCGGTGTGTCTATTCCTCCCCAGTTGGCAATAAAAAGATGGCTGATTGTGATTGGGAGGCTCGTGTCTTGGTTGATCATATATATATATTATATGATATTGACATATATTGACATGTTCCTAGTTGTCTTTGCTGGGTTTCTCCTAAGGGGTCCTTGTTCCTCCACCTCATAGACTTTGCCCCAGTTGCCCTCCCCCAGGAGCTTCCCCGTCGACTTGTACTGCTTGGAGCACCCCTGCTGCTCCAGCAGGGCACTGGGAATGGGCGGGACCTTCTCATCATCCGAGATGAGCCTCTCTGGGCGAAAGCTTGGTGTCAATGGACGGTCAAAGAACTCCACTTCCTCCAAGATTCCCGACCCCTGAGATTTCCAAAACGTCACAGTTTGGGGGGCTCATGCATGTGTTACCTACCAGGCAACAATTTCTTTGGCCCATTTTATCACACAAAAAAGTCTTTGACCATCAAGTTTTACCGCTATACAGTTGTTGTTTACCTACCAAAAAAACATGTCAAAGAACACCTGGGAGATCCCGGGCCCCCAAAGGGGTCCCGAAGGGGTCCTGCTGCAGCGCTTGGTCATCTTCAGGTTGACGAATTGCCATCACTGCCTTGGAGAGGGCGCAGAGCCAGATCCACGAGGAGAGCATGATCCAACAAACGAGGTGTTGGAAAGGTCACAACCAACGAGTTTCTAATCGCGCAATGAGTTATCTTGAGCTGGAAATCCATGGGTTGGTCGCATGGCAAGGCAACCCGTTGAACTCACCAGATGTGTTTTTTCCCGAGTACGAATTTGAAGAAGAGAGACTTACAATGTTACAAGTAGTGTCTGCCATCCGAAGTGAATCAAACAGGTTCTTTTTGGGCGGCGAGGCTACAACTTTAATGACATAGCAACTCATATCAGCTCATAGTTCTATGGCTGCGTCTACCATTAAACGGTAGAATTATCGTTGGTTATCAATCAATAAATCATGGTTGATTGGTGATTCTACGATTGACTCAATGACCGAAGGAAGTTTAGAAGTCAAACTTCCGACAATATGGACAAATGAAAAGCAGAGCTGGGCAGAGGCAGAGAGAAGAGGAGAGTAGAAGAGAGAAGATCAGAGAGGAGAAAGATTCAGAAGAAAGAAGATGCAGATGCGTGAAAAGGTAGGAAAGTCGCGAAACACTGTGTTCGGAGGGTCGAAAAGTAGGCTCGCTAAAGCGGCGGGTGCGGAGCCAGCTGGCCAGATCAGACATGAAAAAGTGCACGCCGTTGTGGCGCGAAGCACATTTCGAAGTCAAAATGTACAAAACACACCATTGTCCAAAACACACCATTGTCGGACCACTTTTGGAAGTTGAGATGTCGAAAAAGTGCACGCCGTTGTGGCGCGAAGCACATTTTGAAGCACATCTCCTGAGGCCAGGTGCCACAGATAGATAGTACCCCAAAACCGTCCAAAACCATGGGTGATAGACCCCGAAGATCGGAGAAATCCAGGTCAATCGGCAGTACACCGTCCTGTTCTTGGAAGTCACTTTCATCATTGCCACTCTCTCTCTCTCTCTATGTACATATTGTATATAGGATTATATAGGTATCATATCAAGATATATCAAGGACCGCATAGAGATTTTGTACCTGGAAGAGGCTTCTCCTCAAGAATCATCTCATCAAATGCTTCACCAAAACACTACGCTTTCAATGGGGATGAACCTCCATGATACTTCATGCAACACTTAGTTTTCCACAACCGAATCTTCCACTCAAGACTCAAAAGGCCCCTTTTTTCTGCGGTTCGGGCCCGGCGGTCTGTCTCTCAGGGGTAGAGCTTGCGTCTTCCAGGGCCCATGGGTCCACAACTACCCTTCCCAAGCATCTTCGTGAGATCCTTGTCCTCGGGAAGGCCGAAGAAGTATGTGACCATCATGGCCCAAGAGCAGTAGTCAATTTTGGCCTGCACAATGGCTGCGTTGACGTAGGTTCCTTGAACCCGAACCATGGTGTTGATGCCGAGAGGGTCACTTTGGCCATCAAAGAGGCTGGCAACCAGATGGCAGGAACCAGCGTAATTCGATGCGTGAAATTTAGAGATCGAACTCCCGATCTTTCGGGCAAGGCCGAGATCACCCAGCACGATACCGCTCGGGCAACCATCTGCATCAAACTCTTTGAAGAGAATGTTGTCGTCTTTCAAATCTCCATGAATGTAGCCTGATGCGTGCAGGCACTTCAAGCCATCATAAACGGCCTTGGCCACCGCAGGGTAGCAGTGCTGCAGCTTCTCCCGTGATGTTTGTTGTTTCCGCCACTTGTATAGATCATATGGGAGCAGAGTTGTGACGAAGGAGTAGTGCTGCTGCTTCCCATCCACACAAGGGGCCGGCGTGATCATTGGAACCACATGGGAGCAATTATGCTGATTTGCTGCCAGCATAACCTGAGCCTCATGTTCCATTACAGCTTTGCCCTGCTGCGAGGAGGCCGAGACCATTTTCAAGGCAAAGCGCTTCTTCTGACACCTGCGCCAGAATCTGCACTTTGATCCTGCGATTTGGACAGATTTGGACCCAACTCCAAGATGAGGACCCCGGCCCTGGCTCGGACAAGAATCCGCTCAGATTACAATTGGCCAAATGAATCCAAATGGGGCAATGATTTCACTAACCCCTTCCCCCCAAAAAACACTATAATAAAAACTCTGGTGGAATTCGGTGTGTCTATTCCTCCCCAGTTGGCAATAAAAAGATGGCTGATTGTGATTGGGAGGCTCGTGTCTTGGTTGATCATATATATATATATAATTATATGATATTGACATATATTGACATGTTCCTAGTTGTCTTTGCTGGGCTTCTCCTAAGGGGTCCTTGTTCCTCCACCTCATAGACTTTGCCCCAGTTGCCCTCCCCCAGGAGCTTCCCCGTCGACTTGTACTGCTTGGAGCACCCCTGCTGCTCCAGCAGGGCACTGGGAATGGGCGGGACCTTCTCATCATCCGAGATGAGCCTCTCTGGGCGAAAGCTTGGTGTCAATGGACGGTCAAAGAACTCCACTTCCTCCAAGATTCCCGACCCCTGAGATTTCCAAAACGTCACAGTTTGGGGGGCTCATGCATGTGTTACCTACCAGGCAACAATTTCTTTGGCCCATTTTATCACACAAAAAAGTCTTTGACCATCAAGTTTTACCGCTATACAGCTGTTGTTTACCTACCAAAAAAACATGTCAAAGAACACCTGGGAGATCCCGGGGCCCCCAAAGGGGTCCCGAAGGGGTCCTGCTGCAGCGCTTGGTCATCTTCAGGTTGACGAATTGCCATCACTGCCTTGGAGAGGGCGCAGAGCCAGATCCACGAGGAGAGCATGATCCAACAAACGAGGTGTTGGAAAGGTCACAACCAACGAGTTTCTAATCGCGCAATGAGTTATCTTGAGCTGGAAATCCATGGGTTGGTCGCATGGCAAGGCAACCCGTTGAACTCACCAGATGTGTTTTTTCCCGAGTACGAATTTGAAGAAGAGAGACTTACAATGTTACAAGTAGTGTCTGCCATCCGAAGTGAATCAAACAGGTTCTTTTTGGGCGGCGAGGCTACAACTTTAATGACATAGCAACTCATATCAGCTCATAGTTCTATAGCTGCGTCTACCATTAAACGGTAGAATTATCGTTGGTTATCAATCAATAAATCATGGTTGATTGGTGGTTCTACGATTGACTCAATGATATTTGAATCCCTATGATCGCTAACTCATAACTATCAAACATGAATCATCAACAATAGTAACTCCAATAACTCAATGACAAAAAATGGCAACGGACTTTAAATCATAGTTTTTTATTAATAGTTATTTTTCACCGAAGGAAGTTTAGAAGTCAAACTTCCGACAATATGGACAGATGAAAAGCAGAGACGGGAAGGGTCAGAAAAGAGAAGAGAAGAAGAAAGAAGATCAAAAAAGAGAAAGTCTCAGAAGAAAGAAGATCCAAGTGCGCGAAAAGGTAGGAAAGTCGCGAAACACTGTGTTTTCCAATGATTTGTGGCTGCAGAGGGTCGAAGAGTAGGCTCGCTAAAACGGCGGGTGCTCAGCCATGTGGCCAGATGATGGATGAAAAAATTGCACGCCGCTGTGGCGAGAAGCACATTTGCAAGTTAAAAGCTGAAAACACCTCACGTTCGGAGCACTTTCGGAAGTTAAGATCTCGAAAAAGTGCACACCGTTGTGGCGTGAAGCACATTTCGAAGCCAAAATGTGAAGAACACCACATGCTCGGACCACTTTTGGACGCTCAGATGTCGTACCGCGTGGCAGGCTCAAGGGATTGTGCACCGTGTCAAAAGTGAGCAAAAGGTGAGGGTTTTGTAGTTTCAATAACGATGGCAGGCGTGGGACATTTGAAGAGGATCTGCAAAGATGTATTTTCCGTGGCAGGCGCAGTACAAGAGACATCTTCATCAGAGCTGTTAGGAGGTCCGGGCGCTGATTTCCTGAGAAGGGTTGCATTTTGGAGCATCAGATCTTCAGGTTTGCTGAGATGATTTTGCGTGACAGGTGCAGCACTTCGTATGACCTGGTATCACTTTTTCGTGGCAAGCGTAGTAGTTTAGACAGGTGGAGTCGAAAAATTGCAGAACGCATTGGTACGAGGCCGTCGCCTCTGCACTCAACTTTCCATTTTTGAAGGAAGTCTCGCAGAATAGCTTCGTTTTCAAACTTGCAGATAGACAGGCAGATAGATAGATCAGATCAGATCAGATCAGATCAGATCAGATTAGATTAGATAGGTAGATTGGTAGATAGGTAGTTAGATAGGTAGCTAGAGAGATTGATAGATAGGTAGGCAGATAGGTAGATAGGTAGATAGGTAGAGAGATAGATAGACAAATACATAATTACAACTACAGCTGCAACTGCGACTACAACTAGAGCTGCAACTGCAACTGCAACTGCGCTACCACTACAACAACAACAACAAAAACAACAACTACTACTACTACTACTACCACCACCACCACTACCACAACTACAATTCCACTACGCTACATTACACTACACCAATTACACTGCAGCACGCTACAACTACAAATGCAAATTACAACTACACTACCTACATTACACTGCACTACACTACACTGATTACAGTACATTATGTTACATTACATTGCATTACATCTAATCTACAACTACAACTGCAACTCCAACTGCAACTACAACTGCCACTGCATTGCACTACATTGCACTACACTGCACTACACTAATTACACTGCGCGACACTACAACTACAACTACACTACTTTACACTACTTTACACTACACTACACTACACTACACTACACTAATTGCACCACACCACAACTGCAACTGCAACTACGCAACACTAGTGACACCACATTACAACTACAACTCCACTACACTACACTACAACTACAACTACAACTACAACTACACTAAACCACACTACATCCAGCAGTTGTGGTGGGGTGGCCACTGCAACCATTGCAGCCATTCCATAAAACACAACTCCAACCACCTTTCGGTCCATCAGTGGCTTCGCTCCTGTCTGAAAGTGAAGAAACATCAACTTCCCCAGGTGCGTCGCCCAGGCTTCCAATTTGGAGGCGGACTGCACCAACGGAAAAGAGGAATAGCCAACAAAACCATCACAGGGAAAAACCTTCTTGGAAGGGAAAAAAAACCTGCGCCAGGCGCCAGCCATCCTTGATTCACAACAACTCACCTCTCCTATAGTGTCCTATCTTTGACACTTCCGCCACCTCCGTGTGCGGTACTACTGGTATGAATATGATGAACTTACCATTGCCATAAAAAAAAAAGAAAACTCAGCCCCCCTCCAAGGTGAGTTTCCGCGATTCGGTTGGTCACCGTAATGGTCTAATGGTCCGGCCGTAGAGCATCAAAGATCATCAAGTCACCAAGAAATTACCATTGGAACACCATGAAATCAGCAATCAATCATGTTTAATGATTTAAAAGTGGTGGTGAATGATGATTCACCACTCAAATCACCATCAGCATTAAATCAGAAATTTGCTGATCGTCCTGGCGTCCGGCCGCTGACCGCTCGCGCCGCAGCTTGATGGAATTCAGCACCCGGTCCTGGTACTCCTTGGGCGCAACGCGAATCTTTAAAAGGGGGGTTCACAATCAGACATATTACCCTCTGGTATATTAACATAGACCCTGGCAGATAGGGGTTGGAAGATTAGTTTCCATTAAAACTAGGCTATTTTCAGGGTCATGTTAATTTACCAGAGGGTACTATGACTGAAGTGGTTGGTTTTCGAAATACTATATACACAACTATATCTATATAATATTAGAATGTATCATATATTTTACCTTATAAATTATATATCATATGTTATAAGTCATATATTATATTATATGTATACATACATATACACGTATATATCATATATGTGTGTATTTATATGTTACAGTATGCTACTATGACTAAAACGGCTTCGTCTCAGAAGGGGGATTCACTTGGGAATGACCCACTGATGGGGCTCCAGGATTCCCAGTTCAGCGCCGCGGGGATCCACGCTGACGTCAATGATTCTAAGCTGGGTATATGCCATTTGCCCATGGATTTAGTGAGACATAGTGAGACAGGGATTCCAATTGAGACAATGTATCCCAACCAACAGATATCATCCGTGGCGGTGTGGTTTTAAGCGCCCTTGAGTTGGCCCGGGTCGAAGCGAAGTGAGTCAAGCTGGATCCATCAATCCACCGGAATTGAATCGTTCTCTCCTTGAAACCCCTAAAAATCCGTGAAATGTTGTAGACCTGTTCATTCTTTTTGGCAGACCCTTTCTTGATATGTCTTAATGGGAGGTGACTATTTGTACGATGCACCACATATCACTGAATGGTGTATAAGGTTGCTGCTGTCATCATGTTCACATGCATCGCCCGCTGACCCCCAAATCCTTGGTGGCGTTCTCGTCTTCCAAATCAGGGGCTGGTTCAAACTCAACCTGTTCGTGGCTCCGAGAATTATGACATGAGATGACATGACATGATATGATATGATGGGGATTGAAGGGGTATAATGGGAATTGAATGGCTATCCCGCCCCCCCAAAAAAATAACTATGTTTTTTTAAGTTTGTATGCAATGCAGCAACTTTGCGAATGTGCATGCAGATCTTCAAAGCATAGGGCACATGCATTCGTATTTGGTAAAGCACCACAAAGTGTTGACACTGATATAGTGCAAGTGTGGAGTTCTGAAGAGGACGGAAGTTTTGAAGCGTGTTGAACTCTGTGTGTGTTTACACACATTCCCCTATTCAGCAAGCTTGCAAGCCGGAAAAGGTGGACCCCATGGCAGCAGCTCCCGTCGGAGGCCCGAATGATCAAAGTAATTAGGGATTTTAACCAGCACCTGAACAGCAGCTTCTGCATACTACATGGTATGAACATCCTGAGGTTTTTAGTGGTTTTTATGGGTCTGATACTCTCTCTCGCTTGGATCGGAGCTTCCTGCATGCTTTTTGCATAATTTGGGGCAGTTTGAAGGCGGAGAACAAGAAAGGCATGGTGCTTGAGAAGTCTGGAAGACCCATTGAACAATAGTGTTGTGATATGATAGCTGTGTGGTACCTCCAGGCTTGCCTTCTGGCTCCACCCTCAACACCAAGACTAAACGGCTGCTGACCTGTGCGAAAAACTTTTTTTTTCTGAGCTTCTGTGGCTGATTGGTGGTTTCAACCCATCAACATATTCGTTGGGGTTCATCCCATTGGGAATGTGAACGTAAGACTTCCGACCTCCCAAAAGATGCTGAAAAGTGTTTGCAGGATGGTAGTTCGATGGATGTGTTCCCCATATTTTCTAGGCGTCCCACTGTTCAATCGTTTTCAAATGTCCTGAACATATCTCAACTTGAAACCACCAGTTTGCCATAGCCGAAGTGGCGGCCCTTCGCTAACCTCTGGGAGAAGGCCAGCCCCTTAGGAGCTGTGAGAGTTGCAGTCATACGCAGACAAGGTACCAACTTTCAGGGCACATTTCGGGGACCTTCTTGGAGCCTAGCATATGTGATGCAATGTCAGAGTTAAATTTCCATACATGTGGGTGATAAACATGTCTAGAACAACCATCTCAGATGGAACATGGCCTCCAATTTGGTGTACCAGGTACCAAACTTGCACCACACTGAGAGTGGGCCGGATCTATGAAAAAAAGATCTACGGGCCACGGGCCCTCCACGGCCTCCACTTTGGGAGGACCCTGTGCTGTCAGCCACGCGCCTTTCGCTCGAAGCTTCGATCTGCTTCATCAGCCTGGTGCTGAGCCCGGCCGTCCAGGATTAGTAGTAGCAGGGCCAGCAGAATGCCAAGGCCACCCAGGGCGTTCCAACCCGGCATCTCCAGTCCTGTCACCACTGTGGGGCTGGGAGAAACCACTGGATGTTCCTATTCTACCCAGGGTTTACTGATGAGATGCCGCCTTTTTCCCTTAATTACAAACTATCTTGTTTCCATCTGTTTCCATGGTTTCCTCTAAATTGTGCCCCTTTTCAAACCAAGTGTTTCCTAATTCTTGCGCTCCTTGTACTCCAGCCACAATCAGCAGCACACTCAGCAGCGTGCTGGTGAAGGGTTGCAACGCCGTGTACGCCAAGACATAGCCAGCTCGCGCGTAGCGGTTGGCCCAGGTGATCAAAAGGTAGGCCCCGATGCTGTTTCCAAGCACGAAATACGTCAAGGGAAGCAGGGCACCAGGTGGCACATGCCAGGGTAAACAAGAGGTCTCCAAATCTTCACAGGTGAAATCATTCTCACCTGGCTGGTGCTGATGTTTCTGAAGATAAGTGCTATACTTGGGTGAAAAAACAAGTTCCAACTGGATGGGTGCAACTAATTGGGTAACGGGTATAACGCTATTAACGCTATGAGAAAAATGTGTGTTAAACGGGAACATCCAAAAAAGTTGGTGATTTTCCATGTATAGTCATTGTTTGATTTCCGGAGGCTATATATATATATACATATCCAATGCCGCAGGAAAAAGACTATAAATGAAATTGTCCATCTATTTCCGTGTATGATATATTATATATATAATATTATGTCTCTACATGTAAATATCTACATGTAAAGAAAAACTGTGGATTTTGATCCCTTCGTCACCAAGGCACCCACGGGTGGACAAACAAAGCGGATCACTTCACAGTTGTTGTTGAGGATTCCCGCCAGCACGGCCATCATCAAACTGGCCGCCATCATTGCCCAGGCTGTGACCGTCAGAGCTGGATAGCGCTGCAGGGCCAATTTCGCATAGATCACCTGGTGATTTTTCGGATTTTTTCATATGGGATTTACACATCCTTGAAAAAAGGTTGGCTTTGAACCATGAAAATTATGGCGATATCATTGGATATCACTGAGAAATATGTTCTGTTGGTGGGATTCAACCAAGATAGTGTTTCAATCAATGGGACATAGGGATTGGAAATATAATATACGTACTTATTTATTTAACCTATTTATTTCTCTATCTATTTACTTTCCGGGCACCGGAAACGCATGTTGTCCTCATTTGTCCTCTAATTGCCATTATATGGCAAAATCGATGCGAGTCAATATCACTGGTAAATTTGGCAATCATCACCAGAGGTGGGCACCGAAAATATGATGGTGTTGGGCTAATGTACTTAATTTAAAGCTGTATGCAGTATGCATATGTGTGCGCGCACACATACATACCCTTATATACATATGTGTGTACAAAAGTACCTACAGATCGTTCATCTGCCTATCTATCGGACTATCAAATATCCATCCATCTATATATGTATATATGTGTGTGTGTAAGTAATGCGCATTACATTTACAAAGTGTATACACGTGTAAGAGTGTATCCCTTCGTATGTGATCAGCATACATTTTCTCCAGATGGAAAAGCGCACAAAATCGACAACAAACTGAAAGCACGAACAGGTCACATAGAGCGAGGTGCCCAGACAGTTCAGAGCCAGGAAGATATTTCCTGGAGACTTCAAAGGAGACCACTTTGGTTCTTGGTGCTTAGTGAAACTATGCATGGCCAATTTTGGATACTCAGCATTGCCTTTGGTTGTTTAGCATATATATATATTATAACTATATATAACTAATATAATATATATATACACCCAATTACGGCATAAAATGAAATATTCAATTGCTAGAGCACCCAACCAAGATTGAACCAGCATAGTAAGTATCACAAAGACTGCGCTCCCAACCGCACTGCCATCTCGGTAAACTGTGCCCAGTTTCCCATTGCTCCCGCATCTCCAGTCGCGTGACCATAGGTCACCAAGAAAGCTCCGGAAAGAAAAGATAGCAAAATGCCTGGTTCGGGTTCAACCAGAGATCGGGCTCTTTTTTTTGGCGGTTCATGGGATGAAACCATGAACTGAACAAATGTTTCAACAATGAAATCTGTTGCTGGTGTTTGATGCACCCGTCCCAAAAATATAAGAGTGAGTTGGGAGCATCATCTCGCTATGATCGCGATAACTGGTAATGGGCCAATAGCAGTTTCGAAATGTTTCCAACTTAGGCAGAACATTTTTATAGCTGTATATACTGTAGTTACTTGATTTACTATACGGGTCCATCACTGATCATCACTGGGAAAAACAGATTCGGAAAAGATTTCTGCCACCAGATACCGATCATTTTCCTCCAGGTGGGAGCTTCCCATCCCAGCGCAAGGCTGATGCTCAGGGTAAAGATGGGTTGCGAGCACTGCCAGGCGCTACTAATGACCGGCCCGGCCAGTTTGATACCCAAAATGGAAAACCTTAGATTTGCCAGATAGGCGCCATTGAAAAAATAAAAAGCGTATTCCCAGATAGCTAGATAGCTAGATAGCTAGATAGGTAGAAAAGTAGGTATTGTAGCTAGCTAGATAGATACTTGTAAGGTATGATAAGGTATGACAAGGTATGATAAGGTGAAGGTTTTGTTCCGATCTAAATCATATTTCGTTCATGTTCATATCATGTGATATCAACTTATACATATATATATAGGATTCCTCATATTTCTGGTGGATTCGCCAATGGAAACGCATCAGCAACTCCAAGAAACGCTTGGTTCGCGAAGACGCAAAAACCCATCGCCGGCACCAATTTCCAATCTCCTTCCCTTGGGATCAAACATCCATCACGCCAGATCGCCAGAAACAGCAGCAGGGGTCCGGCAACTCCTTCCCGTATCCTGAGTCGGATTGCTTATGATGGTCCAGCGGTCCAAAAAATAGACATGTTTATCCACAAGTTCCCGGTTCCATAATTTTCAATAATACGGCAACTACATTTAAACATACGGATTTTTAAATATACGCCCTGGCCCGCCCTCCACATATTTAAATGGCGTTACCGTATAGTAGCATTACTGGATGGAATCAATAATCTTAAATTTTGGTAGGTTTGCGGCATTGGGTTTACCACAGAAAAACTATACTTTGGAACACCTTCCTAATTCCTAGTTGATCAATATTGAACCCCAAGAATCCAATGGTATAACCCCAAGATATCTCTAGTTAAGATTGATTTAACATGATTTAACCATACCCCAAGAATCCATAGTTATAACATGTTATAACACCATTAATTAATGATATTCCCAAATTTATATCCCGATTCCCGATCCATCAGCTCCATGGATCAAGGCGAAGAGTAGGGGATTGAACTTCTCGACTCCCAGCTTCCCCACGACTGCGGCGGCGCCAAAGATCACCTGGGCCACTGGGGTAGGTGCCTTGTGGTGGGGCACCCCCCGGCATCCCCTCACACCGTCACCAAAGGATTAAAAAAAGTTGATAAACAAAAAATTAACTTAACTGTTACGTAATATGTGCACATGAAGGTGTACGAAATAGTAATAGGTGGTGATCATAACCCAAAAATATCTAAAATGTGTGTGTGTTCTTGGAAAATATATATTGATACCAAATATATATACATATATAAACATGTATATATATATATATGCTCTATATATATATATGCACATATACATTTACATAAACAAACGTATATATATAATCTTTAAAAACATATATAGGTATATCTTTATAAACATAAGTATATATATGTGTGTGTTTCTTTATAAACATATATGTATATAATTTATAAGCATATATATTATGCGATCTATACAAACATATACATATATAATACCTATATTAACATATAAAAATATAATCTATATAAACATGTGTATAGATTGTCTATATAAACATGTGTATAGATTGCCTATATAAACATATATATAGATTGCCTATATAAACATATATATATATACATATGTGTGTATCATCTATATTACCGATATAAACATATATGTGTTATCTGTATTATCTTTTATTTTCTATACGACCATGTTTATGATCTATAAAAACATGTGTATATGTATATATATATATGTTATCTATAAAAACAGAAAGTATATCTAATTGTTTTAAACATATGTATATATACATATTAATGACTATATTACCTACATAAACATATATATATATATCAGATAAACATATATTTATAGTATCTATATTTTCTACATAGACATATGTATACAAATGTGTACATATATATAAATATATATATAATCCATATAAACATATAAACATATAATGTATATAAATATGTTTATTAAACATGTGTATATATATTTTTTTAAAAAAAAATAAACGTTTATATATCATCTAAATTATCTACATTTCTGATCTGGACATATATATATATGTATACAATGTAAACAATCATATTATATATGTATATATATATATATTATATTATCTATATTATCTACATATATATATATGTTAATGAGCAAAATAATCGATACAATCATTTAAAATCTATAAAAACATGACTATAGATATGTTTATCTTTAAAAAATGTATATATTATATATAAACATATATACATATATTATTTACATACTATGTACTTAAACATATATATATATATAGTCGATATAAACATATACTGGTAAATAAATATATATACATATATTATCTGAAGAAAACATATATTTATATATAGATATAAACATATTATATAATAGTATAAAGCTAATTACTATATATAAGCAACTTAGGTCAAGCTAGGCCACCTGGGCCAGGATTAGTGCCCCATGCACCCGCCATGCCGAAGGCCGCCACCGTGACGTGGCAGGTGGCGCCGCCTCGTCCTCGGTCTCGGTGTCCTCGAAGTTCACGTGGCTCATGCCCAGGGTGGCCATGGTTGCTGCGTTGCGTGGCCATGACCGAAGCTTGAGAAAAAGGGAGGCAACTTGGGCACAGCACGGGGAGATTTGATGATTGATTTCATGGCGATTGTTCGTTGAGATGGTGATTTGATTGGTGAGGTTATTTTTCATGGGATCGGCGGTTCTTCATGGGATTGAATGGGCCCATGCTCTTGATAGTGCTTCATTGAAATGTGGGTTAAATGGGAGGTTCTTGAAATTGAGGTACCCCTCGAAACCATTGGTTTTCCAGGGTGAAACACGGACCCACCCAATTCTTTGTATCATTCATTTTATTCAGGTCCAGGGAAATGTCAGGAACATGGTTCAAGGATGCTATGTGTGTGGGTTTCTTGAAATTATATAAAATTATGGGGTTTTGGGGGTTCTTGAAATTCGGCGCCCCCAAAACCATTTGAATTCCCAAACATGAGCAGTGTCCAGTGATTTTGGGGCCCCCCATTCTAAGACCACAATTTTGCAAAATTTTTGGGGCCCAAGAAAGTTTCAGAAACGTGGCTCATATAATTCGGATTGAGGTACTGGAAACACAAGGTGAGAAACATGTTCTTTCCCATGAAACATGTGATTTTTCCCTTAAATATGTCTGATGAAGCGGCTGTGAATGATGAAAGTGCAGGAGTGGTTGGTCCCGAAGTTGCGCCCATGAACAGTCTGATTACAGTACATACAAACATAGAACAGATTATATAAGATATCATACAATTATAACATAGTACAGTAGTTACAACATGCTACAACATATATCCATAGCTTAGAATACATCAGAATATAATATAATATAATATTATATTATACTAATTAATATAATATAATATTATATAATATAATACAATATAATATAATAGAATATATAATTCAAAATGGAAAAGCAAGTAAACCTAGACTGTTCGCTTCCCCAGTTTCTTGTGCTGTCATCCCATGTCGCCAGGGGCTTGACACATCTTGACACATCATGTCTGAATGGAATGGTTTATGGCAACATCTGAATGAGGAAACCATGGTTTTTACCAGTAGTGAGAGGGCGAAACCATGAATTTTACCACTAATATCCTCTAATAGGGTTCCGACTTCAATTTTCCCATCGTCAATCTGGGAACGTGAGCTTTAATGCTGCCCAACCGAAGTATGGACCTAGGGGGGATCAGCCAGAGCAAGGAGCGCCTTGAACTCGAAATGATGCTGCACATCCATATCCTCAGCTTGCTCAAGGCCTACCCTTCACGGAGAAAACTGCCAAGGTCCAGCCTGAACCCCCTTCGCTTCACGTAAGGACATGCAGCACATCGGATTACCTGCCTGCAGCCAACATGGATCTCGCTGGGGATCCCCAAGATTCCCGGAAATATCTACTCAACCAGGGGGGGTCTGGCCAGCCAAGATGCCAAGTAAATCTCAGATTGCAAATGCCCGCCCTTTTGTATGTGATTTCAAACTTGGTCCCATTGGAAGTGAGAATATGAAGCCCAGAATTTCTCATCAATGGTGAATGACATCAGAATAACTATATCATTGGAATCTAACTTGGAACTCCAAAATTGCCAGCTCAGGCACAAAAAACTTAAAGTACCCGCAACGGTGTCATCAAACATGGCAAGCCCTGGAAGCCACCCACGAGTTTTTCGTCGAGTTCGATGACTTTCCCAACTATGTTGGATCATCCATGCTGATCATTATTTATGGTAAATATTTCCATATATTGGATATATTACTATCCCAAATATATGACTAAAGCAACTTTCCCATATATTTCCCCATATTTTCCCGATGAAAAAACCCACCATTTCCCAACCATCAGATTTTTGCCCGGCGCAGATCTGATCTTCCAAGGGTCGATGATTCGAACCGCCCCATGAGGCTCCACGCTGAGGACCTGGACCTGGAAGAACCTGAAGCCGCCATGGCAATGGTGAAATCTGCCAACGGAAATCGATGGAAATGTCCTATGACTGGAGATTTTCATGGGAAAAATATGGAATAAGAAGGGAAATCATCTACAAATTTGGTGGATTCTCCGTTTAATGAAATAGCCTCTAGTAATCAACGGCAATATTTATGAGCTGGGAAAATCATCTATAACCTTGTTGGATTTTCCGGTGCCATTGTGTGATTACCAGAGGCTATGCCATGAAAAATTCATGATGGATTGATAAAATGGCTCATACATTTAAAACACAAAAATAAGCAAAGGACATTTCAAGATGAATATTACAAACCCGTTGGACGAGAGCAACTTAAGAGTTCCGAAGCAAGACTGTTCGGAGACATTTTTACCGCAGATTTCTTGCCAATGTGATCTGCAAAATGGTATATACAGAATCACAGTTCCCAAGTTCAGTCAGTGCCATCAATGACTCCGTGGGACGCTGGGACGCTGGGACGCACCAAGCAGGAGACCCTGACAGCTCATCCCAACAGGGAAGTAGCTGCTAGGGCTGTCCGAAAGGGCCAATCTTGATTGGCCCATTAGCCATTATACGGTAATTACATTTAAATATACGTACTTTTAAATATACGAACAGGTATTTTAGACTACCTCCGGGAAGGTTTTCCTTGGCCCGCCCGGCCATTTAAACATACGGAATCCAATTCATTTAAACATACGGTAACTACATTAAATACACGAACTGGTATTTCATACTACCTCCAGGGCCTCACGGTCTGGCCCGCCCTCCACATATTTAAATGTCGTTACCTATATCATGTTACTATTATATACGGCGTAATACGTATAATATGGGAGTCAAAACCCTGGCATCCTTGGCGAGTCTGTGAACGCAAAAATCGTTCGTAAATTGATGTTCATCCACCCACTCCAATGATCCTATGCCTTCTTCTTCTCGGTTCAATACCTTTCTTTGGCTGGTAGTCATGTTGTCACCTGTATCTCCCTGCAAAATCTCCCAATATCATGGATATCAAAATCGCATTGGTGACATCTGTTGACGCTGAAAACAATCTTGTGACTACCTGACTACCTCACATGCACTACCACATCGCTCCACATCGCCATGGCACTTTTCGTTCACCTCAATCGGAACGGCCGTATCCTGCCGTGTCAAAATCCCATAGTTTCTCATCATGTTCACTGTTAAATGGCACAATCTTAAGGGCGTACCTCATTTCCATACTCACCAAGTACCAACAACTCCAAGCTCAATTTGAAAAAGTTTACCCACAAACAATCACAAACATATGGTGTTCCATGGTTTTCCCATGCTTTTCCCTTCCCTGTCCCTTCATCCTCCCTTCGAAACCTTGTTCCAACAAAAAAACAACCATGTCCAGCACCCCTCCAAAAAGGTAGAAAAGTGAAATCCCACTAAAATATACACCACTAAAACCATCTAAAATCTAATTATAGTGGCAAAGTTTGTTTTTTCTGCATCATTTTTGGGTTTCCATGGTTTCAATATTTCAAAATCCAGCCTTTCCATGCATCAAATATCATCAAATAAAGAAACACCTGAGGTTCTGGGAGTCCATTTTGAGTTCCCCAACCCCCTGCCTCCGTCAAGGTGCTGAAGCGCGACAGGGACTCCGTCAGCAGTTCCTTGACGTCGCGTTGTGAGTCGCGCACGGCGGAGTAGAAGTCCACGCTGTGCGGCTGAACCTTGACCTGGGACGTCCCCGGGGATCCATGGTGTCTGCCTACGTCAGAGTGACAGTATCAGATTTTCCTGGTGAATTACCGGGGATATATGTCCATATATGTCCTATGTATTGAGGGTAGGATGAAGATAGTACCGGACATAGTTTAGTAACTTAGTACACATAAATTACATAAACATATCCTTGCATGTCTATGTATCTTATATATATCTTACAGTATATATAGAGCATTTCATATGGTATAGTGGGTGCGTATAACATCGTATAACTGTGTAATTCTGATATTCTTGGGTGGTTAAATGTAACTGTGATATAACTGTGCTAACCTCATGCAAGCCAAGAAATGGAGTAGGTCCATGTCTGGCTTCCAATTCGCTGATGTTTGGATCCCAGCAGCACTGGTCACCAGGTCCAGTTCGACACCGCGCACGCGGACTGGCTCTCTCCTCAGACGGCGGACCTGCGTCTGGGGTAAACTGCTCCGAAAAGATCTGGAAAACCAATGAGTTTGATGAAGAAATTAATCTTTCAATGGCGGATTTTCATGGATTTTCCAGATCTATGTTGGTTACCCTGGAGTATTAGATCAAAACAAACACCATGCTTTCCTGGTGTTAGTAGTAGACTTGGTACATTCATCCCGTTGGTCCAAAACGTCCCGGCTATCTGACAAGCTGGGCATAGATGGCCATGACTCCACATGAATCCATGGTCTTCTGAACTTCTCGTGGCTCGATGTTAATCCAATCATTTCTTTATCACTTGCATATCTTGCATATACCATCTGGTTGTTTGAAGTAGCTATGGAACATGGCAATGATAGGCAACTCATGATTTTTATCATCCATAAATTGGCTCTGTTTTCCCTATGTTAAATAACCCACATGGAACTGTGCTTGACTCCGAGCTTCTCATGGATTGCCAAATCTTCCATGACCCACTTGGGAATCAGCACGTGCATGTCCGGCAGGCCATCGAAAAATTCAAAAATGGCACCTGGCTCCGGATCTGGTTACTATCTTTGATTTTTTTCAGTGGAAGACTCATGGGATATTTCCATGAAATGCCCTTGGTGTGGATCAGCAGGGGTGAACACGCACGATGAGGATACGAGAGCTCCATTGTTTTGGGGGGTGACACGTTGCATTTCAGGCGCTACTTTCCAAAGTTCTTGTTTCGTATTTTGGTGTCATAATGTGTCATATCAATCCGTCACAAACAGCTGCCTTCCACTGCAATGATCCCTGAATCAATGGAAATCATATTATGCAATATTCCAACATTTCCAGCAAAGGTGTCCCCGTGAACCTGCCCAACTAAGGTTTACTTCGCAAGAAACACTCAAAAATCTTTGTTGAACATTCCTTCTTTGATTGTTCAAAAACTTTAGCACATAAAAAACACAAACATGTTTGTCTGATGTTGCCTATAGCCTTGGTTATTTAACATAGCCATGGGAAATGGCCGATTCATAGATGGTTTACCTATTAAAAATGGTGAGTTTCCATGGGCCAATCTTTCGGATCCATGGCGCAGTGAGTCTTCCGCCCAAGCAAGGTCTTGATCTCGAAGATCATGGGAAGCACCTCAAGATCTTGTCATCGAAAAAACCAACAGGAACGGGACATCACCAACTAAGAAAAAGGAACTAACAAATTGGGATATAATGGGATATAACTAACCAACTATATTAAAAACCCAATTTGGGTGTGTCTGATATTGGAGACTACATGACTAACGTATGTTTTTTCCAAGAAAAAGGTTTGGACATTTTGGCACTAGCTGCAGTGAGGTCGTTTGAAATTTGTCCCAATATGGAGGTGGTCCCGGACTGGCAGCTCCGGATTTTTGGGGTATGATTTATGGGGGTTTGTATCTCAAGGTGCTGTTCACGGCTATCAGGGAGTCTTTAGTTTTAGATTCTTTAAGTGTCATGAACATGGGGTACATCACTGAATTGGAAAGCCATGATGCTGACCAAGCATCGAATTTTGGGGTGCCAATGAAAAATACCCTCTGGTAAACTAACATAACTATGGAAAATCATGAAACCAACAACCTGCTCATCATTAGTTATATGTTATATACCATTTTTTCCCCACAAAATTCAATATCCCCATCTAACACATGCTTGGGAGCAGCCACTGCCACCCCGCCAAGTTGCGAGTTCAGCACCCAGCTCAGCCCGTTGATAGATGCCGTTGGCATAGCTCAAGGGCAGTCCAATCTTATCGGTTACTTCTAACCTGACAGAACTTTTGCTACATCTCTGTGCGCCTGGTTGGGAACATATGGAAGATTCACTAAAATTTTGCATATATATATATATATGTGTGTGTATGTATGTATGTATGTATATATATATATATGTGTGTATATAATATATATATATAATAAATATAAATATATATATATATAATAAATATAAATATATATATATATATGGTCTCGTGTTCCGTGTTCCTACACCCCACCACCCCCCCAATGGTATGGGTCCCCAGGTAGCACCCCCTTCCCTTCTATTTGCAAGCTATTGGCAGCATTTCTGAGGTCCAGCCTCGTATTTGCTAGGTCTTTGCAGCATTTCTGACTATCAGCCTCGCATTTACTAGGTACATGCTACCTTTGAGACAACCTACGTAGCACACATACTCCCTCAAAGTACCTACGTGCTACCTAATTATAGTCATATATACATGTGCTATGTATCTACTTGCTTCCTATTTACTACCTGTGTACTCTCACAACACTACATGTGTTTAACCTATACCGTACCTACCATTCATTCCAATGATACCATACTTACCATACATACCATACGAACTTTGATCACACATACCATACCTATCATACCCATCATGCATACCACACATACCGTACATATGAAACATAATTAATTAG